CCATTATTTTGCTCTTATCCTTATTTGCTATATATATATATAGTATATTATAACAAAAATATCATTTATATAGTATAAAAACAATACAATGTATAATATTGTATTACAAAAACTATTCACAATCTTAAGCTTTGTTTTTTCAAACTTAGTTTCAATTAAAATATATTGCTTTCTATACTATTAATACAATATGTGTTACATTTTCATAATACATATAAAATGAGGGGTTGCTAAAGGTTTTCAATCTAAGGGGGGGATAAAATGAGAAAAATCTCGAAAAAACTTGGGGTATAGGATGGGGGTCGACAATTTTTATTGCATTTTTAAACAACAATTTTTACAAAAATTTTAGTAAATTCCCTATAAATTGTTTAACCCCTTACCCACCCTTTAGGAACCCTGATATAGAATATATAGCAGTAATTAAATTAAAATACATTATTTTGTTTTACATTAAAAAGTAATACCGTATTATATTTAATATATAAATAATATAATAATATCAATATTAATCACAAATGAGTTACAATTAAGTTATTGGTATCATATAATATGATTTATATTAGTATTAATAGAGTTATGATTCAAAAGATAAATTGTTTTTTTTTATTATATTTATAAATTATATACATTGTATAAATTATATCAAACATATTTGATTTTTGAGTAAACCAATGCAATAAGCAATTTATATAATTAGTAATATATATCAAATAAATTATTGTAACTTATCTTTGATTGTGATAAAGTATATCATCTTAAAATTATATTTACAAATAATATAAATATTTCATATGATATATTACATGTAAATTATAATTCTTTGTTGTAGAGAAAAAATAAAAAACAAAGTATTTATTTTAGACTTTAATATTAAATCAATGTTATTATTAAAATCAATGCTGTCTTCTGGTGTAATAATTTTATAATATTATAATTATAAGAGTTTGACAATCGATTATAATTAATTTTATTGTATTATTATATTCACGAATTCCTGAAAGGAATACGTATATGCATTCTAAAAGTCTGTCCGTCTGTCTGTCTGTCCCACGAGGACATAGGTTCGAATCCAGGCTCAGCTACAAAATTTTTTTTGATTTTTTTTTGTTTTTTTTCTTTTTTAAGTTAAGGAGATCGTATGAGAATGCTTTTGAAGCATTCTCAACTTGTTTTTTTATTTTTTAAAATTTTTTTTCCTTTTTAAGTTAAGGAATTCGTGTGGAAATGCTTTTAAAGCATTCTCAGCTGGTTTTATATTGCTTTATATTAATTTTAAACTACTTTTAATATAAGTTAAATTCAATAATTGAGATCATTATAATAAAATGTTATTCAATAAATATATGCAATTAATATATTTAAATATATTGTATATATCATATAAAAATTTTTATACCACTTGTACAGTAATACTGTATATTAAGTCCTATTAAATGCTATTTGTAATAGATTTTTGATAAAAGCATATATATTATACAGTATTATATCATTTTTATAATAACTTTGAAAAATTCTATCAAACAATGTGTAATATACTGTATATAACAGTAATTAATTAGTAGTTTTATTTGTATTATAATAGTTTATTTGTGTAATTAAATTATGACAATCACTGGTATAGTGTATTAACTTATTATACTTTATAATTATGTTTTATTATTATACCTAAAAAAATATTTGTAATAAAATTTATATTATTAACGAAATACCATTTAATTAGCTTTAATGTAAAATATTAATAAAATATAACAATATATATGAATAAGACGTAACATAATATATGAACGGATCATATATTGTTGTGATGACGTAATTGTTGTGTTTATTTGGTATCCATTTTGACGGATCAAGTGATGACCCATTGAATGATTGATTGATTACTTCTTGAGATCAACTAATCAGTAAATATATCACACATACGTATGTTTGACTCATTGGACTCAATCATAGATAATGATTAACTGTTAATGTATTGAATCGATAGATACCCTCAGCGTTAGTGACAGCAGTCGACACTTCCTCGAGATGTCAACTCTTCAACAACAGCGACGAGTGGTCGAGCAGTTGCGCAAAGAGTCACAAATGAAACGCATGAATGTGTCGACGGCTATTGAAGACTTGAAGGTATGACCACTTGTTATATTTCTGACCACAAATTAATTGATTGAATGTCTGTCTGTCTGTCTGTGCAGAAGTACATCTCGGATCACGAGAACGACGACTATCTGTTGGTTGGCTTTCATTCACAGAAAGCAAATCCTTTCCGAGAGAAGAGCTCGTGTTCTGTCCTTTGATTATTGGCCATCGGTTAACAATCACTTGAATTACTTGTAATTAACGATTGTTTTTACTATGACTTCCCGATTATCCGTTTCCCTCTTAACGTAATCATTATTATTATGATATTATTATATAACATAATACTATAGTATTATTATTATTATTATCAACGTATATAATATATAATTATATTATAAAATTTATTAAAATTTGTTAATTGACATTATATTAACTGCCATTTAGTTGAGGAACAGTTCATCACCAGTCAGGTGAAGGACTATTGATTTGTTGTATGAAAATATACTGTAATTAGATTGAAAGCCATGTAAACTGTCAATTGTCAGCCGTTTTTTCATTGATATCCTAAATTGATTTTAAAAGTGATATCTAAATCACAACTTTATATCTAAAGATATTCAAATGTATGCAATAATTGCATTCAAAAATGTTATGAAATGTTATTTAAATGTAATTATTATATAACAAAAATTAAAATTTCAAGAAGTTTGATTTTATTATAATAATCAATGAGTTATATTTTACCAAATGTTGAAAAAATTGTTGCTATAAATGTCTGGGTTTGAGGTCTGACTTTGAGCTCAATGTTTTCACAAAAATGCAAATATCTATCAAAACTTTAATATAGATTAAATAATTATTGATAAATACCTACATTTATACACTAAAAATATCATTATAAGAATAGTAGCAAATTTTTTATGAACAAACAAACTTTATTAAACATATTTAACAAATTTAAATCTATTATTATTTTCCCAAAGATGGTGTCAAATTAAAATTGCCTTGATCACTTATATTTATATTTAAAATTTGCTGCTTTTCTTTTATTGATAGCAATAGTAATTTTTGAGACTTGTTTTGTAAAACAATTTTATTCAATAATGTTATATAATTCCATTAGTTATGGGATTAAAAGTATTTTCTTTGGTAAATAATTATTGTTGAAAAGTAACAGTAAATTAAACTATTTATAACTATTATATTATAACTGATATATGTTTGGTAAATGCAAAATTTCAGTATAAATGATGAATAATTTTCTTTTGATAAATTGTTTATCTATTTTATTGCTATAATTGTATGCATTTATTATAAAAGGTTAACACAACTTCAAGCAACCTAAATAAATGTACGCTTATTTAAAAGCATTTTTATAAACAAATAAATACATTATTATTGTTATTATTATTTAAAAGTCTACAGAATTTATCAATAAAATAACATTTTAGCACAAATAATGATATTTAAATGACTGCCATATTATAATTATTAATATTTGTTAATTACTATATATTATTATATATGTACCGATAATGTATATGATGCTAAAATATTATTTAATTTTTAATGTTATAATACAAATGCCCGTTAAAACATACCATAAAATGTGCCCACAAATTGAAAGTAACTGATATACAGTATATATATATATAACTTTAGTCCATTTGTTGATAATTAGTTAAATACATTTAAATAATTATAATTTTATTTTAGATTAACGATAAATTTAATTTAAAATTTACAATTGAATCCAATTTTTGTTGTTAATGTGACAAACAATTGGTCAATGATTACAATCCGCAGCTCTTTTAAACTCTCGATAACATTATTTCACAGTTATTATAACAGATCCACAAATTGTTGTCAGTATTGAAATGTTTGCCATATATTGTTAATAAAATTTAGAGGATATTGTAATCTGAAAAAATTATATTAAAATAAAATTAATTTGAATTAAAATGATTATCAGTTTAATGTACAGTATATATAGTATAGTGAAGATTACAGTAAAATATTAGTACATTTCACGCTATGCCTTATGCTTCCAATCATTTGTGCTATTAATGGTTATAATTAAAAACATATATAAATTATATATAATATTATCGGTTATGCTATTAACTAATAATAACTTTAAAAAATTGATTGTTAATTACTTAAATTTTTATTGTTAAATTATTTTTTTTAATTATATACAATTAATTGGATGTTATATACTATATAATAAAGCACTACACATATTAATAAATGTTTAATATTTTCAAATTGTTTTGACATTTTAAAATGCTTATGTTTATTGATATTTATAATAACCTAATTTTATAATTAAAAATAAAATTTTATTTATAAAGTATTATCCAACATTTTATTATAGTTTATTATATTAGGATTTATTAATCATATAAAATTCAAATACATTACATAATAATTTATATATGTGATATATACTTTTGTTAATTTTGAAAATATTAAATATCGAAACTTTTTAATTAATGTCACAAACAATTTGAAAGCACAATATAAAATACAGTATATATAATGTATTACATTTAACTTATATATAAATTATAATAATTATTATTGTATTTGTGTTTTAGTTAAATAATTAAAGCATTTAAAATTTAGTTGATATAAAGTTATAAAATATAATGAAAATATTTATTTAAACAAAATCTGTTTGGAATTAATTACAACTATTAATACAAAAAACAGGTAAAAATTATTATAAATTATTAAATATATTGAAATGTTGATTAAAACAAAGTTTAAAACTGGAGCCAAAATAATATATAAACCAATAGTTAGTTACTGTAATTGAAAATAAAGTAATGTATTGTATGTTTGGCCGGTATTTACTTGTATTGTAGTTATGGTTAACATAAATAGTACCAAATGTGAGGCAAACAAATGGTATGATTTGTTGTCTAAAACTGTAGAGAAAGACTCAGTGACTCAGTTTGGCTGTCAATGTATACCATTGTATACAATGTATAGACAAATAGTGTGTCAATTGTATGACTTTTCTTCAATCATAGAGTACTGTATATTCATAGCATTGACTCCATTACTAAGCTATCGATTGCCCACTAAATCATGTTTTCACACATTTTTACTAACATTTGATTGATTTTAGATCTAATTTTAAGCCAATTATGTGTTAATTATATTTAAATTAAATTATTTATATGAATATATAGTGTAAGGCATTGATTGAATCATTAAAAATCATAAACAAAGTGTTGACACGAGTGGTGATTGTCCGCAATGGTGATGGCGTGGACTCCAAGACACGACGGTTTACAACAAATACTACAACTTCTTCGTGAATCACAATCACCTGACACTCAAACACAACGTACTGTTCAACAGGTCTGACATTGACATCGATAACAATGTTATGATAATAATTAATAATAATTATATTTATATAGAAATTAGAAGAATTAAACAAATTTCCCGATTTTAACAATTATCTCATATTTGTTTTGACAAAATTGAAAACTGAAGGTAAGACATACATTGATGGTTACGACAGATATATTAGTTATTTATTGACTGTCTATCAGATGAACCGACGCGTTCACTAAGTGGTCTCATATTGAAGAACAATGTGAGGGCACACTTACATCAATTTCCCGCAGAAGTGACTGAATTTATTAAAAGTGAATGTTTAGAGAGTGTGGGCGATCCGTCACCACTGATTAGGGCAACAGTCGGTATTCTGATCACTACTATAGCATCGAAGGGAGAACTAGTGAATTGGCCCAATTTGTTACCCCGATTGGTCCAAATGCTTGACTCAAATGATTATAGTTGTTGTGAGGGAGCGTTTGGTGCGCTCCAGAAGATATGTGAGGATTCGTCGGAAGTGTTGGACAGCGATGTTCTCGATCGACCGCTTAATATACTAATACCAAAGTTTTTACAATTCTTTACGCATAATAGTAATAAAATCAGATCACATGCTATCGCTTGTGTCAACCAATTCATTATGAGTCGGACTCAAGCATTGATGTTACACATCGACTCATTCATTGAGAATTTATTTCATTTGGCCACCGATGAAGATCCAGAAGTTCGTCGAAATGTTTGTCGAGCACTAGTCATGCTTCTGGAAGTTAGGATGGATCGACTTATTCCTCACATTCACAATATTATTGAGGTATACTTATTATCACTATTTATTAGAATTACGTTTAAAGCTATAAACAGAACCACCCTTTCCTTAATCGCACCTTTGGTTACATATAATTAGCCATTGGTTCAGACATGGAAAGGAAATTAAAAATCATTTAAACCCATTTCATTGACTATCAGTTAAACTAAAATATAATCAATGAAAGAATTTTTTGAAACAAGTATTTAACTAAATGAATGTCTGAACATATTGTAGTATATGTTAATGCGAACCCAAGACCAGGACGAGAATGTGGCTCTTGAGGCGTGTGAATTCTGGCTGTCACTCGCAGAACAACCCATTTGTAAAGAAGTACTTTCAGGACATTTGTCGCGATTGATTCCAATACTAATGAGACGAATGAAATATTCAGAAATTGACATAATTTTACTCAAAGGCGATATAGAAGAAGATGAAATGATTCCCGATAAAGAAGAGGACATAAAGCCTCGTTTTCATAGATCTAGAACTCATGCACAAAGACATATGGAAGATAATGAAGAGGAAAATAGCGAAGACGAATCAGATGATGATAGCGATGATAATTCATTATCCGATTGGAATCTTCGCAAGTGTTCTGCGGCTGCTCTTGACGTGTTGGCCAATGTTTTCCACGATGAACTCTTACCCGTAGTTTTGCCAATTCTAAAGGAAACACTCTTCCATCAGGATTGGGTCGTCAAAGAGTCGGCAGTACTTGCTTTGGGAGCTATTGCTGAGGGTATTTGAGTTGTCAATTGATTAGTCTTTGTTTTTATTATAATTGAATTTATTGTTGTTTGTGATGACAGGGTGTATGACAGGAATGATTCCTCATTTATCAGAATTGATTCCATATTTAATTAGTTCTCTCTCGGAAAAGAAAGCATTAGTCCGATCGATCACATGTTGGACGTTAAGCCGATATTCCCATTGGGTTGTCCAACAACAACACGACCGCTTTCTTAAGCCTTTAATGACAGAGGTTTGGTTTGTTGTACATTGTATTTGATATGTTTAGAGTAAATACTGAAAAAGATGTCTTATGTTATTATGAATACCATAGTTATTAAAGAGAGTATTAGACGCCAATAAACGAGTCCAAGAGGCGGCTTGCAGTGCATTCGCTACTCTTGAAGAGGAGGCGTGTACTGAGTTAGTCCCGTACTTGGAATTTATTCTTCAAACACTAGTCTTTGCATTTAGCAAATATCAGGTAATGGTTTGAAAGATTTGAAATTTTATTACTTATTTTAATAATGTATTTTTTTTGTTGTATAATTAGCACAAAAATTTATTAATATTATACGATGCTATCGGTACTCTTGCCGACTCAGTTGGACATCATTTGAATAAACAAGAATATATTAATCTCTTAATGCCTCCATTGATTCAGAAGTGGAATTTGCTCAAAGACGATGATAAAGATTTATTTCCACTTTTAGAGGTTTATAGAGATTTATAAATGATTTTTTGTTTCCAAATAATTTTAAAATGATTTAATTATAGTGTCTCTCATCTGTGGCCACAGCACTTCAATCGGGTTTTCTTCCTTATTGTGAACCTGTCTTTAGACGTTGTCTTTCTCTTGTCGAACAAACATTAAATTTAAATTTGGTATTAAATTACTTGATTTTAATTGTTTTTTAGATAATATCGCTGTTTATATTTACAGGCAAATGCCAGTCATCCGGATCAATTTGAACCACCAAATAAAGACTTTATGATAGTTGCTTTAGATTTGTTAAGTGGTTTGGCAGAAGGTCTTAATGGACACATAGAGTCTTTAGTTATGTCAAGTAATATAATGCAACTTTTGTACCAATGTATGCAGGTATGTATGTGTATATGATTTGACCCATTTTCAAGCTTACTATACAATTGCTTATATTTGATGGTAGGATCCGATGCCTGAAGTACGCCAGAGTTCATTTGCTCTATTGGGTGATCTGACAAAGGCTTGCTTTCAACACGTCAACCCTTTTATTGGTATTATATTTTTAGTAATTTAAATATTTTATTTATTATGTTTTAATTAAAAGTAATGATGATAATAGTAATATATAATTGAATTAATTTATGTGACTCAAGTATTCGTACTGGCTGATTTGCTTAATTATAAATTAAGATATAATTTTAAAATACAAAACAGTTATTAGATTATTATGATTATAAAATATATTTATTAATAATTAGGTGAATTTTTGCCAATATTGGGTCAAAATTTGAAGCCAGAATATATCTCAGTGTGCAATAATGCTACCTGGGCTATTGGAGAAATTGCTGTCAAATTGAACGCTGATATGAAACCTTACGTACCAATGGTTTTATCTCAATTAATTACAATTATAAATCAACCGGGAACTCCTAAAACTTTACTTGAAAATACAGGTTAGACATAAGTACACATTTCATGTATATTGTTTAATAGCTTTTTGCACACTTTATTTTTATTGTTTATTATATGTGTTTATTGTTTAATTAATTTATTTCTTTTTTCATTTCATTTTTTCGTGGCTTTCGTTTGTCTTTTATATAAATTTATTTTAAAAAATAATAATAAAAATGGCCAATCAATGGGTACGTATGTCCACAAATGATTGATAGCCATAACAATTGGTCGATTGGGTTTGGTTTGTGCCGAAGAAGTGGCCCCAATGTTACAACAGTTTATACGACCCTGGTCTGTATGATTTCACCATCTGTTTACTCATTTATTTTATATTATTTACTATAATGTTATTTTCACTGTCAAGTTATCGTCTTTTCAATTATTATAAAATTATTGTTTTACATTAACATAACATAAATTTAGTTTATCTTATTTGTAATTATTTGATTACCGGTAGGTGTTCCTCATTGCGTAATATTCGTGACAATGAAGAAAAAGATTCAGCATTTAGAGGAATATGTGGAATGATTGGAGTGAATCCGGGAGGTGTTGTCAATGACTTTATTTTCTTTTGTGATGCCATCGCCTCCTGGAATAGTCCCAAACCAGACCTCAAGCAAATGTTTCATGAGGTTTGAAATTTACCGGTAGTTGAATGAAAAGTTTATTAAATTAATTGATTATTTTCAGATACTTCATGGCTTTAAAAATCAAGTGGGAGACGACAGTTGGAACCGATTTTCTGAACAATTTCCCGTTGTTTTGAAGGAGAGACTCGCAGTTAATTATGGCGTCTAAATATAATCACAAAACAAATTAATGAATAATTGAACGAATGCCAGAACTTGTTTGGTATTTAAAGTGTTAACCAATTTACAGACTTTAGGCAGCAATCAATGAAACACTCATTTAAAAAACAATATATTGATGATTACCTAATATCTAATATTAGTATTTATTGTTATTTTCAACACTGATGTATTTGACTTTTTAATTACACGCTTCTAACTGTAAATGACTAGTACTAGTCTAGAAATGAATTGTCCATTAATTATCTTACGGTAAAATAATTTTAATGAATACAATTATAGGTAACAAATTGCATGAAATTTTGATTGACTTAAGTAACTAAAAATTTATTTATTTAAAAATAACGTATTGTTCGATAATATAAACCATTTCTTCACTCATTGCCTTTATTTTTAAAGTATATATAAAATTAAAAGTAATTTAGACATAGATTTTAATGAAATAGTGATGAGAGTTGAATTGGTGGTTAATATCGGAACAAATGAATGGTTGAGTCTATAAATTTGCCCCCTTTTATGGCATCAAATCCTAAACTAAACGTTAAGTGCCTTTCCCTATACAACAATGATCTCCCAATGAATACTTGAGTTGTTTCTGATTTTATTTTATATCAATATATGCTTCAAATGCATTCATAATTTACATTCAGTTATTGCCATATAATTTATTGGTTTACTTTCCATATAATTATAGCTCAATAGTATAATTATTTACCTAATTGTGACACATTTTTTGCTCATTTTTGCATTTGTTTTATTTGTTTGTTATATAACATTGTTTTCATTTTTTTTAAAGCTCTACTCCATTCACAACTCAGGTTTAGCAAACTTTTAATTAGTTTATCGATTATTTTCATAGGACTTATTTGTTGTGATTGACAACCATTTAACGTATATTTTTGGTTTATTACAAATTGTACATCAATTGAACTAACTGTGCCATTCAATGTGATCTTAGATTGTAATCCTTAAGTGGGGCCACACTTTGTATATATTGTATGACTGAATGATTGTTTAATAAATATCTAAATTATATTCACACAAAATATAACGAAATACTTTTTTAAAAATTGACTCAACTGTATATATCATTTGTTATTTGCATTTCATATTCAAACAATAATACAGAATTTGAATCAAAGACTAGTAATAATAATAAAAAATAATTAAATTACTGGTTTCACCCAAATTAAGTTATGTTAGTAATATAAATAAATAATCAATGAATAGAATAGAATTTAAGAAACTTATTATTGATATTAGATTTAAGAAATTAAAGGCATTTTTCTATATATTTAGTGACAAAAATTTTGTTTAAAAAAGCTTTGTTTTTAAACAAGAAAACGATAATTAAGACAATAATGTCTTAACATTTTATAAACATATTAATCATCGAATCCTTGGGCGAGAAGGAAATTTGCGGCCATATTCTCGTTCTTATCGCACGCGAAGTACGCCTGAACTACAAGATATTCGGGAAATCCCAACGCTTTTAGCTATCGATTCAAAATTACAGACAAAATAAACGTTTTTATATTATTATTAATATTACTTTTAAAGTTATTTACCCGTTCAATGGCCTCCTTGTCCTGTTGCGTCACCTGTGCTGTACCAATTAGATCAGTTAAGTTTGATGGAGCATTGGGTGGTGCAGCAGCACCTCCCTGTGCTGGAGTAGAGGGTGGCGCACCAGCAGCCGGTTCATTAAGCATACGAACAAATGCCTCCTGATTTTGTGTAATGAGTTGAAGGAGTTGTGGATTGTTTTGGCCGATCTGTTGCATAACAGCATTGAGCAGTTGAGGGTTTTGTTGTATCACTTGTCGCATCTGTTGGAACTGTGGTTGAGTCCGCAAAAAACCCAATGGATTTTCATCTGATCCTCCGCTACCTGTACCCGAACCCTCATTGGGTGACTCATGGCTGACCTGACTCTCGACAACTTCAGGTGGCAGTCCGGTTACAAGGTATTCAACGGCTCGATCGGGATTATTAAAGCTGGCTCTCAATGCTCTTTCCACCTCTTCTTTAGTGTAACCCATTTCCATAATTTGTTTCACCATTTTTTCATAATCTTCACCTAAAACAATGTTAGACTCGGCATCAATAGGTCCTATGGTTGCTGTCGATGCTGAAGGTGTCGATGAAGCAGCCGTTGTGGATGGCGTTTCAATTGAACCTTCAGATGTTGTCTTTGTCGTTGATGTTGTTGTCTCACCTGGAGTTGGATTTTCAGTAGAAGAAGGGGTTGTAGTTGTGGTCGACTGTTTTGGTGCAACACTTGATTCGCTTGTAGGAGTGGTCGGAGTGTTGGCTGCTTTAGGTTTTGTGATCATCACAACAACAAATTTCTTTTCGTCCATTTCATAGTCTTTCAGTTGAGTTTCATCGCTCAAGATTTTGCCTTAAAATTAAAGATAATGTTATCATTTGACGCCATCATCACAATAGTTGGTCACAAACCGGCATAAATGAGTTTTTGCCACTCGCTGTTGTAATCACTTCCTCTCTCTGTCTCAATCTTTTGCTTTAACTCTTTAACCTATAATAATAATATCAATATTAATGAGTGACCAATAGATCAAATGGTGATAACATTACCGTCGAGTTTGGGTCGATCTCTATCTTAAAGGTCTGTTGTTGTAAAGTCTTTAGCGTTATTAACATTTTGGTTGTCAATAATTGATGACAAATGTGGTATCAATTGGTGAAGAGTGTGCTGTTGTGAAGTGCAAGTCATGCAATAGTCGACTCAATTGTCACTCAAACGGATCCGATAATCAAATCAATGCAATCACTGATTACTGACAATGAGTTGCACTTATGGTTCATAACATAGAAGACATGTCTAATGCGTCCAACAATTACGTCAATCAGTTAATACATTGTCACAAATCAAGTGACACTTTGTTGACGTCAATTGAAACCCCTGTCAACCCATTCATTGATATCTATTAATAACATAACATATAATCTGTAAAACATTAATGTAATGATGTTTTTGATTCATTGATTGCATATTCAATGCAAACAAATAGGGATTTAAATGTTTGACAACTTTTGAGACAATGATTAATATGAAGACTAACTCTAATATTAATACCAATTCATCGATCAGTGATTTAAATGAAAGTCTTGAAAACATTCAAAGGATTGCATCAAACAATTGGTTTCATGTAAGACATGGACACCAACGCGAAAGTCTCATCAAATGCATCTTCTTCTGCCAATTTCATCACACATTTGGTCCCAAAATTATATATCAAGTTTGACATCACTTTATTATTGTTTGACTACACGTTTCAAGTCTTTATTATCTCTTATATTAACAGATACCTGAAGACTATGTCTCTAAAGAAAGTTTTGATTCTTTAAATGTTTATTTGATTCCGAAGAATGAATTACAAGGAAAACTAATAACAGTGTAAGTGATGACACTTTTGGTCTTTCGGTCCGATATATGACTCAAAAGTCTTTTATTTTATAACTAAAGCAATGCTTTGGGACTAAAGATAATTGGATTTCCCATTGGAATCAATGACTCGAAATACCCGAGAAATCGACTCATATTTAATGTATGCTTTGTTTGCAACGCTTCCCTCCGAACCACACAATATGAACCAATTGTCCGAAAGTTAGCCAACTATTTGATTCACTTGGAGTTGGAGTCGTCTTTTCTTTCGGATGAAAGCGAAAAATCAAAACTACCGGTTATATTGTCTCAAATCAAGGATCAGCTAAACTCAAACCGAGTTTGTTCGCTGTCAGTCTGTAAGTATTACTTAAATGTAAATAATTTTTAACCATTTGTTAAATGACAGCAAAGTCGACAACAATTAACCTGAAGGTGGCTCGTGTCCAACCCGACCCTCTTGAGGTACAGGATTATCACGTACCTGTCCTTCTCTTTCCTATTATACCAAATCAATGGGATCTCACAACACAACAGGTTTTCTATTATTATTTTTATTAAATACAGATATTAATTATAAGTTATGTTTAGTTAAATTATATTTATATATAATTTTACAATAATTGTATATTAATTATTATTATTATTATTATTATTATACAGACTATGAGATATCGGTAATGAATTTGTTATTTGCAAACTATAGAAATAATTATTTTAAAAATAGTTAAATAAATCCGATATATCACAGCTCTGTTACAATTTATTACATACTAATCATGTATTTTATCTTTGATTGCCTTTCAGTTGGATTATATAATTATAAAGGTATAGGTGTTTAAATGCCCCCACTTTACCACTGCCTATAATTTTTCACTATTTTCTGATAAATTCATTTATTATTATAATATAATTAATAACAAATTGCTTTTTATAGAATTTAAGCGATTAAAGTAATTTTGAGCTAAATTTTGTAATATACCTAATCATATGAGTGCTCTAATCAATTATAATTAGATATACAGTCTTTACTATGATTTTTAATACAAATAGTTTGGTTCACACAACAGATCCTTCCCTATATCGATGGTTTCCGACACATATCCCGAATAGCAATGGAAGCGGACGTTGAAATGAGTTTAGTTAAGGCTTGCGTTCAAAACATGATATATTACGGACTCATTACTCTAATACCAATCTTTCAATATTCTAATGTTTATATAACGACACCTCTTTTGGTCAGTTTAGCCGAAGACGTTCATCTTCAAGACGAGTGCATTAGGTTTTGACAACTATTTATACAAATAACTGGTAATTGTTTTTATATATTATATTATATTTAATAGATATGTTAGTAAAGCCGAATCACAACCTTTACCCACATTTCGGTTAATATTTCAACTTTACTGTCATATGAGTCCTGGAATGACTGTCAAAGATCTCTGCATTCGGTTTAATCCATCAATGAATGGAATCGACGAGAAAATGCTCATTAAATTTGGTTTAATGAAAGGTTTTATACGAAGAATCCAAAAGTATCCAATATTTTTGGCTCCAAAACCACATTCAGTTGAAAACCAAAGAGGTCTCTATCGGTTCTTTGATGGAAACCATTCTTACGATGAAATCTGTTGTAAAGAACTTAAAAGTTATAACGATCTCGAAGAAAGAGTTGAAAAACATCCGGCAATTGTTGTTTGTTGGAAATGATTGTGTCATTCATTAATTATTTTATTGACTTTAACTGTTTTTATACAATTTAAAAAATAATTAATAAGAGATTATATAATTTATAATCATTTAATGCATACCTACAGTTAAAATCTTATAGCAAATATAATGTATAAATAAAAATGTTGAATTTAATTACCGGTATTACTATAATTGCATTATTAATATAATTTTTTTTATTAATTATTGGTATAAGATGTGGGAATATCAGATAAATTATATTTTTAAATGTTTGCTCATTTTATGATTCATATGCTATCAAATCATTTTGTTGTTGTGGATATCTTATTGAATTTGTAAGTTTTAAATATAAATTATATATACTATAAAACATTGCCGTAATGTTAAAGTAAGTAATTGTTTTTTTTATAAAATATTGTTGAGTTTTTTGAATCTATATTTCTTATAAAAGCTGTATTAATAAAAAAATAGAGGATATGTCAAAATATACGATATAGAAGTGTCTTTATTTTTATGTATCTATAAATTTACAGTATATTGTCTTATAAATTATATGAGGGTTAAGCAAAGTTTTCGATTCTATGGGGTATTGAATAGAGTGTAGTTTAGACTTTTATTGCATATTAAAAAATCGAAAGGCAGTGAAAAAAATCCAATAAATTTTCATTTAAATGGCAAGAAATTCTCATTTAATTTTAACACTCACTAAATTCACAACAAATTCTTAACTATTCGAACGAAAAATAAAAAAATAATAGTTTTAAATATAAAATAATTAATAAAAATATTAATGTATTAAATACTATTAGTAAATTTTATTTTTATATTTTAATTATCAGACTCCGAAATTTTGTGACCAATTTCTTGTCATTTTTAGTACAACTTATTTATAATTTTGCAAAAATTCTGGGATATAATCATAAAAGATTTGTTTAAAGCGGTATAAATGCCTTTACTCTTAATTCCCCATTACTTAACCCTGATATATATATATATATATATAAATATATATATATAAATATATAGATATAACAAAATGCTTATCTCATTCAATGACTCTTTTGAGAGAGATTTGCGACTTTATGTTCGCCTCTTTTGCGACAATTTTTTTGTTAACTTAAAATCTTATGCATTAATTCAGACTTACGGTTATCAAAATTATTATGAAAATATTATAATATATTTGATTATTTATATTAATATACTATACTATAGTATATTTTTATTATTTTTTTATATTAAAAAATATATAATTAAATTATAAAAGTACTAATCGTATAAAATAAATTACAAATAAAATGCATAGTACTGTATATTTTATTTAACCTCTCTGTTCAAGATATGTCTATATCATATCTCTATAAATTTATAATAATTTTTTATTAATTTTTAAAATTTTCATATTTTCTATTATAAAAATGATTATTTTGTATTAAAAAATTTAATATTATAATACTATTCATAATCATAATTACAGTGTTTTGATACTAGACATAATGTTTTTTTTATAAAAAAAAAAATTATTTTAATTGATATTTACTGGAAATGGATTTATTTATAAGTTTTAAATTCCTGTTATTTTGTATTACTGTTTATTAATTTTCTTTGACTGTCATTTCACTTACTGATCGGACATTTATTCTTATATCTAATGAATTACAACTACAGTACATATCTGTTAATCAGGGGTTCAGCAGTTTTTGTCGACTTTTATTGTTTTTTAAACAACAATTTCAAAATTTCTGATCATAGATGGGTTCGTGAGAAAATTCCTTTAAAAATCCCAATAAATTAAATCGTACTCTAATTAAAATAAAATTAATCTTTATTAACAAATAATTTATTTTTAAATTTTAAGTTAAATATTTTTAATAAAATTTATATCAACGAAATTTATATAGTTAAGTAATTAGCTTATTTTTATCTAATTACTCACTCGATTGTTATAATATTAAGATAAAAAATAATTAGCATTAAATTTATAAATATATATAAAAAATTAATATCTACAGTATAATTTATTATTATTATATTAAAATAATATTCTACTAATAACAATAAGTTTATTAAAAATATAGTTCATCTTAGATTTAAATTACATATTTTAATTAAAAAATGTTATACCTAGATTAATTAAAACTTAATTATAATTAAATTTTCAATATTTTACTGAATTGAAATGCTATGTATCAGATGACTTACCCCGACATCAATCCATTCAAACAACGTATGAATTCAATAAAAGCATTTTATTTACAAAACACCGATAAAGTTGTTATCTTATGTGATGTGCGTTCAGTTGATTGACTATATATATGTGTTTAGAGATCATAGGCATCAATACTTGTGATGCTATGCTTATTATGTACTTATTATACAGTTTTATGTCAATGTTTTAAACACTTTTTAAAAAGAGAGTCAGAGAGAGAGAGAGAGAGAGAGAGAGAGAGAGAGAGAGAGAGAGAGAGAGAGAGAGAGAGAGAGAGAGAGAGAGAGAGAGAGAGAGAGAGAGAKAGAGAGAGAGAGAGAGAGAGAGAGAGAGAGAGAGAGAAGGATCAGGATTTATAGTGCACGTCACATAGTATGTATGGTACACTTTTTGGAGACCCTGTCCCCTTTTTTTGTATTATTACCCATAGCATGCGTATAGCACTCATAAGCATAGTTAGAGGAGTACCTACAAACAGTAAGTCAGCTTGGTAAGGGGACGATTCTTTGTGCCCAAACTAGCTGTTACTTAATATTTGAAATGGCAATAAACAACAGTGGCTCACCAGGGAATCGATCCCTGGACGTCGTACCTCTATGTTGTTTCTCAGGCAACAAGTGCAAACAGCCGACGTCTTAGTTCATTACACCATTGAGCCACGGACGAAAGAGAGAGAGAGAGAGAGAGAGAGAGAGAGAGAGAGAGAGATCAAAATTATGTACAAATTTTTGAGTAACATTATAGTCAAAAAAAAAAAAAAATTTAGTCTAATCTTTATTTGCCCCTTATTTGCATTAATATCTAATTTATATGATATAATTATAATAATATTTTATAAATTTTAAACTATAAATTTTACATTAATATACAGTTTTGTTAACAAAACATTAATAGAAAAAAAGTCATTTATAATATCAAGAAGTTAACTTAAAAGCTAAAACAATCAATTTATTATTATTATTATTATTATTATTATTATTATTATTATTATTATTATTATTATTATTATTATTATTATTATTATTATTATTATTATTATTATTATTATTATTATTATTATTATTATTATTATTATTATTATTATTATTATTATTATTATTATTATTATTATTATTATTATTATTATTATTATTATTATTATTATTATTATTATTATTATTATTATTATTATTATTATTATTATTATTATTATTATTATTATTATTATTATTATTATTATTATTATTATTATTATTATTATTATTATTATTATTATTATTATTATTATTATTATTATTATTATTATTATTATTATTATTATTATTATTATTATTATTATTATTATTATTATTATTATTATTATTATTATTATTATTATTATTATTATTATTATTATTATTATTATTATTATTATTATTATTATTATTATTATTATTATTATTATTATTATTATTATTATTATTTATTAGTTTTAAATCTGTGTTTGTTTCTCAATATAATTCCAATATTTAATCTTTTATTTTATAAATGATTTTATTGTATGAACTAAATGTACTAAAGATTTTTAAATAATTGAAAATTATTTCAGTTTTATTTTTCTCTATGTTTAAGTAATTTATTCAATATTATAATATTAAATAAACAATACAAATATAATGCTGAGTTGTGTTTGTAAAATGCAATCAAATTATATACTGAAGTGGACTCTCACTAATAATATTTGTTTTCAATATATATTTATCCGCAATATTTTGCTATATATATAAACAATTATTATTTGTTATAAATATTTAATATATACATAACTAATTAGTTCCACATATATATACAATGTAGTTTATTAATTTATAAACTATTTATAATAAGTTAAACTATTATTTATAGCCAATTTATTATATATAAAATAAATAAAATATTAAAATTTACAGGCTCATTTTATTCTAAATTTATAAAAATTTAATCTTATAAACAAAGTTATTTTGTAAAAATTATTTTGTAGATTATTAAATAATATTTTTTATTAAAGATAGCCAAAATGTCTAAATAATAAAATTTAATAAATAAAACAAATAAAACAATTTTGAAATTTTATTTAAGTAACAAAAACTAAATATCTCTTTATATATCTTTGATATAAACGTCAGAATAAAAACAGAAATAATTTTTATGAGATAAACGTAAAATGCAATACAATTTGATGTCATAAATGTGTATTAAATAAGAATTGCTGTCAAAATCAAATTCTCTTATTAATTGATTTTTATAAATATATTTATTTAATGATAAAATCTAAACTAAATTATAAACTATCTTTTAAATTATTTAATATTTATGTTAAATAATAGGCCACAAAATTTAGCAATTTTCTCGTAAAGCTTTTTAACATTAGTTATTGCAAGTAATCATTAAAAAGCATTTTTTCTAAAATTGAATTAAAAATAAAATCAATAAAATAAAGAACTGTTTAACGTTTTGTAAATTTTTAATAATTATTAAATATAAATACATTAAATAAAACATAAAATTCAATTGTACTTGAAGTGTGTTAAAAAATATTTAAATTAAATTTAGGCTTATAATAACAAATTTTAAACAAACATGTTTTAACATATTTGTAATGTTTTAGTCAATGAGTTTGCAATGAATTGTATGAGACAATCGACACATACATTCAAATAAATGCTACTATAATTGGTAATTGACTTGAAATGTACTTAATTTTAATATTGTTTTTTTTAAAAAAAAAACGTTGAAATATCATTTGAATTGACGCTCACTTATGCATGCATTGAATCTTTGAATAGTTTTTCATAGAAAAAGGACTCAATTATAGATAAAAACTAAAGAGAAATGTTAAGCAAATGTTTTATTTAAAAGATTTTCTGACACTTTGTTAGGCAAACAGTGAAAAGACAAATATATGTTAATATGTATTTCCGATGAATTAGTTTACGATATATTTAACTCAATTCCTGTCTTTAACTCAATTATTACAGTCTATAATATTGTATTAGTATTTACAGTATTCTATACGTTAAAAATATTAATTAAAATATAATAGTTACATATAATTATAAATAAATCGTTTTAAATTATTATTAGATATTTTATTTGTATATAACATAAATATAATACAAGTGAAAAATATAACAATAAATTTAAAAAACTAAACATTTTTATCGATATTTTCATTTTGGAAATTGATTTGCATTTCAGTTATTGTGTTACTCTTTGTCTCGGAATTGGTTTCACAATTAGTGACAATCAATGATTCGTGTCTTTCCAATGAATCCATATTTTGCTCGTATTGTCGGTTCGGGTAATCCGGGAGTGGAACAGATGATTCATAATGTGATGGTTGCGGAGTCGATACCTCCAGAATAAAGTGATAGAGTTTTGAATACTTTTCACGAGCCATATCTCGTAACATCAAAAGCTGGTCATTAAGTGACTCTAATGAATGTTTTTGTACAAACATATTGTCCACTTCGTGCTGAAGACCCAGTATTTGATCCAATTTGCGTTTTCGACAGTTCTGTGCGGCGACTTTGTTCTTACCTATCAATTATTACAATATTTATTAATATATAATTATAATAATAGTAATAATAATAATAATGCAAAGACGAACAAATTGAATAAAATAAAAGATAAATATATAAGAAAAGGCCAGTTATGTAATCAAATGGTATGAAGTGATACCTCGTCTACGAATATCTCTAATAAGTGAAAGCTGTGCCTCATTTAACTCATATTTGGCTAATCTTTCATTGAATTCATCAATCGGTAGATTAATGATATCAAGGGTTGGGATCGGAATTTTCAAAGCTTTGGCCCTTTTCTCGTCTCTATTGAGCTGTTGATCCATTTCACTGGTAAAGCCATCACTTTCTAAGCTTAACTTTCGCTGACGATTATTGTTACCATTGCTGTCATTATTTAAACTATTTTTTGTGTTAAGCCATTGTTGGTGAATAGCAGCCATGGCATCCATGTTAGCCACTGAAGCAATACTACTGAGCTCAGGGTTATGTACATTCGATATATGATAAGCGTGATTATGGATAACAGATGAAACTGGCTGTCCATTTATTAATAAATTGTGATTTTGTTGAGTTTGTTGTGACAACTCTTGGTAACCATAATTGTCAGACAAACCACTAGTGAAAGCATCAGAATATGTCGGGTTATTACTGTTCAGTTGATGGGGATGAGGATGACTGTGCTGTTGTTGTTGGTTGTGTTGGTTTACGTCCAGTGGTCTTTCATATGGTTCTTCTTTGCATTCAATCTTCCGACCAAATAATTTATACTTTTTTTGTGCACTATTAGTATTACATTGAATGCGATAGCCATTGGATGCCATACGTGTACTATAATCGCTGTGATGGGGATCGCCGTTATGTGACGAGGTTTCAGAGCACGTGTCTATCCATTCCTATAAAATGACATTAATTTTATTCATTTAATATATAATATCTGAGTGTTTGGGCGGACACACTGTCATTTAGGATGTGCTGCTTATAACACAAACACTATTTTATTACTATTTTATCGGTTTTGTTTAGTTGTATTAACAGATATAGAGTTGTAAAAACATAAGAATAAGTGTCCGATCCGTAAGGGAACGGAAAGACAAAATAAAATTAATAAAACTGTAGAGTAATTACTAATAAAAAAAATAAAGATTATATTAATATATCTAGAGATTAAATATATAAATACTTATAAAAATATACAGTTCTATACATTTTATATGAAGTAATTTTATACGATTAATACTTTTATAATTCAATTATAGATTTTATTAAAAATTTAATAAAAATATACAACTGTATATAAAAAAATATATAAAAGTTATTGAATGTGGTATAATATTTTCATTGATTAATTTCTTAGCTTAAGATATTTTAACATTAGAATAACAAACCATTAAATTTGATACAAAAAAAATATTTCATGATATGTTCATTAATTTTTATAACATTAGATTATGATTATGACTATTAATATGTGATTTTTGCTGATATTGATTAATATGCAAATTAATTGTAAACTCATATCAATATATATATATATATATATATATATATATATATATATATATATATATATATATATATATATATGTGTGTGTGTTATATAAACACAATTGTTGTTTTTAAAAATCATTTGTTTGTTTAATTAAATAAGTTGTACTTAAAAAAGTATAAATTAAATTAAAAATACATTTATGTCGTATAAAATTAAAGAGTACACTAAATGTGATATGAATAATAATTTTAAAACTCGATACACAAAAAGCAAATGTTATAATATTACTAAATAATAGCTTTTTATGTACTATTATTTGATTAAATAATTTTTTAGACAAATTTGGTTCAAAAAAACTATTGTTTGTTAAAATAAGTTAAATAGAAATATAAGTAATGAATACTTACGTTATCTGAAAGCGATTGAATCCTTTCAGAACTCATGGAAGAAACGGCAGAATCACTGCTCGCATCCATAATATCTTCATTATTGTTGGTAACCATAGTTTGATTGTGATGTTGATTGTAGTGATGGGATGGTAAGTGATAATTAGATACAGATTGGTTCGCAACGTTTGACATCTCTATTAAATGCATGTCTTCTTCAGATAAATATTCGTTTACCATATATTCGGACCCGTTTTGTGGTGATATATGAGTGGAACCGTTATTGACATAAACCATATCATTGATATCTGAAGCATAAGCTACAGAACACGCCATTTCTGGCATCACTTCACTTCCATTGGCTAAGGTTGCCATCGATGATATAAGAGCTGCACCGATACCCGACGGAACTGTTTAACATAATTTCAATCATTTGTATTACATTTTCAATATTTATATACAAGTTATTCAAATATAATTGTTATAGATTTTCATTTATCATATAACTCTTAATTATTATTAAATAATTACTGACCGACAATAGTGGACGGATTATATATAGTATTGAGTTCATAGCCATTGTGATCTATAGGCGCCAAACGATTATCTCCATTATTAGTACTTCCATTTGATTCATAATAAATGGATGAATGGATGTCTTGAGAGTCACCAGAGACTGGCAATAGGGATGATATGTTTGATGGGTATATATGTGATCCTGAGGTCTGCCAACCGTCAGTATATAAGATATCAGAGTTTGTCTATAATTGCATTACATTTAAAGCATACAAATCAATAAATTAAAGCGTTAAGCAAAAAATTATTACAAATATAAACTTATTATTATTCAATTTTCAATTAGGGTTTCTTTAATTTATATACAATATCCTAACTAATGAAATATGTATTGAGGGGTTCATAGAGTTTGCAATAGAAAAATGCAATAATAATGTACACACGGCTTAGGTATTATGTAATGCGAGTATAACTTTGTGAGGCACAGACAGCACATACAGACACATACAGACCGCTACCGGAGCACTCATTTATGCGAGTGTTGTCATTGCAAGCAATGCCGACTTAATTTAGAAAAACACATAAATTGTATTCATTACTAATACATAACGTTGACTATTAATATATTATTTATATTTTTTAAACATTAATAATTTTATTGAATTAGTCAAACTTTGTTTTTAATATTTTAAATATTATGCTATTTTACTATTTAATGTTTAGACTATATATATATATATTGATAAATGATTATATGAAATATAGTAGAAGTTAATAAAAACTAAACAAACATTTAAAAACTTTATTTAAAACTTGATAAGACTTACGGCTTTTGTAATTCTGGATAGAATTTGATTCTGATTTTGATTGTGTGGTAACACATATAATGAAGAACTTTGTGTCGCCAGTGAACACATTGTTAGCAAATTATGATTTGCCTTAAAATATTAAATAATGATTCACTTTATAATAATAGTCAATAAGATAGGTCTGATTTATTAAGCAAATTGAATATATAATTTGGTGTCAAAGATGCTTATCAAAGAAGATTCACAACACAAATGAACAATTACTAAACAAAACGTCAACTACTTGTATGAAAGCCATAGACCAACGTTTAAGGTATTGTCTTAAAAACAATTTATCCAATTTCTTAAAGTTATAAGATATTGTCGATCAGTCAATTGAAATTAGTTACGACTCTCGCTTCCGGAGAGGGAGGAGAGGCCCCATGCAGTGCACAAACATAGGCCAACCGTCCCGTCTTAAGGTGGAACCAAAACGTGCACTAAAACAAACATCAGACAAGTGCTGTCCTATGCATACACTTATGTTTGTATCATATTTTATGGTGTCTACTATTAAGACATATAATACATGTCAATACCTGTATTACTATAAAATACATTACTATAACTACTATACACCTGTATATTCTTGTCATAATTATTCCCTTACTTTACCTTCATTTACATCACATAACAAAGCTGTATATCTTCATCCAATCAAATCACAAATCAAATTATTTATATGAAATCAATTTTATATCAAAATATCAATTTTTATGTCAAAAATACTTTTATATAAAATACACTTTATATGAAAAACGTCATAACATTTGAATTATGCGAAAACAATAAATAAAAATCACATTTTATAAGAATTTATATTTTTTAGAAGAAAATATTAAAATACAAATTTATGATATTATGTTATGAATATAAAAAATAAACTATAATATACAGTATAACTACGTGTATAATGTATTTTAATACAGTATATATATACTACATTATAAGTAATCAAGTCTTAATGGCAATAATACATATTAGTAAAAAAAATATTAATAATATCAATTAAATTGGGGTCACTTTTCAATTCAATTAATTTTTATTACATTTTGTTAACCATTTAAACAAAAATCATTCACACTATTGAATACACTATAAATTAGTTATAATAAATTGAAAACTCAAATGAAGAGTGAATTTAAGACAATCTTATTGAAAGTGATGGCAATTCATATGCATTGGTATGACTTAAAATCATTGCATCACTTAATGTAATTCAAAGACACGAGCAGTTGAGGCATTTATGGGCACAATAGCTAACAGTGCGATAAAATACAGTACATTCATATAATCATATAATAAACGGCTAAATGAAGGCATATAAACATAGGTTTGAAAGTAATGTTACAAAACATGTCAATCCTTCAAAAATAGCGATTCTCTTCGCGTTCCGCATATCGACGGAAGTTATTCATAACCATTGGTTAAGGTTGGCTCACATGGAGGTGCTCTCTGTCTCAACAATGGATCCACTGTTGGGACGTTAGGACTGTTAGGACACCCGAACTGTATAAACGTGAGACTACAACACATTAACGCATTAAATATTATACTAATAATTAGTTACTAATTTATTGTTTAATATTAAATATGTATTAAGTTATACTGTATTACTATTACAAACACACTATCATTTTATTTTATGCAATTTATTTCATTAAATTCATTAAAATGCCATTTTAAATGCCATATCATCTAAATTTGGATTAAATATTACTTATAAATAACTATTTATAAGCTTTTAATAAAAAATATAATATCTTTTAACGGTTTTATAATTTAAAATTTAGAGCTTGACTTAACTATTTTATAATTTAATTTTGATTACTGTGAATTTATTTATTACATATTACAGTAATTATATATATATATTGTATACAGTAGTGATATATACCACAGTATTTTAGGGTAATATTTCAAAAATGAAAAGTCTATTAAAGCAAAACTAATAATTTGATGTAAAGTACAGTACTTTACATACAACTACAACATATCGTATTGTACTGTATATACCGGTATTGTATATATTATATAGTTTTACTATATTAGTGTGTTTTACCATTTATTCTATTAAATATTTTTAAAAGTTTTAAAAGTCAATTCTGCTATAATATAAAGCAATTATTTTTAGTAATAATTCATAAGTTTATCTTTAAATAAAATCAGTCGTCAAGTGATGGCTAACACAGGTATTGTGTATTAAATGACAACATTTGCATAATTAAGTTAACTCTACAACTACTCTATTAGTAATATTGTCGTCGAGACGGAGCCAAACACTCATCACACAAATCATATGGAGTTGAGGCCAGTCATGACATACGGTACAGACATATGACGGACGGACTCACCATTACTTTTGAGTATAGACTACAACACAGTCAACAGCGAGACTACAAACCAATACAAGACTTTACAACTAATGAATAATATGTAAAAATTGTCGCAAAAGAGGCGAACATAAAGTCGCAAATCTCTCTCAAAAGAGTCATTGAATGAGATAAGCATTTTGTTATATCTATATATTTATGTTTATATATATAGATATATATATAGGAAATAAAGACACTTCTATACCGTATATTTTGACAAATCTTATATTTTTTATTAATACAACTTTTATAAGAAATATAGATTCAAAAAAACTAAATAATATTTTATAAAAAAAACAATTACTTACTTTAACATTAGTATTTTACGGTATAAATATATAATTTAATACTTAAAAAAGATATTCGATAAAAAAATGATCCAAAATAGTGATAAAATACATTATAAATATAATTATCTTTGATTTTCTAAATCTCAAGTTATAGTGTTCTAAATCTAGTTGTTAGTACTGTACTATAGCTAACATATTAATGAAAATGTTTTAAAACAAAAGAAACAATTAAATACAGTATAAGTATGTTATCAATGTTTAGGTTAAAATTTTTTAGTTTTTAAATCATAATTAATGACTATGTAATGGAATTTTATATATTATATTTACATCTAAAGATATATATATATATATATATTTATATATAGAGATAGATAGATAGATAGATAGATAGATAGATAGAGAGAGAGAGAGAGAGAGAGAGAGAGAGAGAGAGAGAGAGAGAGAGAGAGAGAGAGAGAGAGAGAGAGAGAGAGAGAGATCTATGATGAGTCTTCCCGCGTAACAATAGAGGACGAAATAGCGCTATCAATGGTATAAATTGTGCCGCAGTTTGTGGTCAAATGTTATTAAAGTTTGCAGGTTTTAAGCAAACAAACAAATAGAGGAAATTTCTATCATTACTAAAATTCTATAATTTAATATATGATTTTTAATACTAATTTAATGTATAATTTTAGTTAATATCATATATACAGTATCTATTCTCTCTCTCTCTCTCTCTCTCTCTCTCTCTCTCTCTCTMTATATATATATATATATATATATATATATATATATATATATATCATATATATATATCTAAATTATAAGTCTACTGTTTAATTGTTATTAATTGAGAAATTGTTAAAAGTTTAAAATAATTTGTAATTTATTGTTAAGTATAGTCTAAATTAAAAATATAAAACGAATGTTAAAATAATTATAAAAATAAACATTTTGAAATTATATACAACATATTTACTAAATATAAATAACATCAAAATATATTAATGTTAATATAATGATATAAATTTATATTAATAATTAAAATAACAATAAAAAGAAAGATTGCAATACTCTGTTACTCTATAAAAGTGATCTTTAATATAGAAAACTTAATATAACATAGAGAGCCATCTTTTATTTTTAAAAAAACATTTAACATATTGTAAATTACAATTTGTAATAAAAAACTATAAATTTATGAATAATTGTGAGAATGTATTACTTAATACTGTAATAATCAGAGACTACTATCTAATATAATCCACATTTTTTGTCGTATGAGTAAACACACGGAAAAAATTTTTTTAAACAAATTTCGATATATATATTAATAGATCAAAAATAAGGTACACTTTATGTTCCTATAAAACCAATTTTTGATCTTTAGTCCTAAAAAGTACTAAATTTTTGGTCTTATCCTAAAATCTTAAAAATCCTATAAATAATATATTTAAAAAAATATTTGAAATTAATACAAAATATCACAATTAATATATTAATTTTTAATATAGAGTAATTTTCAAATACTTATAAATAATTTATAATTCAATTTTTTTACATATTTTGATTTTAAACATTTATTATTATTTAAATACCTGGCGACACATTTAAGAGTCTATTTAATTTACAGAATTGTAATTCGATTTTTTTAATATTTTTATTTATATATATAAGTAGTTTTGAAAAAAATTGTCGTTTAAAATGCAGAGAAAGTCTAAACCCTATCCTATAAAACCAATATTTAAAAAAAATTAAATTTTATTCCATTATATTCCCCATAGAATCGAATACATTGCTTAACCTTCATATAAATAGAATTTTAATAATTTATTTATTTATAATACTAGATAAACATACAAACATTTTTTAAAAATCTAAAATTAACAAATAAAATACTAAATTTTTGAAATTAACAAAAATTACAATAACAACCGGTTTTTCTATTATTTGTAATATTTTTTCTAAACTAAAATTATTGGATATTATTCTTATTTAATTATAATATTGAATAATGAATGTTTTAATGAAAACCCTAGAAAATCCTAAAATTATTATTTTTTAGTCCTATTTTTGGCACTTTTAAGCACTAAAAAGTAGTGTTCTTAGTAATAATGTAATACAAATAGTACATAGTTTATGATAATATTATATTTGGTAATATTTTAAGTTAGAATTTAAAAACATAATTTGTTAAATTTATATTATTTATAATTATAATTTTAAAATTGTACATGTCAATTTTTATAAAATTATTTTACAAAATAGTTTTCTCAATTATAGATTTAGTATTTTATATGTTATATCATACAGTATTAGTATAATTATTAATATTTGTGTTCATTATTGATCATCTCATCTAAATTAACACATTATTTTGATTTTATAATTTATTCATAACTAAAGTATATTATTATATTAATTATACAATTTTCATGTATTGATTGTTGCAATGATTTATATTTTTAAGATCTTTTAGACTTACCGTAAAATCGTGTTTTTTTCCCAAATGGAATTCAATAAATGAAAAATAACATTTTCATTTGGTTAAAAACATTTTTTACCATCCGTATTGTGTTTAACATTAAATGACATTTGTATACATTTACAGTATTTTTACATATTATAAATCAGTAAATAGATAGCATATTCAAAGGGTTTGGAACGATTAGAGACGTCCAAATACAAGGGGTGGCAAATGTTGAAAAAATATAAAAAACAAGGGGGGCAATTTATTATTCTAAGTAAAAAACTATATTTTTCATATTATACAAAACTCCGCATTATTCCCCATGACTTAGACATTTCCATAAAACACGATTTTACGGTACTTTTAAAAGTAGTTTTCAATTTATTATACAATTATTTGTGTTTTGTATATAACTTGATATATAATAAATAGTTATAAACAGTATTTAAATTATTTGCATGTAAAATTGGCATAGTCATTTAAGTAAAATATAATTACAAATAACTAAAATAAAGTTTATTGCAAGTAATTAGAAAACGATAACAAATGTTTTATTTTAAACAATATGTTTTCATTTTAAAACAAATAATGAAAACAAAAGTATGTTAATAAATTTGATGAATAATTTACAATACATTTGACTTTAATTTATAAACAAATTAAATATTAATTAGGTCTAAATTTACCCAAAATATTCATTTTAAATAACATAAGTATTAATTGAAAATATTAATAGTAAATATGTTATTTGACTATCACAAAAATATTGTATATATAAGTTATTAAATATAAAAAACTATTAACTAATAATTATATTAAAAAGTAATTGTTTTGTCAATATCTCCAATTTGAATAGTCATACGAATTACATTTAATGAGTTAGTAAGTGTGTGGTAATCACTATAATTATTTACAATCCAAGAGTTAGGCCTTTCCATTGAATAGGTGTGTTGTTTGAATAAATTAGTGTAATCGGGAAGAGAGATCAGTCCGACATAATGTGTTTGTTGAGTCACTGACGACTCCTTAATAAAATTATAAAGTTTTGAATACTTTTGATGCGCTAAATCTCGTAATAATAACAGTTGGTTGTATTGCATCTCAAGTGATTGCTTTTCAGATACCATACCATCCACTTCATATTGAAGACCTAATATTTGATCCAATTTACGTTTGCGACAATTTTGTGCCGCAACTTTGTTTTTACCTAATTTTATAATTTATTAACAAATTAAACATTTTATTAATAAATTTATATTAAATACAATTCATATTAAATACCTCGTCTACGAATATCTCTAATAAGTGAGAGCTGCTCTTCATTTAACTCATATTTAGATAATCTTCCATTGAATTCATCAATCGGTAGATTAATAATATCAAGGGTTGGGATCGGAATTCCAAGAGATTTGGCCCGTTTTTCGTCTCTATTCAGCTGATACTCTAATTCATCACTGCTTTCACTACCAAAACTGTTTGATGCGTTATCATTGAGCTCAGGATTGTGTATAGTCTGCATGTGATAAGTATGGTTGTGAGACACTGATGCTGATGATGACGATGCTGTCGCACCATTGTCTGGATAGCTATTAATCTTAGAAAATGTTAACCCACTGGAAGTCATAGGACTGCTGTAATCAGTAAGATGTGAATCTTCGTTATGTAATGAAGACTCGTTATGTGAATCCAACCATTCCTATAAAAATTTGAATAAAATTATTAATTTAAATAATTAACGGTTTAATTATAAATACTAACCATATTTAATGAGTTAATGATATCCATGTCTTCGGGAGCCAATATTCTCTCCAATTCATCAAACAGTGAATCGCCTTCATCTTCAATATCAGGCAAAACTGGCAACACTTCATCAGAGGTAACGAGTGATTCATTGGTATCAATGGTATTGAAAGGACCAGTTGTGTTGATGATAGTCTCATCTGATTCGGTGAGGAAATTGTTCTCAACAAAGCCATCGTCTTCTTGAAGTAAATCAACAAATTCATCACAAATACTACTGTTTCGCAATACATCACTAACTGTTTGCAAAGTATAGACAAAATTTTAATCAAAGATAATTATAAATCAATATTTATTGAAAACATTTAATGGTAATCGACATCAAAATAAATTTTAAATCTTATTACATCATTAATTAATTATCATTTACATTGAATATTAATCAATAAAACCAATAAATCATTTTTTGTTTAGTTTAATAGTTTGGTATCATTTTATAAATTATAAGTAGTTTACTTAAGTAATTAAATGATAATTTATAGGCCATTTAGTATAGTATGCTATACTATAGGGAAAAGTGCAACATTTAAATGACAAAACATACTCGTAGTCATACTATTAAACTTAAAGTAATTTAACCCTAATTTTATTAATTATTATAAATTTGTTAAAATATAAAAATACAGTCAAACTCAACAATTACCGGTAAAGTAATATATTTTCAATAAATAATTAACTAATTTTAAATAATTTCTTTGTTTTTATAAATATTGTCCACTCTTTCAATATTTCTTAAACTATTATCATTATATCATTTTTAAAAATTATAATTTAATACCGATTAATGATTTAATGTTATGATTGACATCTGAATGTTAATCTTTAACCAAAATAGTTGTCAATTGAATGAGTAAATCATTAGACAAATTGTGTGACAATAAAGACAATAATATTCAATAATAAACATATCATACCATTAGTTGATTGTTGGGTCCAAACGATTGACACAAACAGTGACACAATTAGTGTCCAACTAATCATCACTTTTTTAACCATTGCTTTAGTCGTTAATATATATTATATTCAAAACTATAGACCAATTTAATTGTCACCACAAGTAAGCAAACATTTTAAGTGACAAACACTGTGTTTGTGTCTTAAAGATGACCGAAATGTCAGTCAAATACAGACATCATGTGATGCATGGGTTGAACAAAGAGATGGCAAATGATTAGTAAAAGTCAGTCTTTTTTATGATTTTTATGATATAATTATATTAATAGAAAACTATTAGTCAGTCAAACAACATATCAAAGTCAGTGCCAAACGTTTAATGCATTCAATGTATTGATAGCTATGTTAGCAATGATAGCATCGAATCATACAATCAATGTAAGTGTCACGCAATGCATTGCACTCTATATACAATATAACACACATATAATGACACAAATATATAACACTACATATTATTACACAAACACTCAATGGAAACTGTTTTGACAAAACATAATCAACTATTAACTATAAATCAATTTATTTTCAATCACTTAATTAAATCAAACACATTATACAAATCATAAGTATCTATAACTGTCATCACATGTATCTCAATGTCTTTGTTGCACTAAATTTGTACTAAATTTTTGTTCATTAATAACGACACGATTTTTTGGAGGACTTTTGGCAAACATTGGGTTTTACGGAGTCGTCTAAACATCAAAATGTTTACTAAATATTTGAAATTTTAATATTCATGTAATATATATCTGGGTTTTGCATAATTATAATCTATATATCAGTGAATATTAATTAAAAGCAATGAATATATAAATACATTGAATAATCAAATAATGAATGTAATGAACGCATCATTGATGTGAAGTGCGTTTTATTGCCGACAAAGTGACCGCACGTTTCATATGAATATTAATATAAATATAAATATATATTAATATTATTAATACATATAATACTCAATATATAGACTCTATTGCTTAGAAAATAGTCATTCAATCACTGCTCACATCATTGCATATGACTTATAGACTTAAAGACAACAACTTTTTGATTAATAGAGACATTGATTGAAAAATAGGATAACATTTCAATTGAATTACTTATAGTCTATAACTTATAGTAAACTAATATTTGATTAGTTTGTAAGCAAATTGTTTATATATTAGTGTCAAGTGATAGCAATTAGTAATTGTTTTCAAACACTCAACAACTTTGAATTGATTATTGTCTTCATTTAATACTACAATGAATGACACACTAACACAACTGTCACAGCATTTGATGCAAACACTATCACCCGATGCCGGTGTCCGCAAAAGTGCCGAAAAATATTTGGAGTCAATTGAAGCTAATGAAGGATTTGGTCCACTTTTGCTTCAATTGGTTGATTGCAATCAATTGCATCTAACTGTACGTATGAGTGGTGCCATTGTCTTCAAAAATGTAATTAAAAGAAATTGGCCTCAAAATGAAGACATTACTAACAAAATTAGTGAAAATGACAGAAACCAAATCAAATCAGTGATTATTGATCTTATGTTGAAAAGTCCGGAACAAATACAGCGACAACTAAGCGATGCGGTCAGCATTATTGGTCGCGAAGACTTTCCTGATAAGTGGCCAAACCTTTTGGATGATATGATAACCAGAATGGGTGGCAATGAACCCAACTTTAACATAATCAATGGTGTCCTACAAACGGCTCACTCGCTATTTAAGAGATATCGTCATGAGTTTAGGTCGGATGAGTTGTGGACAGAAATCAAATACGTTTTGTCGCGATTTGCTGAACCATTCACTAAGTTGTTTGTCTGGACAGTCGATTTGGCTAAAACTCACGCAAATAACACACAAAATCTCAAAGTGATCTTCAGTTCACTTGTTCTTTGCGCCAAAATATTCAATAGTTTAAATACTCAAGACTTACCCGAATATTTTGAGGATAATATGTCTGTTTGGATGAAACACTTTCTTGAATTGTTATCAACTGATTACAAGAGTCTGCATACAGATAATGATGAAGAAGCCGGTCCTTTGGAACAATTGAAATCACAGATTTGTGACAATATAGGAATGTATGCATCAAAATATAACGAAGAGTTTGAGCCATATTTGCCCGGATTTGTTGAGTCGGTTTGGAATCTGTTGATTACTACCGGCGCTGAACCTAAATATGATATTTTAGTGAGTAATGCGATTCACTTTTTATCATCAGTTGCCGATCGCAGTCAATATTCAAATCTTTTTAAAGCTAATAATGTTTTAGACTCTATTAGCTCTAAAATTATTGTACCAAATATGGAATTTAGAGTTTCAGATGAAGAACTTTTTGAAGATAATCCTGAAGAATATATTCGTCGAGACATTGAAGGTTCAGATGTCGATACCAGACGACGAGCCGCTTGTGATCTCGTGAAGTCATTGTCGCGATATTTTGAGAAAGAAATGACTCAAGTTTTTAGTCAATACATTCAACTAATGCTTCAAAAGTATGCTGAAAATCCATTAGCGAATTGGAGGAATAAAGACGCCGTCATATATTTGGTAACATCTCTATCAGTAAAGACAGGAACGTCACGATTAGGCGCCACTTCAACATCAGATTTGGTGAATATTACTGAGTTTTATGTCAATGTTATTCGTCCAGATCTGGAGCGACAAAACCTTAATGAGACACCTGTTTTAAGAGCTGATGGTCTTAAATATCTAATGACTTTTCGTAATCAACTTTCTCTAAAAGAGATTATTATTCCAAGTTTGCCACTAATCATACAACATATGACGGCTCCCAATGTTGTTGTGCACACATATGCGGCTCATGTACTCGAAAAACTGTTAACTATGAGAGATTCAACACAACAAAAGTTGCCATCAATCAAAGTTGAAGATTTGGATGCATATATTGGACCACTTCTTAATGGATTATTTAATATATTAACATTTGCCGGATCTAATGAAAATGAATACGCAATGAAAGCTATTATGAGAACATTTAGTTTATTACAAGAGAGATGTTTACCATATTTTGCTCAACTATTGCCTAAATTAACAGCAAAATTAGCTGAAGTGACCAAAAATCCTACAAAACCACACTTTAATCACTACCTCTTTGAAGCATTGAGTCTCACCATTCGTATTGGTTGTCGAAAAGATCGGTCATTAGTTTCTAATTTCGAGTCGATTTTATTTCCGATATTTCAAGAAATTCTTATTCAAGACGTTCAAGAATTCATGCCTTATGTTTTCCAATTACTTTCATTGCTCCTCGAAATGTATGATAAATCTATTGCCGAACCATATATGGAATTATTCCCACATCTTCTGACTCCAATTTTATGGGAAAGACCGGCAAATATTGCGCCATTGGTTCGGTTATTACAGGCATTCATAGAGAAAGGAAGTGAACAAATAATTGATTCATCAAAATTACAGCCATTATTAGGAGTATTTCAAAAATTAATTGCTTCCAAAACTAACGATAATCAAGGCTTTTATATTTTGCAATCGCTTATTGAGTTCGCATCGGCAGTCAGTTTGGAGCCATATATGAAACAAGTTTTTATAATATTATTTCAACGACTAACCAGTTCTAAGACAACCAAATATATTAAATGTCTTCTCGTATTTTTTTCGCTATTTATTTACAAATATGGTGTCCAAACATTGGCCGACACTATTGATTCACTTCAGCAACGAATGTTTGGAATGGTTTTGGAGAAGTTATTCATTCCAGAGGTCCAAAAGGTTTCGGGAAGTGTTGAGAAAAAGATATTGGCTTTTGGTATGACTAAAATCCTGTGTGAACTCGACTCAACCATTATTGGGCAATACTCGCAATTTTGGGCACCACTTTTGCAGTCATTAGTGGCTCTCTTTGAGTTACCAGTCGATGAATCAGTTCCAGATGACGAACATTTCGTTGAAATTGAAGACACATTTGAATATCAGGCCTCATATTCACAGCTCGTATTTGCCGGTCATAAGGAAAGGGATCCATTGGAAGGATTGGTTTCTGATTCACGAATATATTTGGCGCAATCATTGAGCAAATTATCGACTAAACATCCGGGAAAACTAAATCCACTTATATCTACTGGTTTACCTCCCGATGCCATCACATATTTACAGCGCTATTGTATGGAAGCAAATATCACTATTTCTTGAATTATTAATGAAATTAATGTTTTTATCATTTTCTTTGTACCAAAAATTCATTAAATTTTGTTTTGTCTAATATTTTATTATACATTAAGTAAAATAAGAATGATTTTGTTGATTACAATATTATTGTTTTTAATAACATATTAATGAATATAATGTATAAATTCTTTTACTTCAATCTAATTGATATTATAATCAGCATTAAGTGAATCCCAAAATTGTTTAGACATCTTGTGTTCACTTTTGTTGTCACTATTGTTATCCATAACCAAAACTTTCTCTAAATTTTTCTCTTCGTTATCATTGAAGAGTACTGTTTGAAAAGCAATTAGTTATAAATAGATAAAAGATTAAAATAATTGATGATAACTCACATCCGATGACATTATTGTGATATGTCTTATACATGACTCTCATGACAGCCGCCAAAACCATATGTTCTTCGTTATCATTTGTGTGGTTTTGTTGTCGCAATTCTTTAACTTTAGTCTCCATTTCTTCTAATTTTTTTGCTAAGCATTTGGTTTTGTTTGTTAGATCTGTTTTATGTCTCTTTTTATCAACTAATTCAGTGGTCAATAACTCGACGCTATTTTTCAATGTTGACAATTGTGTCATCAAATCTGTTTCAGTCCATTCATTGGATGTGTTGACTGAGATCTTTTGTTGACATTTTGTGATGATTTCCTTTAAATTGGTTTCTTGTTTGGTCTGGAGTTCAGTCAAGAGACGATTGTTTTGAGCAATGATTTGCTTTAAACAATCAAACTGTTGGATCAAATTGTTGTCGATATCATCAATATCTTCATCCAAAGTGTGACAAATGGTTTCTAAATGTTTCAGTCTTTCATCCATTTGTCGACATTTGTCATCACTTCTTGTAATTACTTGTAATGTCTGTAAAAGACTTTATATTTAGATATAGTGACCGATAATGACAGCACATGTGACCAGTGGTCACAACTCACCGAATCATTGCTTTGTTTATCAGTGTTGACACAAATCGACATTTTGTTGACAAAGTGGTCACCAAATGATCAAAACAAACAATATTTGAGTCAATGTTTCGAACATTCAATAGTTATGTCAACTGTTTTGGCGCTCAAAATGAACGTTGTTTTCAAATTTTACAACAATTTCACATAAATTACGTCAATGTTTGACAATCAATACAATGTTAATGTGTTTTAAGTCTATTTTGAAAATTGTTTTTCCATTTCTTTAATATTAATTAGTTTTATAGGTTTTTAGCATTAATTTACATATAATTTAAATATATTTAACAAAATTAGTTAAATCCGAGACCAATATTATTAATAATTTCATTAATAGATTTTGATTTTTAAAAGTTAAATGTTTTTGATAATCGATTTTCAGATCATTAGAATTATTCGAATTGATTTGAATATACAGTTTGTATATATTATTATCCGATATCCGATCCGATATCCAATCCATCAGATCTCTAGTTTAAAGCACAGCTATATATATGTCTACAAAATATAAGTTATTTGTTGTTAGAAGTGTTGTGAAAGTTATTTAAACATTAATTTTTGATTCAAAATTAATTGTATATTTAAAGTCATGTTTTATAATTGTCTATTCATAAAATCACTGTCAAAATAGGTGAGACTGGTTTTTGGCTATAATTTGTTTATTTAAAGGGATTTAACAAATATTTTTTAACTGCAACTATGGTTTTCTGTGACCAATACACTGATTTTGTTACTTTTATTTGATATGTGCACCGGTATGATAGCTCTGGGAGGTTCGGTATCTGAGAAACTAAAAGAATTATTTAAATTATATTAATTATAAAATATAGACATCTTTTAGCTTTTGTTGTTCTATTAAACAGTTATTGAGTAAAATAAGTGATGAATAAAAAATTGAAAATTAAACTTTAAATAACTTGTAATTCACACTATATATTATTATGCGATTATTTCTAATCAATTTTATATTACAAATTTAGGTTGATGATGATAAATTTGATAGCTCATGTAGTTTTTGAGATATTTGCAAACATAATATTTCCCATTATAATTATTATCAGTTATTAAAACCTCAAGTAATAAATATTTTATGTTATTTACTAAATAATTATAATTTGAAATATTACTTTTGCAAAAATCTAAAAAACTACATGAGATCGCAAATTAACATAAATTGGTTAAAAGTTTTATCTGTAATAGAATTTATTAGAAAAAAATGTATCATAAATACAGTGCTTCACTAGTTATTTAAAATTGAAATTTCACTTATGTTTAATCAAAGCTTATTTTACTTGAAAACAATTTAATATAGCATTAGAAATGCTAAAATAGGTGTCTAATTATTTGTTATTTAATCTAGAATTAACACAATTTAAATATCACTATTAGTTTCTGAGTTATCATAGTTTTGCACAAATTAAATAAAAGTAGTAAAACCACTCAATTGGTAACAGAAAATCATAGTTGCAATTAAAATATATTTGTTAACTTCCATTGAATTAACACAAAAAACCATTCTCACCTATTTTGACAATCATTATATATATATATAATATTAATATAAAAAACTGTTTTATTAATTTTAATTTAATTTTAATGTTATAATTAATATGTTTTCTAAAGAAATATTTTCAAATGTGTGAATCATTGGAAAACCAAAACCGAAAGACTAGAATTCAAATGGTTTTTGATTTTTTTTCCGGTTCAGCGAACCTTTTGGTTTCTCTCTCTAAGCTATAGTCATAATCCATGAAATTGTATAGAAATAAGTAATTTATCAAAACTTTTATATGTATTAGCCTTCAAATCAAATGTTAATGAAATAGACATTGAATTTATAATTTTGAACTCAATTTATACCTTCAATAATTGCCTGACCTTTAAATCATAAATTAATTATAATTTATTTAATTTGAATTGTTTTGAATTTCATTAATTGAATGATGTCTGCAATTGCAAGGACTTAACCCTTTAATAGCATTACCTGTATATTACATTACAATATAGTATTAAACTAAGTTATCATCAGTTGGATAGAAACTAATGGATAGAAAAATTGAAATCATTGACAAAGTGGTAGCAAATTAATGGTTAATTTGTATCAACAATACTGTATAATACTCTTATTGTATGAAACATTATCATTGATATTGCATTGCTTTCCTTAATACAACTTTTTTTATGAAAATCGTTATTAATTCAAACAAATTAGATTAAATATTATAGCATTAAAAGTATATATCATTATAAATTTAATAAAAAGTATACAATAAAACATCGATTTTGATTATATTTGTTAGCAATTCATACATTTTTTTGTAATCTTCAAGATTTCAATAATTTTTGTTTTGTTAACAATTTGATAATTTTAGAGGACTTGTAATATTTAGTTACATATAATATTAATTCTGTATTTGTTATATATTATAATAATAGACAAATTCAAACACAATATTAGTTTTGAATTAAAGTTCAATTCAATTATTTCAATACTTCTATTGTCGAGTTTTTTTGACAATAATTGACTAAATTTTTATTATTTAAATTAATATATAAATTCAATAAAATTCTATAAATCTATTTAATTACTGAATTAAAATGAAAAATGAGATCAAATATATAAACGATTGAATTGTTAGGAATGAGGACACTATTGACTCACATATGAAGATAATGTCCATATTATCACATTTGAAAGCATTTACACTAATTTATGTCACAGTTTTGCAAATCAGTATTTTTATTGAAAATATAAATTTTTATCAATTCTTTACTATTAATAAAAACATTGTTAATTTGTAGAAAAAATAGTTTATAATTAATAAACTATAAGTTTGTAAATTTTATGTACTAATATAACATGTAATCCAAACGTGTGTTAACTACATTTATTTAAAATGTTGTATAAATTTTATCATTTATTTAAATACTTACCAAAAACACTAACTGTAAGACTAGTCATAACTTACCTTTTGTTTCTAACTATAATACATGTGTTAGTGATCTCTCCAACAAAAATGGTCAAAACAATCGCAGTCATTCAATTATATATATATACTATATATAATATACATAAATTAAATTGCATTTTATATTTAGTGTATTGAAGGAAATGCAAGAAAAACTTATATCAACAATTGATGGCATATTATATTATATAAATTATAGTTAATAAAACACATACAACATCTACACTGTATTAACTGAGCTATTAATTTAAATGTCAATCTCATTGCTATACAAATATTAACCATCAAATGTCGTATTAATAACATATTAATATATATTTTAATTAAATTTAATTAAAAGAATAAAAACATTTGGTTTTACAGATGACTTGAGGTTTGTTGTAATGGCTGTCAGTATTGACCAATAAATGACAAAAATGGCAGTTATTTAGATAAGTGAGTAAAATGACTGTTAAATAAAAATCGATTAATTTATGAAATTGAGTTTCATTTTACTATTGTTTAAACAAATAAAAGCAATACTTTGGCTCAAATTTAGTTTAGACTATACATAATGTATTTTATATATATATATATATATACTTGAAAATATATAATTATATATAACATATTTAAAAATAATAATTCTTTTAAGTAATTAATACATAAACTTATATTAATTTAATAATGAGTTGTGTCTTGTTTTGGTCACTGGTGTTATTAAACTTAAGCATATATGTAAATATACTGTATTGTAAATCATTGTTTCTTTTAGTATATATATATTACAATAATTGCATAACTAATACATTAATAAATGTTTGAATGAATAGATTGAAACTAACGATAACATCAAATCATGATTTTACAATATATAGAATAATAATATTTATAATTATATATAAATAAACCGTTTGATCGGCGCTTCCCTTAAGTCTCTTCTGATCGGTTGTGCTTTTATTACAATAATTATATTATAAATTTATTATAACGCAAGATATGTGCGAACAGTGATTGACATACAATTCAAATGATGTATTAATGGATCTGAATGTGGATTGAAGTCAATGAGTAATAATATTGATGTCATTTATGTCAATTTACAGTAATTGTAGACAATTGTCTCAATCGATAAATATATGAATGATTTGATTACAGTTTATTTTCACATAAATCACGAGATCTTCAAATAATCACTTAAAACATAATTTTGAGGGATTTTGTAATAGTTGTATAATATAATAGACTGTTTGCAAAATAAACTTCGTTTGTAAAGGTGGGCTATTCTTGCGTCTATTTGTTTCATTAATTATCCGTTTCTTTTATTTTTCTTTTAAAAAACTAAATAATAAGTCATTTCACGTGAAATACACGAATTGAAGAAAACACGGGAAGAACTATAGGCGCAAGTCGTCGTCGAAACCAGTTATCAGTCTTTAAATAACAAACAGTTTTCATACTTTTGGTTCACTCAATACTCAATTTAAATAAAACCTAATGTTCACAAAATTTTAAGATTGTTTGATCCGTTTGCGAGGCGGACCTATTGGAGGCATTTGTTGTGTAGCCAGCGCTCGAAAAGCTTCGGCTATTAGGTGGGGCTGTCTATTAACCATTGTTTTCCAGCCCTGGGTTTCCATAATATCTGTGGCGTGTCTATTGTAGTAATAAATCAACAATTAATTTCATTATTATCTTTAAGATATAGTTTTAAGACTTACGTATTGATATATTCAATGGCGTGTGCTTTCAATTGGCTGGCACTGTGCATATCTGCCAATATAAGCACTTCGGCTGCCGTTTCGACAGATAGGTTGGAACAAAGTGACTCTTCACACATCACTTTAAGTCTTTCCAAATCATACTAATAAATCAAATTAAATAAACTTATAATAGTTGTTATAATCAATAGATATAATAAACAATACTTTGTCTGCTGCGGCCAATAAGTCTGCGTCCATTTTCTCTAAATTGGTTGCTTTTCCCGTATATATAAACCGAAGCATTTCTCTGAGTACTTCGTGGTCCATATCAGTAATTTCTACTTTATTTTGTTTCTTTTCTTCCATTTCGTGCTCAAACATCGCGGCAAAGACTGGAGATCGCGCCGCGAGTATGGCTTTGTGTGCATAATATTCTCTTCCGTTGACAACTAGTAATACATCACTAAATTTTTGGCTCTCAAATAACATACTTAAATCATCAGATAGTCTACACTCTGGAACTTTAAATTGTATTGAATTGTTTTGACCCGAAATGTTGACTGAATCCGCGACAACACTAACCTATTAATACATTTTATATAACATTTATGACATTTTCTAATAACAAAATATCAATCAATACATACTTCACAATAAAGTGTGAGTTTGTCGTCGGGAAGCAAACCGTTGGCCTCATCTAAAAGAAAGTCTCTACGAATAAACTTTTTGAAACCCCAGTCCTTTCCCTGAACGAAACGGTAGGCTCTCTGGCTTTCTATAGTTAACAATCAATTAATATAAATAGTTTATTATTAATCATTTAAAATACAATCAATGGTAACAATCAATGACAACAATAATGTATTACCCATTGCTTTGGTTTCTTCTCTTTTAGCATTAAGTATTGAAAATTTGAATTTAGCCCTCACTTCGGTCTTATTGCAAGAGACTAGCAGTAAATATAACGACAGATAGTCTTTACTTTCTTCATCCAAACCCTTTGGATTTACTCGTAAACACCTTTAATAACAACTCATTATAAGTAACAATAAGTAATCAAAAGTAAGACATAAAAACAAATGTCAAACCATTTAAGTTTATCATTAGCTCCGGCAGAAAATGTCGAACTTTTAAGCACTTCTCCCATTTCTTCGCGACAAAAGCTGAAGTTATTGATAGTCCACATATAGGAAAACTTAATCACTTTGACCTGAGTATAACACCAACTCTCAGCCACCGGAGTGTTGGCCTCATTATTAGGTGGTGGCGATGGAGCGCGCGATACGGCCATACCGTTACTGCTGCTGTTAATACTACCACAACCTCCGCTGTTAGCGCTGCCACCACTGCTGCTGCTGTTACCCGGAGTCGGTTCCGTTTTTGCGGGTTGGAAACACTAACTCACTATCAAATAATATATATATATATATATTTATTATCAGTTAGTGTCTTGTTTTACACAAATGTGTCAATTTTCTGTTGATAATTAGTTGCTGTAATCAAATAAGACAAATGAGAACAATTAAGTCGGATGTTATGTCATTGTCACAGCTATTAAACATTAAGTAGTTTATTAAAGTCAATGAGCTTAGGGCTGTCCACCTTTGAATGTTCAGTGCATTGAATTTTAAGAACATAGTATATATAAAAAAAGAAAAATGCAGTTTTGCTACCAGTTTTAAGAGTAGGCAATAAATTATTTATATTATCAATGCATTGAATGTAATCAAAGTCATCCACTTTTAAGTACCATATATTCAAGCCATTAGTACTTATAACTCAATATAAAACATATTAAATGATAATATTTGCAAATCTGATTCCCAGTGACATTGAGATCGTGTCAGACATACACTTAACTAACATTTAATGGAAAGGGAGGCCAAAAAACTCATGTTAAGGACTAACACATCCAATATTGAAAGGTATTTCCTTTAAGCTGAGAATCGGTCACTTCTTCATAATTCTCACGTCATATGCAACCAAAAAATGATGAATTGTTTGAATATGTATTGATTCATATGATATATAGTCAATACAGACTATAGAGAACCAGAAAAGGGAAAGGGAGGACACATTGAGGAACTCAGGTCACAGGTATGGCAACAGAGAAAAGTGAGGAGAAATGCATAACATATGATATGCTATATATATAATATATAATAAGTTATGTATCACTGGATCTAAACGTTTTCTAAATACAGTCTATAAGTTTAGGTTGAATACAATGAAAGAATGGTCCACAAGAACAGTGATGAGTCGTCGTCTCTCAATATCTAACTTTCCTCTCTGTGACCGACACTGTGTTGAGTGCACTGACTTGACTGAGTTGAACGCTCTGTACGAACATTGATCTCCATATGAACTGTAAGTTTAGTTATTACTCAAAAGTGGCTCAACTTTGCCAACATTTCTGGAAATTGGATTAAAACTAATGAATAGTTCACCAAAAAATTAGAGCTCAAAATCATCTAATGTTAACCCAAACAATATTTAGCAAAATCTCAATAACTATTACCTTTACAATCACTAATAAAATAGTTATTTTTATAGTTGTCATAAAAAATGCTTATTTGTATGCAATGATAGTTTTTAAAGCACAGGTATTGATATAATTGAATGCTTATTAAACAATATTATCTTCAATGAACTCAACAAATAGCAGATATGATATATGTATAACAATTTACAAACATTGCAAACACATCTCTAATACAAAAGCTTAACAATCGAGAGGAACGGTATAACAGATGGCAATAAAAAGTTGAGGTAAACTAGAGGTAAAATACAGGTCCTCTAATCGCTATAATAATGATCCGACTGTGTGTGAGACCTGAATCGACATTGTATTCAATTTGCAGCAAAAGAATGCATTACATCCCATCATTAAGCTATGGGGACACACAGGTTAACACCAATTCACCCACATTTCATACCCTATGACCTCATATCATATGGTCGGGTCGGGTGCGGGCAAAGCAAATGTCTTATAAATTAGTGAAACATTACTTTGCAATATAATCCCTGAGCAAAATGTCCTCTAAAAAGCATTGCTCTTAAGTGTTTGTTGTAAGTGAAGGCAATCGTGAGCCTCGCCTGACCTCACACTCAACGACCTCCAGAGTTACAGAGAGAGAGCAGTTGTTGTATTGAAATTGTTTGATTCAGTTGTCAGTTCTCTCTCTCCCCAAAACTCATCTGAAAAAATGGTGAAAAAGATTTGCCAAAAGTTTGAGTTATTGAGGAAAGCATTAAAACATACATACAATGAATATAAGCGACGTCTCCATGAAATCAAATCAAAATCGGGTCACATATAGTGTACGATATGACCTCAATATAGTCACTACTTTACTATTACTACTATTGTATACATCAATACTAAAAGTTTCATTCATATACTTAACTAATTAATTATACCAATTTCTAGTTATACTTTTATATACATATACTTTACATACATTACTATAAGATTTTATCAATTATTATAAGATATTTAAGATTTTATTTTAAAAAATACCATTAAAAACATAAATAAGTTAATACTTAATGTTAAGTTTAGTCATTTGAATCTGAGATCAAGTCATCTAATGTTAAACAAAACAATTGTCACATTACTTATAATGGTAAACATGATATCACATATGAGTTCATGTAATTGATTACCAATCATAAGATAATCGCTTTGTAATCACTTCTTAAGCAAAGTTTTATGACTCTCAAAGTCAACACAAAACAAATGTTTAATAAACACACAGTTGTTGTCTCTTTAAAATTGTTTTAATAAATTTGAAAATATTTAGGATATTTGATTAAAACGTGTGTAAAATGCTATTTATTAATAGAAATATTGAAATTATTTATTAAAAATAAAATGTTTTAAATATTAAGAGTTAGCCTTGAATTGCATCTCAAGGAGAGACCAATGAATATATCATTGATTTATACAATGCATTGTTATATACAATATATAATGATATGATATATCACTAATGTTTATCACACTTACCACTGATCACTGCGATCACCAACTAATCAATATAATGGTAAATCAGATGATAATCCTAATGGTGTCACTCATCATAATAAACATAAACTAATTGATAAATCATTAGTAAAACTAGTCATCACTTGAATGGACAGCAACTGAAGTGACGGCCATATTATTGACGATTGAGTGCAACACTAGTACTGAATGACTGACAATCACTGCACACAACACAACACAACACACTCTGTACTAAACAACACAACACTCCAGTGATTACACCTATCGGTGATTACATAAAACTATACCAACAATATTACAATACATTAATGTATAACAAATGTCAATCAATTTTACAGGTAATACAGGTAATAGTGTAACTTTGAGTAAGCTATCAAATTTATACTGTAATTTACATATACCGGTATATCATATATATATATATATATATATTGTATGTAAAGTTAAATTTTGTTTTGTTTTACGATTATTTTTAATTTTTAAATTTTAATCTTTCATTTTTATAAATCAATTATTTAATACTTAAAAGCAAGTTATAGATTTTAAACAGATTTTTTAGTTAAGACTATAAATCAAATAAGTTATGTACTATAGTTTATAAAGTAAATTAGAAAAAATCAAATCAACATATGATATATAATTTAAATTGCATTTGTAATTATATAATTAAATACTTATTGTATAAAATGATAACATAGCAAATAAACTTTGAAAATAATGAATTTAGTATTGGCTAATGTCATATTCTTATATATTGTATATATTATATACTGTATACTGTATACTAGTATATATATATAATTTGTATATATTAATGATATTTGTTAAGTAAGTTGATAATTGTAATGATAATTGTAATGATAATTGTAATAAAAACGGAAACATAAAATACATTAGTATTAGAAATAAATTTAGATCTGGTATTAGACCGTAAAATACATTGTAAAGTAATGAATGTATGCGTAAAATCCCTCAACTATTTGGTTAGAAATCAGGTTTTAGTAGTGAAAAGCCCTGAACTATATACTGATATATATCGACAAAAGCATAGTTTACTTAAAGTTTTTCTATGACCTCAAACTCTTATTAATCATTACATAGATTTGGCCATAGAGTGAGCCCTACACTCATATACATAGGCGTTGTATTGAAGTAATACTGTAGTACTTTACTGTATTGTATTAATAAATATGTGTCCATAAGCTAAGCCAATGTATTAATACAAGTATAGGACACACAAAAAGTTTTTAAGAGTAGGTCTGGTCTGATGTGCTCTACTAATGCACCGTTCGTTTAGCAACTCATAACACTTATTATTAATATACCATTGAATATGAGATTTTCAATGAAGGGCTCCGCCTCTGACACCAAAACTTTTCAGATATGTATAAAATAATTTTATTAAAATTACTCATATCATGAAAACATACTTTTTAAATAAAACCCATTTATTATGATTTGTATCCTCTTTATAATCCAAATAATATACATACTGTATGTACTGTACTGTATATATTGTTTGATTGAATTTTTAAAGAAATATTTACAATTATAATAATTTTATTAATTAGGATATATATATTTTTTAATGACAAACTATTCATTCATTTATTCAATATATTATAATTGTCACTAAACAATGGGTCACTTCTAATATCTAATCTAATATTTATTTAAACAACTTTTTAACAAGAATTCAATGTCCTTAATGACAATGCATTTATTGTGAAATATGTTTCATTTTAGCCAATTAGTCCAAATGCACACTACATACTAATTAAATATATAAATATATTAAGTACAGTATCATAATATGTACATATTATGTACTATAATGTGCTAAAACAATCGGAATAAAACACCAAAAATAATTTGAAAAATATCTTAAACATACTGATGTGTATACTGTACTGTATAATTGAAAATATTAATTTCAGATATATATTTAATTTATTTGCATATTTTTAATTAATATAAATTATATACTATTTTGATTTACTCTATGAATGATTTTATCAATGCCGTCAATCATTATTATTTTATCAATACAGTACAGTATAATCCCAGGTTGTTATTGATATCTATTGTTCTGAATATTAATTAACATAATTTTATTATTAAATTAATTGCATTTATTATGAATAAGGAAATGAAATCATTTAAAAGGAGTTAATTTCCCACAAATATCATACAATTCTTATAAAAATTATAATACATTTTAAACATTAACTTTTTTAATGCAATAGATTTGAAAATAATTCTAGATATCAAACAATATCATAAAAATGACAATTAATTTATTTATTCAAATTGTTAATATAATTATAGCATTTATTAATAAATGGATTAATAAATAATCTTAGAAAAACAAATTGAATTATTATTATTTATTTATATTAATTAAATGAATTTCGATAATTTAATTAATATATAAAATATTAAAAATTTCTTTTTTATTTTAGTATAATTTATTAATAAAAATATATGAATCTTAAACAGCAGCGAAGCTATTAATTTAAATTATCTAGTCAACAATACGTTAAATTAAAAAGTGACCAAGGGCAAAGTTGTAGATAATTTTAAACTAAATAATGTTGTAATTTGTCATTTTTTAAATTTATAATATGATTGGGCAGATAATTGCAGTCGACTATAATTATTTAAAATTTTTCAACAGTCGATTGTAAATTATCTGGTCAACTAATCATACAATTAATTAAGAAATGACCAAGTACAATCTTATTTAGATATATACAACATTGCCCTTGGTCACTTTTAAATCAAAAATATTGTTGACCAGATAATTGTAATTAATAGCATCGCTACTGTTTCTCTAAAAATATTTTTAATAATTGTTATTAGCGGTAATAATGAATTTTATAAAACTATCAGCAATAGGAGTTATATAATTTGTTAAACAATTTTCATTATTTGATTGCATATTATAATTTATTAATTAGATTTATTTAATTAATATACTATAGAATATATAATATATAAACAAAAATATTAAAAATTTAGAAAATAGTTCAAATAATTGTTTTGAATGAGAATTTGGGTTAAATTAAACAAAAAGTGTATAAAATCAAGTCATCTCTGCTCCCAAAAGCATGCATTGACTTAAGTTATTACTGTATATTTGATAATTAGATTTCTAGCAAAAAAGGCTTTTTAAACACCCATTTATTTATTGTTTATAATATTTATTAACTTTTGAGCAATCATTTCGATGACATCGGGATGTAAAATACAATTAACAATTGTTTCAATATTCACGTCTTTATTACTCAATTCTTCAATCGATTCTTGTTTTTTATTATCAAAAAGTAGTCTTAACTCATCAAAAGTTGATGACTTAATTTCTAATGAATTTTTCGGCAATATTTTGGATTTAGTCTTATTTATAGGAATCGTTGAATTCATTTTATTTAATATTAGATTAATTGTGTGAATAGCTTCTTCAGGACTAAACAAATCTGCATTAATATTCAGCCATTTGTTTGGTTGTAATGGACAGTATGTATTGAACAGTGAGGTCGTCAATAAACGGACAATACTTTCATTTAAAGAGCTCTGATAGCAATCATTGAAAATCCAAGTATTTATAGAAATACAACTTTTATCAAAGTCTTCTTCAATGACTCTAACAAAATGCCACCAAAGGTGAGGAACAAATAATATCTCTCCGGCTTTTAATTCAATTACATGAGGACTTGTTTGCTTGAAAAGTGGATGTATTTTATAGTCAGGTTTGTGAAAATCTACTGAACTAAAAATACTCGACTCTTCATATGGTATACGAGTTGGATATAAGAAAGTCTCATCAGATGGTGGAAAAAGAATCCATTGTTTTCTAATATATAAAATGTGATAATTAGTCATAAAACTGGTATCGCAACAAAAAATAACTAATTGATACAGACTTTCCAGATAATTGTGCCACAAAATTGTAACCATAACTATCCTGATGACAGGGTGTAAAAGCATCAACTGATCCCAACCAAAAAGTACTATTTTTGGCGGTTGACTCTAGTTTATCGTCTTGAAGACCTAATTGAGACCAGTTTACTGAATGTATAATTTGTTGGTTATCTTCAAATAATTTATTCATATAGTTATAACTGCTATAAATCCAATGTTCAGATTTTGAATATTTCTTAAATGGATTTCTGTCATTGCATTCATTTGTCTCCAATTGAGTCCATTCAACATAATCTGATAATTGAGTCTCTAATCTATCGATGGCTTCGGTTTCCCAAAATGTGTTAGAAATCCTTTTGTGAACTCTAAACGAAAGTTTGGTTTCACCACACTTTTCACTCCAATCCTTATTAAAATATTTCATATTATATACTATATAACTATATATACTGTATATATATATATCAGTGATAAAAATTAAGTGTTATCAATGATAACTTTTTCATTTAAAAATTAACGTTATTCATAGCCCATTTTAAAATTTGTATTTATATTTTAATTTTAACCAGGATCTTTACATAAATTATAATAAAAATATATTTTTTGTATTTGTAATTTTAATCACTGATATATACATATACTGTACTTCATCTAGCATTACATTTATTGTCCATTTAAAACAAGGCCACGATTGTAGAGCATCGGTACGTATAATAAGTGGAGTGTCTATCAAGTTATAGTCAATGCATAGTTCATCCATTTATAACTATCGGTAATACAAAAAATATTTATATAAAGTATATAATAAACAAATAATATTATATTATTTAATAATATTGTAAAAATTATGTAAATAACAATATATTAATCAATTTATTAAATCATTTGATAAACATAAATAGTCACATATTTGTTAAACAATTAATTATACCAATTATTAATTACAAGTAACAGTTAATAAATATAAGTACCGGTAAATAAATAATCATTAAATATTTTACGATACATTTACCTAAGTAATCATCAACTAACACATCAATTATATAAATCAAGATAATATATGAGATCTATTGTTAGAAATTAAAATAATTTATATTTTAATTTTTCACAAATATCATTAATACAATTAAAATGTTTATAATACTGTATATAAATTATATAATATACCTGTTTTCTTAATACAATGTCTACATTAAACAATACAACAATTAAGGCAAACAATTGCTTAATTCAATAACGGATGTCATGATTTAAGTAATAAAATAAAGTATTATTAATAAATAATGTATTAATCTCTTTCTAACTCTAGATGTATGGGCAATGTATTACCCAATTGGTCAGCAATTGATTGATTACAAGCGCCAATAATTCTTCTGTTTGTTAAGTCTAAAGGACCTCCTTTTGTGTCGACCGCTACACCACCTGCTTCGGTGAGGACAACAGCAGCGGCGGCCATATCCCACACGTGAAGACCAAATTCCCAATAGGCGTCAGCAAAACCTTCGGCTACATAACAGAGGTTAAGAGCAGCTGAACCCATACATCTGATGCCGTGACAGAGCCAACCAACTGATTCCAGATTACGGAAAACAGCGTTACGTTTCTCCTCATCTCTTTGGTTACCAAATTCACAGACAAGAAGAGCTTCTTTAAGTGAATTGCAGTTTTTGCTCACAGATATGGGCCGACCGTTACAATAAGCGCCACACCCTTTCATAGCAGTATAAAGTTTGGATAAAAATGGACTGAAGACTACACCTAATACAGCAATCTTATCAACAGTTAAACCAATTGATACACAAGTAAATGGAAAGGTATGAACAAAATTCATTGTGCCATCAATCGGGTCTATAATCCATGTGGGCTCTGATGTCAATCCCACCCGAGAACTGCTTTCTTCGCCAATAAACTTAAAATCAGGAAAATGTCTCTTTAATTCATCGAAGAGAAACTTTTCGACCGCTTTATCGGTTTCGGTCACCAAATCGGCAAATGAATCCTTTTGACTGATGTTACGACTCTCTCCCGAGGCGTTAGTCATCATTTGTCCGACTTTTATGGCCAAACTAACGGCAATCTGTTGGCAACGCAACAACTCCTTGCTATCCATTGGTTGTCTATTATATAACTAATTATATAACTCATTATATCAAGAGATCATTTAATTGCAAACTATTGGTTCACTAAATCACAACTTAATAATTATACAAATTTGATAACAAAATAATGTTTAAAATAACAAAATCATTATTAATATTACTAATAAAACGTTATGTAAATTATAAGCAATATTTATGTTTAAATAATTATTGATAAATGTGTTAATTGAATATATGTTAAAATTGATGATCAATAGAAATAATCATATGATTTATAATATAACATGCATTTCAATATGATATGATATGTCAATTATTGTTTAATATATCAATTACTTACCAATCAATAACTAATTATCGATATAATATTTGTTTCAATTATCTTCAAAATCAATTCATATACTTATTTTGTATGAAATACTAATATAATTATTTAAACAAATAATACAATTTTACAAACAAATGAATCAATATTTTCAATACATTTGTTATATTACTAAAAGCATGCGCTTCACAGTCAATACTGTGTTAATGTTTGAATGTATTAGTAATATAAATATTACATTGAAAATGCAAAGTGTAGCCAATTATAACTACAGTATTATACTGTATTTGTAAAGTATATAAATACTAAATTAATATAATTATGGGGTTAAAACAAATAATTGTACAGGTAATATTGATAAAATGTTTTACAATAAATACAAGAGGGATATTCATAGAGATTATCATATATTAAATAATATACAATTTAACCTCACCTTATGTTTAGTGCATTTAAAGGGCACTTATATTTCAAAGCGCCTAACAATAGACACTAAACTTTGATTTATAGCATTATTTAAGGCTTATTGTAATGAATTGCAATTACATTACAATTATAATTAAATACTGACAAATCATTTGAAATATTCACATCCATTGATTGACATTTACAACATATTAAGCATTGATTCAAATAAAAACAATAAATTAGATTAACTTATGAAAAAATTGGACACAATATAGCATATGATGGTTAACAAGTGATTGGCCACATGTTTGATAAATTAGAAATGAGTTGATCAGTGGTTAGTCATGACTGCCATTACTGATATTGATGTCGATTTTTGGTGGAGTGGTAGCAAAATGATGACCATTGCCATTGCCATTGCCATTGCCATTGCCATTACGAAATTGATGATTTATGGCAAATTCAATACTCTGTTGGTTCCATTGATCGACAACTCGGATGCCTTCATCAACAAGTGTTTCGCTGACTAATTGTTTGGTGATGTGATTGGCTGCCACAGAGTTTCCCGTCTTCTTTGCTAAAAGTATTAAAAAAACTTTGCATTTATTTTAAATGAAACATTCAGTTAAACACAATCAATGTTTGGCTAACTTGGAAGCAGTTTTGAGAAGTCATCTGAAGAGCTGTTGTGAGACGCGTTTGACTCAACGTTTGGCGAGTTTTGATGCGATGACTGTTGTGATGAAGAATCGTTGGAATACAACGAAAACTGAGAGTCTGTAACAAATATACCATTCAATTATCATTAAAATTTCTATCACTAATAGACAGTCAACATATTCAACAATTATAACAATTATGACATATCAAACATTTGTTTAACAAAAAAAATGTATTATCAATTTTAACTATAAATTATTGTTTAGTGTAAACTTTTAAAAATTGTTTTAAAAGTAATTTATTAGAAATTTAAAGTATCAATTGTAATAAAAAAAAATCAAAAGAGATTATTATAATGTATTGTAGAAATTGTTTGTAAAAACAAATGTGTTTGATTTTTGCATAAATATGTGTTACATTTAATAAATATGTCAAATACTTCAATTATGTTATTTTGAAAATATTTATTTATGAATAAATATATATATATAATCAAATTATTTGTTTCAATAGTTGTATGTGATTTGGATTGATATGAAAAATAGAAATTATTTTTTTTTTTTTTTGAGTAAAGCAATTGATTGTATCGTAATTATTATGATAAGTAAATAAAGTTTTACTACAAACCCGTGTCATCGGTATCTAACTTATCGCTATCCATACGATTGAATAATCCATTGCCATTCATAAGCATTCTATTTGTATTTAATTTAATAGTAATTAATATTTTATTAATTTCAGCAAATTTACAAATAACATAATATTTGTAATTAGGATTTATAATTAAATATATAAATATAAAATAATATTTAAAATAAATAAGTGGATCAATGTATGATTGAATGTCTAACCTATCATATCGTTTAATATGGTTATTGAGTTCACTTTGTTCATTGATTAGTTGGCTCTGTTGAGTGGATATCACTTCCAACTGATTCTGCAATTGACTGACTCTCTGGTAGTTCTCAATATCACTCGCTTCTTGTAATTGCATTTTCAGATCTTCTTGTTGTGAGTTTAATGTCTTCAACTGTTCAACTATTGCTTCTAAACTCTCCTATATTTTGACAAAATACATCATTTTTTATATTTTTATTATAATCACTAAATAACAACATTTTATTAAATACATTCAATGATAATAGTATTATTATTATTATTATTATTATTATTATGTGAAAGCAGTAAAAATAATAGTTTATTTAGCATTTTATAGAAATTAATAAAAAAGGCAAACAATAAAAATTTGCATTTTATTAGAGAAAAGTTATCCATAAACAAGCATTTCAGTCATTAGTGAGGATTTCATTAATATGGACTCAAAATATTTAGTATGTTTGCAATTATTCAATAAAAATATATATAAAAAATGTTATTTTGGAGATCCTATAAAATACTTTAGGTTTCATTTAATATTACATAAATTTCATCAAATTATTAAAACTTATAATTGTGTAATAATAAATAAAAAATGCAAAAAAGTATAATATTAAAGAATAATTGTAATAATAATATTTTTACGATATAAATAAACATCTTTCAAAATTAATTTATTGTATTTTTGACGTTTAAAAAATGTTAAATTGTTCTAATTTTGTTTAAAATTGTAGAAATATTAATATGTTTATCAAAAATTTTTATTTTAAAAATTATGCCATTTAAGACATTTTATTGTATATGAATCAGTTATTTTTAACATATAAAAGTTAGTTTTAACAAAATTAAATAACGTGTAAGTAAAAAAATTTATTACTAATTTATAGATAAATTAATAAACGTTAAGATTGGTAATTGTAAATTAAAAATATTAAATATTTGTTTTTAATTTATTAAGATATAACTAACAAATGGTTTATATATGAATGGATGAAATAAATATAGTAATGTATATCAAACCTGTTTCCTTTTCCTGTCCTCATCATTGAAAGTAATCTTAAGATCGAGTACTGAGTTAGGACTAGACTCTGTACGACTTCTTTTGCAAGGACTGGCATCCGAGTCATCAAATGCTTTCGTACAGCTTTGAGATCTAACCGATTATTTCCACAAACATTATATGTCATGTAATTATCAGTTATTATAATAGATATATTTCTATACCTGGAGTGACCTTTCGAATATTGATAACCACTGTCTCGAACCACTTGTCGGGCCAAAGGGAACAGTTCATCCCTACGAGACAACAGTGCGGGAATGTGTTTGCATATCTGTGCCGCCGCTTCATTCACCGATACCTTTAGCATAAAAATCAAATTAATCAATTTATAAATAATATAGTCTATATTAACTGTAAATAATAATACTGTCGTTACATCAAATTGCGTTTTTTAAAATATAAATAGTAATAAAAATTTAAGCATATTTGACAATTATATACAGTATATGATTTATATAAATTTTAAGTACTATATAGTATACTGTATAATGTAATATAAAAGCTTTTATACTTTAAAATGTTTATAAGTTATAGTCTATAATATAGACCAGTGATTAAAATTACAAATACAAAAAAAAATTTTAATTATAATTTATGTAAAGATCCTGGTTAAAATTAAAATATAAATACAAATTTTCAAATGTGCTATGAATGACGTTAATTTTTAAATGAAAAATTTATCATGATAACACTTAACTTTTATCACTGTTTTAGACTATTATAGTATATATTATTTACATTTATTTTTACGTTAAATTATAATAAATAAAAATAATTCGTTATAACGTTAATAATAATGTAAGTAATAAATATATTATAATTTTTATAATTAAATTATTGTTATTAAATTACAAATATTATATTAGTAACTGACAATTAATATTTTGAAATTATTTGATTTTTATTATACAGTACAAAATAAATATTAAAATTGATTTATAGCAAAATTATGGTTAACATTGTTGTCTAAATATAACCAATTGCTATTACTGTAAATCTTATGCATGTTTATTGTTTTGATATATTTAAATTAAACACTTTTAACTTTATATTAAAGTTTGTGTAAATATTTACAAATAATTATAAATACAAACAATAACAACAATTTAAGAAAGTTTAATATTACTGTATTATTAAGAATTAAATAATTATTTCTTTATTCGTTTAATGTTTTAAAAAATATTAAATTTTAAACTAAATAAAAATTTATTATTATATAATAAAACATTTAATGTAAAACAGTTTGCAGTGAGTATTTATAACCGAATCAATACTAATAATTATTTAATTATCAATAGTAATGAAGAAAAAATGTTTTAATTTGTATCTCAAACCTCATGTAAAGTAAGTGGTTTTTCAGGCTTTCTCTTGCAGTCAAAGCGGCCATAAATCGCTGCATACTTTCGTATTTCATCCATACGTCTCGGGTCTTCCTCAGGCATATTCATTACGTACTGATCATCAAAATTATACACAAAAAAACATTATATAAAGTTTCACCGATCGATGCGATCAAATCATCATTTTGTAAGCTTTTTGTTAATATATTTAAATTCAATATTAGAGAAATTTATAAAACAAAATTATATACAAAGAGTGAGCGAGTAATGAGTGAGAAAGAAAGAGTGAGTGAGTTAGTGAGTGAAAGAGAAAGAAAGAAAGAAAGAGAGAGAGAGAGAGAGAGAGAGAGAGAGAGAGAGAGAGAGAGAGAGAGAGATAGATAGATAGATAGATAGATAGATAGATAGATAGATAGATAGATAGATAGATAGATAGATAGATAGATAGATAGATAGATAGATAGATAGATAGATAGATAGATAGATAGATAGATAGATAGATAGATAGATAGATAGATAGATAGATAGATAGATAGATAGATAGAAAGAGAGAGAGATGAAATATGTTTGTACACTAATCATAATAATAAGCCAGAATCAGAGTGGATCTCATTTTATAATAAGTTTTACACCATTTAATCAACTTATCAAAGCATACACTAATGTTATTGCCATTAATGATGTTTTGTCTAATTGTAATTTACATTTTTATAACAACTCTATTATTTTGTTTTTGAATTTAAGCTGATTTGTTATGACAAGTGTGTATGTGTTTTACTTTATGCTATAATCAATGTATTATTGTAATTATATGAATATAAGTGTGAATTTGTGGCTTTAAATATAACAAATTGATGCCAAACTGAGCTATATTTATGCTAGCGTTAAGTCAAGTTACAACCTGTAGATTCATTCAAATAATATTTAAATATCATTAAATATGTTATTTTGTATTTTATATATTATATTTTCTAATAAATTTTCAATTTTAATTTTTGAGTTTAAAATAGCATAAAATTAAAACAATAGATAATAAGTTTACGTTAACTTATAAGTTATAACTTTATTACAATTCACTAATAATTAGTAATAAGACTTGGTTTAAAAACTTCATTAATGATAGTTTAGTTGCGATCGATATTTAATCTAATATGCAAATGATTTAAATGTAAATGATTTACACAATAATGCATTAATTTGGTGCTTATTTTCATTTGAAATAACGTTTGAATACATTTGAGAACTAAAGGGTTGGGAAATACTGTCAAATAAAAGTGCCATTCATTTCATACATTTTTTGCTTTTAGTAGTTGTGAGTCATTCAATATTTGACTACTGATGGGTGAGTGAGTGAGTGAGTGAGAGTGAGAGAGAGAGAGAGAGAGAGAGAGAGAGAGAGAGAGAGAGAGAGAGAGAGAGAGAGAGAGTAAGAAAGAGTGAGATTAATAACCTTAGCTGATTTGATACATTAGTATTGATATATTTGAAAAACACCGATTCATTGATCATAAATGTATAAATTAGAAAAAATTAATACTAAATATACATTTTTTAGTAGTGAAATTAAATTTGAATACAAATATAAAATTGTTAGACTATATAAAAAATATTATAATTATATATAAAATATTATAATTATATATAAAAATTTAAGATCTGACTAAATTGTTATCAAATCATAAGAAGTTAGAGTATAAATGCTAAATATTCTTGTTATTAATTTTGCAATCAATAAATAATTGCTTAGTTTAACTTAATAATAATTTGTATGTTTATTTCCAGTCATATAAATCTTGATTATACAAAATATTTAATTAATATATTAGAAATGTTTTGTACAAATGTGAATCTTACAAATGTATTAAGAAATAAACTAAATAGTTATTTAACTGATAAATGTAACTATAATTTACCTCCAATTCTTTATTTATTCTTTTTTTATTGTTACCCAATTGAGGTTTTGGGTCCATCGGCGGTAAATTTTTAACCAACACTTCTGTCACTTCAGACAAGCGCTGTATTTGACTTTCGACGAGCACTGGTGTCAATGGTATTGGACTACTCGGCTGACTATATTCATTGCACATCATTGCTGATGACACCTATATATTATGAGTTTTTAAATAATAAATCAAACTATCAGTTTAACAAAATTATAAAAAATCCTAAATATCTAATAAAAAGGTTATCATTCAGATTAAACAATATAAACACCAATAATCATCTCAAATAATTGTATTATTATAACTTTTATTTACTAAACATTTAATAAATATAATCAATTGTAAGTATTTAATAATTGATACACTAATAATCTGATATAATTGATAGACTATATTACTGTATGTTAAATTATTTTAATTTATATATAAATTGTATAAATATTTATCACTAGAAAATAATTTAATATTATAACAAATTGTTATATTGAAAATTAATACATCTAAATAATACTAATATAATAATTAATTGATATTTTTATTATGATACTTATAATAATTAGATTGTAAGCTTAGATAAGTTAAGATTAGACAAACTTTTTATATTCATAATTTTTAAAAATCAATTAAAATTATTATAAAAACTGTCGCAAACAATGTTTAGGAAAAATACTGTAGACTCTACAGTGTAGAGGAAAAAGAGTGAGGAATTTTGAATTAACTAAAGCTAGAGATTGGCTTTAAATACATTGGTTTGCATTGCATTCAATATAAGCGAGAGATTATATTTTGGTGACAACTTTTAGAGGATAGTAATGCTATAAAAGGGTTGAAACTTGAAAGTGAATTGTATTGTAAAACCATTTTTGATAAAAATGCAAGTTTTACGCCTTTAGGCCTTTTTATATGTTATATATATATATATATGTATAAGCTATATATATTTGTAATACACTTGAGTTTTTGTCACATATATAGCCTCTAAATGTTTTCATTTTATCTGATATTTATATCTATTGTAAATGACATAAAACATTTATAATGGATTTTCTATTAAAAATTTTAATTTATATATTAAATGTATAGTTACAATTATGGGTAAACATTTAAATTTTAAACTTTAAAACAAAGCTTTAAATAGAAAAAACATTATCAATATTAACTAAATATAATACTCTATATATTGCATGTCTATATAAATAATTAAAAGAAAGTGTAGTGAAACGTAAAAATAAAAACAATTATAAAATAAATTAACAAACATTTAAATTATAAATTAGTTTGTCTTAAATTTCTGTTATTCAAAAATACTATTTTTTATATCATTTGAGTAATTTTTAAACGCTTTAAAAATTAAATGTATATTTATTTGAAACAGTTATTTCATTGAAGCAAAATTTTAAAAAACAATGTAATAATGTAATAATTTTTAATATGACTAAACTAATGTTTTATTTAAGATTATATTGTGAATAAACAATAGTTTTAAATATATGACTGTTTATATACAGTATTATGGCATACAATCAACTCAAGACTCAGACGCAAATATTTTTAAGATATCAAGACCTAAGACTCACTCATATTATGGCTAAATGATCGGTGAATTAACTCAACTGTAAGTTTGCTTATCTTTTGAATAGAAATTTATTTATTTCAAGATTTTTCTCAAATATACTGTTTTATAGTTTGAGTGCTGTTGTTATATTAACTCAAAATATTTCATAAAACAAATATAATATCTATTGTTAAAAAACAAAAAAAAATATTTTGGAATAACTTTTAATGAGTTTGTTAAATATTTATAAAATAAAATTAGTTAAATGTTTATAATAAAATTAACTAGTTAAATAAAATTAGTATGGCGTCATATTAATTAAATAATATTAATTAATTTTATCTATTAATATAAATAATATTTAATTTATAATTTAATTTTTTAAAAGTAATTATAAGATAAAAGTTTAAAAATGTTAAAATACTTGATTCATGTATTGAGTCAATTGATTGTGAGAGTTATGAGAGTGAAGTGTTGACGAAGAGATTATCTGTTCCTTAGGACTGTTAGGTGAGGGCGTCGAGTGATTGCTGTTACAGCTTTGAGTGACTGTCGCTGTATTTGATGGACTCGCTCTCAATGCAATTGGAGAGGTCTGTGATGTGGACAATGTTGACATTGTCATAGGACTCGGCCTATTCACTGCCATAGCCATACTGACACATAACTGACTGAGAAGTGCATGACTCGATTGTGGACCCAAATTTGGTGCTCCGGGTGATGGAAATTGTGGGACAATTGGTGATTGAAACATAGCTATTGAATAAATCACTTTTCATTACTATATTATAAATGTCTGATATTAGCACTTAATTCTATATTATTTTATTTTGTTGTTTCTTACTATAAATTTATATTATATTATAAATAAATAATTTTTTATTAATTTTTCAAAATTTTTAATTTGATGATAAACTGACATAGAATTAGCATTAACTTTATTATTATCACTATAACTATGATAGTAGTGTAAAATTGTAAAATATTGTATAGTTTGTACCCAATAACCTACAGTCATAGCTATTGAAATGAATGAATTTGAGATATATATATGGATTTTGTATATGGAGTTCATATGATCCAAAATCATTTGACCCAAATCATTTGATCATAAATTAATTTTGTACTCAAGCTAATCTCACCAAAATGTGAGTCAAAACAATTTTAACAATTTAAAATCAAGTCAAACAAGTTTGGATCAAACGTTTTGGTTCAAATAAGTTTGGATCAAATGAATGCGACTGAGTATATACAGTATATATGGTATATCCTATTTTGGAGGTACATCTCGTTTTAATAAAAATGCATTTAATAACTATACAAAAGCTTTGATATATTTTTATTCATCAAAATTAGCATTTTATCTCACAAAATATAATATCTAATTTGATACCTTTAAGTTAGATTATCCATATATTCTGTATTTTATTTATTTTAATTTTATTATAAATGTATAAAAATTAATTTATTTAACTATTTTGTTCAAATGCTATTATTGTCTAAATAAATGTCATTAATTAAAGTGATTTTTAGATTTCTTTATTAAATAGTATGAGAAATCTTATTTAACTTATGTTGACTTTTGCCTATATATGAGTCGATTCTTACCAGGATTTGAGACCCATTCCTGAAGTGCTTTTTGTAGTCGTCGTACATGAAGTGGTTTACTGGCCATTCCTACTAAAGCCATGATCTCAAGAAACTCATCCTCTCCCGCCTCACACAATTGCTGAACGTCATCCCCACCTATCGATAATAAACCCATTACTTTATTTCAATCAATAAATTTTGTGATATCTCATGTTTTTTATTTGTGATCATTGATTTCATATGATAATGTATACCTTGACATATAAAGGTGTCATAATATGACAATAAGTTAGCCCTTTGTAGTACTCGATAGAGTTGTAGTTCAGATTCATTTGCTGGTTGTGAAGTCATGGCAACTATTTTAAGGATAAAATATATTATTTATAATCATTGCTATCAATACAATCTTATTTTATTATATATATATTTATATATATTATCTTATCTTAATTAAAATACTATATATTATGATAATATTAATATATATTTAATATACTAAAAATGTTATATAACTTAGATATAAATTTTCTATATACTCATTTGAAAAATATTGTATGAAAAACATTTTTGTGCTAAACTTGTGCTTAATATGCATTTTAAAAGAGTTGTACATAACATACAACAACTGTACATACAATGCTATACAGTCATAAAGCAATTGTTTTTATGCTAAAAACTAATAGAGAAAAATGTGTGCATAAAATACAAGAGATGAGAGACTGAAAATATAGTACAGAAAGAGTTGAATTGAAAGTTGAGAGGAGTAGTGGAGAGTAGAGAAAAAGGGAGAGATAGAGGAAAGGGAGGGGAGAGAGATAAAGAGAGAGAGAGAGAGAGAGAGAGAGAGAGAGAGAGAGATGCTTTGTGAATAGTTAGCTGCAGAGCGCATATAAGGATAACAGGAACGGCAACTCTAATAAGTGCACACATCTATACAACTATAGTGTTATACGACTACACAATATTAGTATTTCTAAATGAAGGCACACAACAAAAACTCTATGATTACAACCCTTGCTTTTAATTGCACTGAGAGAGCACTGAGAGCCGAGTGCACCGATCGATACAAACAAGTGATGCAAATGATGAAGAAATAAGAGAATACCAGAGATGAGGACAACTACAAGGATTGGCTCAAAATTTAATGTAAAGATTTGGATGAAAAAGCACTGAAAAAGGATCGCATATTTGATTATTAGAGACGGCATAAACAATATACAGCATATCTTTGTTATTATATTTTATAAAAACATTATTTCTTAAACTATTAAAATGGTTGTTATAATTTCCCATATAAAACATCTCAAATATGATTTCATTTACTGATGAATCACATTTTAAATACAAAAAAAAATGTGAGAAACCTAAATTGCTTATATAGCTACCAGTGCTGAATAAAACTGAACGCTCACCCCTTTGAATGCTTAGGCAGTGATTTAATAAATTGCTTTCATATGATTTGGGGAAATCACAAATATTGATCAAAAAATAGAAATCAATGGTTTTATTTGAAACATATAAAAAACCAAACAATTTCTGTCCTTGAATTGATGTTATTTATATGAGAGATGTATGTAAAAGCCTTCCTGAATACCTGTCCCATATCATACCATACCAGTTGCAAACATTAAACACAAACCATGGAAAACGTCCTCAACTTTTGCTTTATATTTATATCAACTCTTTTAAAGTATTCATACATAACATGTAGTGTTGGTTTCGACATTCAACTATTAATGTCATAGAAATACAAACAAACCGTATATAATATATCTCAGTATTTATAAAGTCTACACTTTTAAGGTAAGGATTTAATAATAATAATAATAAAAAATGAAAAGCAAAGTATTTGAAAAGCGGAAGAAATGCAGTGAATTGTATTGCAATGCATTCACTCCTTTATATGTATTTTAGATAAAAACACAATGAAAGCACACAATAACTTCTTTTATAACAGTTTTAGCTATCGTTAACTTATTATACATTTATGCTATTTGTGTGAAAATCTTAAAAATAAATGAAAATTATAAAAACTATTAAATATTATAATAGTAATGAGTGAGTGAGTGCATGTATGAATGATTACATGTGTGTGTGTGTGTGTGTGTGAAAGAGGAGAGAGAGAAAGAGAGAGAAAGAGAGAGAAAGAGAGAGAAAGAGAGAGAAAGAGAGAGAAAGAGAGAGAAAGAGAGAGAAAGAGAGAGAAAGAGAGAGAAAAAGAGAAAGAGAGAGAAAGAGAGAGAGAGAGAAAGAGAGAGAAAGAGAGAGAAAGAGAGAGAAAGAGAGAGAAAGAGAGAGAAAGAGTTAGGAAAGATGAAAGAGAGGTTTTATAAAATTTTGTACAAAAATTAGAAAAACAAAAAATACTTAATGGTATAAATGTTTGAGGAATTATAGGAAAGATTTAGTAACAATGGAAGTATTTCTTAATAAAATATTTATTTAAACCTTAGTTTTATAGATATATAATAAACTAATATATGTTTTATTATAAATTATATTCAGTTTATGAGTTGTCTGTGTTTTTTTTGTTTAATAAATTTTGTTTTTAATGTTAAATATAAACCTAAATTGTATTAATTAACATTAAATATTCAAAACTATTTTATTTTTTAGTGATTATACTGTATTATAAATGTTATCATATATATATATTTAAAAAATATTTAATTAAATAAATACAAATCAATAAAATTGATTAACTAAACATAAATTGATTAAAAATAAATATTAAATATTAAAACAGATGACCAAAACATTACTTAATTATATAAACAATCAATTCAATTAAACAATTGAAAAAACATATATTTTTAAATAAATTATTTTATAATAAATATAAAGCAAATTTTAAATTAATAAATAAATTATTGAACGATTGATTTATAAAGCGCTTGAATGATAGATAATACATGAATACATGATATTAAATGATATAAAATAATGAAATGAATGGAAAGTCATTGAAATGATGACCACTTGAGAGCAAATTAAGAGCCTTTGCGGAGAAGCGCTCTTTGAGGAGATGTATTGGAATGGCTGCTGATGTTAGGGTAGGACTGGTAGGTATAGTATGGTATGATATGTATTGTTAGTGCACTGGTAGGTGCAATGCACTGTAGCACTGGTACATAGACTTACTTGTTCCATTGGCATTTCGGCTTAATATACGACTGGCCAGACATTGTTGGGCCGAAATGTTGTGATGAAGTGGTGTTTGTGATAGCAGTGATTGTGTTTGGTTGGCCATTGATGTCTGATTGGGAACAGTATGTCTCATATTGGGTGTGACACTGGTATTCGATGGCATCGAAGCACTGGTCGAACACACAGTCATATAATCTCTATCCATAGTAATGGCGAACAGTTATGTTATGCGACAGTCAAAGGCATAAATAGTTGGAGACATTCAAAGCTCTTCTCTTATTGGTTGCCATTGTTAGCCATCTTTGGCTTAAATCACACACTTTTGCAAAAAAATACATACATTTTAATGCATTGCAGTTAATATGAGTGCAGTCCAAGTGTGCGCTTATCAATACTGCCTAACGCCTCGATGCAAGTGATGCTCTTTGCCAGCACTGGTAGACTATTCAAGCACCGGTATGTCGATTAGGAAAAGGCGTTCGCAGCAAATCAGTATTGAATCCAACATTTCAATACAATTTTTGGGCAACTTTTTTGACATTTTTTAAAAGAAAACCTTAAATAATAGTCCTTTTAAAGGCATTATATATATGAGAATCTGGAGTTTATGGGAAAACTTTATATAAATCTCTGTTTCAAATATTTTGCTTTTATTTTCAAACTCACATCAATGCCATTCAGTAAAAGATAGCAAAAAATTGATACAAAAGTTTGTGTCATTGGCTTTACTTGAAGTACAAACACGAGAATCAAGTATAGCATCAACTCATGTATGTTATGTATAGCCTCTCCGGCACTGCGAATGCCGGGTCTCAGTGTTTGAATGGATAATCAGGTGGTTGTATGAGCTATGAATGCAAGCACTGGTAGTATATATATATAACATATATGTATATTTAGCGCATCGATGCAATAGAAAGTGTTCGCAGAATTACCCATTTGTATGGTAGGAGGGGTTCATATATGTATATCAATGGACAGCATATCTTACGTAATGAAAAAACAAACCGTTTGTTCGCAGCATAAAAAAGTCCCCCAAATTAAGTCCCATTTTGACGACCAGTTCTAGTGATGAAAGGCTTATATTTTTGCTTACATTCAGTCAAACTATATTCTAAAGCCATAAGAGAAGCCCAAAGAAGGGGTCGTTTTTTATATACGGGTCAGTACTGAACCATTCATTTACATTCAATTCTCAGACTATTATACATACAAAATGTCTGCTTCTAAGGGAAAGCCAATCGATGAACAAATACTGCTATATATTAACGGAGAACCGCTTCGATGCTATCATTACACACACACACACACACACACACACTCTCTCTCTCTCTTCATAACTCTGCCCTTCGCTACACTAATATAGCCTTTCCTATAGTCATATAAACCATCCAAAACACCACATCATCTCAACTCCACTCCCTTAACAACAATTCATATAAAAAATTATAGATTCAATTCAATGGTGTTTTTCAATCATTATTAATTAAAACGCTTAAATCATATTATAGGACAGTGTTTGACAAAGTTTGTCCATTAGATATATCTTATAAATTACATTATATACTCATTTATTTATAAAATTATTATTCAAAAATATTTAATTTTGAAGTAATATATTGTTAAAAACAAAACTAAAACTAATAAAAATAATTTTTTAATATTATTATTATTATTATAATTAATGTTCAAAATAAGTGAACAATTTATATATGCGATTGTTGTGCCATCTCTTATATCAACTTTCACTTTATTGCATTCAATTGTTTTTTTTTTAAACTAAACTATTGCTATATTTGATAGTAAGCTGTATTTGAATAAGCAATTTATTATTTAAGTTTTAACTGCTTATTGATTAATTAAAAAAGTTTTAAAACTACTTCATATATATTAGTATATATTATTTTTATGCATATAATAATAATTAATTTTATAATAATTAAAACGTTATTTAATAAAATAATTGAAAGACTAAATTAATAATAATAAACATGTTATAATAATTAATATTTGGTATATTATATAAACAAGTTTATTTGTTTATTATAAACTACTAACAAAATTTTATAATTTAAAGTTCTATAATTAACAAATATGAAATAATTTTTTAAGTCTAATATCATAAAAACTAGTTAATAAAAATTACAATAAATAATATTTACTTACCACATATCAATTTATAACGTTTTATATACAAAAATGTAAAAATATATATAATTTATATGTTTTAAATATATATATATTGATTTGATTGTCATATTATTATTATCACGACATAAAATTAAGTTGTTATTATATGTGAAACATTCAAATTGACGGCTTTTAATAATAGGCAATAGTTATCACACTTTTATTTATAGATAAATAAATAAAACTTTGATATTATTGAAAACATATGAATATAAAACTATAGAATCCAATAATTAAAATATAAGAAATAAGGCTTGATTTGGATCATAGCTTAAGTGAAAGCCAGTCTCCGTTAGGCAGATGTGGAAGTACTGTACATATGAGTAGGCTTTTTACCCAAGGGCTCAGTCAATATAACCCGTCCCTACCATTGAAAATATAATCATTAAAAGAATCAAAAGAAGGGACAAAAAAGTATTAGATTAGCTTTGCTTATGGAGGTGGAGATGTATTACAACATTGGTTATGTCCCCTATAGGGTAGGGACTAATTCAGTGGCGCAGTCGTATCATTTGAATACAATAAAAAACTTGCATCACTACCATCACTACGAACACCACTATCACTACCAACACCACTAACCGGCTCTACTACTGGCGCTTCTTCTTAATTCATCAACTATTAGTCAATATATAAATATAAAACATATATACCCACCACTCGATTGTATATATATATATATATATTTGTTAGGAACTACCGTACGCTACCAGTACGACCCATGGGAGATGCATAAGTGACACTAATGAGGGTGTAGTGACAGTAAGAAGTGAGTAGATATATATATAAGTTAAGGATAGAGAGGGTGAGAGATATTCAGAGAGAGAGAGAGAGAGAGAGAGAGAGAGAGAGAGAGAGAGAGAGAGAGAGAGAGAGAGAGAGAGAGAGAGAGAGAGAGAGAGAGAGAGAGAGAGAGAGAGAGAGAGAGAGAGAGAGAGAGAGAGAGAGAGAGAGAGAGAGAGAAAAGGTTGCAATCGTGGGAAAAATGAAATGCAAAGACAAAAAAAAGTTTTATATATTTGTAAATCAAAAACTGATGATTTTTAAGGTTATATATATATATAATACATAAACTGAAAAATCGTTGTAATCATTGTTTGAGTTGAACACAGCATTTGTGCCATAGAGGGGATGTCATATAAAAAAGACATTCTCTGAATGGGGAATACTCTCTCATTTGCATAAAAGCATCGCTAGTCAGGGATTTGTATGCAAAGGGTTGCTATCAAAAAGTGATATAAACTGTTGTGACGGGAGTTTTATCTGACAAACAACTCAAATGAAATTGCATACAACACAACCGTATCGATCATTTATATATCAAACTAAACCATTTCTCCTCTTATCACTTAAAATTGCTTTAAAATAATTTTTTATTATTATTAAAAAATGAAATCAATTTTATTTGAATTTATTTTCAATAAAAAAAATGATTAACATTATAATTTGTTTGTCTAAATACAATTGACAATTAAACACAATAAGTTTAAAACTATTTTAAAGTTTTTTTTAATAATACAATATTAAATAAAACAAAAACTATGATTACATAAATTATTAATTAATGTTAATGACTATAACTTAATTTACATTATTTGAAAATTATCTGTCAATTTAACTCATGCAATAAATTTTAAAAATTAAATTGATTTAATAAAATAATTTTGTTTAATAATTAAAGTATAAATATTAATAAATATTGTGCACAAATGGTAATGCTATTTATTTGATATTTTTTTGTAAGTATTTGTCAAATAAATGCAAATCTAATAAATTTTATTCAATGAGTTTGTTATACAATATATTGCATTTTATTGTTTATAACATTGTAAATAACAGTAAGGGAGAGATAGATAGATAGATAGATAGATAGATAGATAGATAGATAGATAGATAGATAGATAGAGAGAGAGAGAGAGAGAGAGAGAGAGAGAGTTAAAAAATTATTTTTAATAATACAAATGATTTATTTTTTAATATGCAAAAGTTTTAATTTATTGATTGATTTCCTCAAATTATTGTTGAGAGATAACTGACAAAACTGTCGTTTTAATTGATTATACGATTAAAGTCAAAGATTATATTCAAATTATTTTTAATTTAACTTAAATTCTATGAAAATGACGTAAGAATTACTATTAAAACAGTATAGTGTTGTCGGCGTTTATAAAAAATCAATTTTCATATATTATAAAAACTGTAAAAACAGTGTATATATACTATTCATTATTACTATAACATAAAATATGATTTAAAATAATGTATAAAATGAAGAATAAAAATGAAGTCAAGGATACAAAAAACCGAAGGATTTTATTGGAGAGGTTTGTCTGCTATTAAAAAAACAATCTCTCGTTGAAAGTAATCAAATATTATAGAAAAATAACAAATCAATTAAATTAGATATTTTTTATTACAAATACTGTATTAATATATTAATATTATTTTAACCAAATAAATATTCAACACATACATTAAACTTGTGCTAAAGTATTTAATTAGTCTATAATTTCAAAGTCAAACTCAGTTTTGTAACTATTATTTAATTTCAAATTTTTTATATAATATTAAATTTAAAAAACAATTAAATTATAAAACATACAAAATTAACAAATACTTATATTGAATAAATATTTAGTAAATAATTCAATATAAAATATGCTGTGTACGTGAAAATGTCTAATTATAATCATATCAAAATTTATATTTAATTCAGTAATACTGAAATTTAATTAATATCATTTATAAATTATGTTTATTATTTTATATGTTTATTTACTAAAATTACATTGATACAATATAAATTTTAAAAAATTATTCTAGAACATTTGATTTAATTAAAAAATATTTAGATATTATAATATTATTATAATATTTAGTGCATTATATTTTAAAGATATGTTTTCAGGCAAATCATTTCTCATGTATTGTAGACTAAATATCATATACAATATGATACATGTATTATAATACAAGCATAATGTATACTACACTGTATACAATAGATATTTTATATATAATTTATACATTATAAAATTTATATACCGTATACTATAAAGTAGATACTGGTATATACTGTATATAATCGTTGAAAAAATTGCTTAAATAAAAAATTCAAAAAAAGGTAAAAAAATAAAATTCAAATCAATTTAAAATCAATTCTCAGCAAAAACTGTTTCCCCAACTATTGAATTGAAAAAATTGATTGAAAAAACACGAAAGAGTTTTTTATTTTGAAAACATTATATCGTAACTTAGTTTGAGATGAGTGAACAAAATGTTAACATTTGGCAAACAACTATAACTATAAATTTAGGTCTACTATAACTATATAATAAATTTCATATACAGGTATTATTTTTAGTAAATCTACTTTATTAATTCAAACATTATATTTTTATATCATTATATTAATGTTTAGATTTAAATATATTAATCAATATATAAAATTAAAATAATTAACTTTGTATTCAATTAAATTTGACGTAAAATAAAACTATTTTCATTATCTATTAAATTGAGTTAACTAAACATTTTAAATCTTTTCTCAGACAGACTACAAATAATATAAACTTAGTTATGCTTTAAATTGTCTGTATTTTGATTGAAAAAAAGTATAACCAGTTATGGTATATATGAGTCATTTTTGCGAAACTACTGTACAATATATAGTAATATTAGTAGTGTTGGTAATTTTTCGCAATTCAATTTTCGAATGCCGCAATTATTACGGAAAATTGCGTGAAATTTCTTGAAATTGCGCGCATGAGGGAATGTATAAAAATTAACTTTGACAACGTTAAAAATTTTGTTTACAATAGATTAAGAGAATTTACTAATTTATTATTATTTTTACATGGTTTTTAGATGGCAACATTTTATGATAAAATAATTAAATTTTATATAATTAATTTATGTTTTTATTCATATTGCTTTGCCATTTAAATTTTGTTAATTTTTTAAAAATTATAAATTTTTCTATGTTACAATTGCGATTTTCGCAATCGAGCTTTTTGCAATTGCGGCAATTTCACGCAATTTCCCAGCAATGCAATTGCGCATTTTGCAATCGGTACATCACTAAATATTAGTTATATACTGTATAGTAGCATACAGTAAAATACAGTACTGTACAGCTATAATACAATAGTTTGCATTTTCAAAGTAACAGACTCTGAAATAGACATCCAATTGAAGGTTCATGTTTTGGACAGAGAGGCCTGTTTGGACAGAGAGGCCTGTTTGGACAGAGAGGCCTGTTTGGACAGAGAGGCCTGTTTGGACACAGGGAAATGGAAATTGAAAATAATATAACATAATTAGGTAACTTTGATACACTTGAAACCGAAAAACATACTGTCCATTGAAATTATTTTTTTACAATTCACTTTCATTTAAATATGATTTATAATAAATCTTATAAAACACAGTATCATAAGTTATGATTCATAAATATAATAAAATTTCTAATATATATAAATATATATATAAGGCATAGTAGAGAATATTCAGTAGTGATAATCTTATCAATAATGTCTTCAATAAATTTAGATACAAATAATTTATTAAATAAAAAACAGGTAAATGCTTAGTCATTATTAGTTAAAATGATACACAAAATCATTCATTTTTTTAACAGAAAAATAAATCGTACAGAAGTTAAACTACAGGAATAGGACATTAAAAGTTGCATTTCTACTATAAAATAATTTTTATGAATACTATACTATATTTTATAGTTATAATTACTAAGTTATAACTATAAAAACATTTCTAAACAATTACCGTAAACCGCAAATAATATGTTTACTATATACTAAATACTAGATTTACTACAAAATATGAATCAACAATTTCAGTTGAGTATAAAATAAAACACTTATTGAAAAATCAAAAAACATTTTATTTTCAAATCATTATTAAATACAAATATTTATTTAATAATTATAAATTAATTAAATTGATTTTAAATAAAATTGAAAGCAATTTTGACAATCCTTTGGATAGTCTTTAAGGAAAGCCATCGTCATCTTCATCTGCCATCTCTTTTGCATATTCAAGATCTTGTTGTTCTCGTTCCCGTCTCTCCTATATATTTCATATAAAACATATTAATAATCAATTTATAAGTTAGTCAAAAAAATATCAAACAAATAATAAAATGAAAAATTAATTAAAAACTAAGTAAAACGGAAATTTTGCACAAATAATTAATATACCGGTATATATATATATAAATGAAAAACACTAAAATAATTCATATTACTATAAATAACATAACACACATAATATAACACAATTTATATTTAAAAATTTATGAATGCAATTAATAAAAGTAATAATTGTATTTGAAATTTAAAATATAAAATAAAAAACAAATCTATGCTTTGGGAGTTGCTATAAAACATGAATGCAATGATTATCATATGTTATAAAGAAAAAACTTAAAAATTGATTACAGATTTTATGTGAAGTGAATAATAAAAACAAACTAATTAACATATTTTTGAGTAAAACAAATAGAAAAAACTTATGCAAAATAGATGTTAGTATTAGAGGAAATTTTTGTTTAAACTATAATATTTGCAATAAAAATAATATATCATTAATATTACAAATAGTATTCAACTTGAATGCCCTTCTCATAGCATTAACTGAAAAAACTAATTTTAAGTTATAAACAATTAAAAACGTATTCACAAATATACTCAAAACATGTGAAATAATGATAATTTTAAAAATTGTATTGAAATAACAAATTGAAGATTTGTTTTTTAACAGTTTCCAAACTTGTATACTAATAATATTAAAATTAATAATAAAAATAAAATTCAATTTTTATTTTATTTTAAGTTAAACTAAGTTTTCGTATCTCAAGTTTTAAAACTAAAGTTTACAACAAGTGTTCATAAATTGTCTGAACTGAAAAAGTGGGCCAAAACATGCATTTCATAGTTATATTATGTATACATATTGTATTTTATTATATATTATGTATAATATATAATATATAGTATATGCTCTTAAAATGGTAAGTCAATAGACATAACAGTTATTGCATTTCTTTATTATGACTGCAAGAGATATGACTTTTGTATCATTTAGTGAACACTTCTTATTCATGACCCCAGACTGGGTCTCATTTAAAGGATTTGGTAAAAAAGTTAAGTATATTTTAAATTATGGTTTCAAAACTATGGACTTTGGACTTCCGGTAATAATAATAATAATAATTTCAAAAACTATCGTTTCATGCATTGGCAGTGAGTCTGGAGTCGGAGTCTAGACTTAGAAATGAGTGCTTTTGGGTCCAAATGAAAGTGTTTTTTTGCTTATCGTTAAGTCATTCGGATGTCTGTTAGACTAACTTTCATAGTAAAGAAAACATTGACTTTGAAGACACAAAACCAATACAAATATATTTTACATGTATTTTCATCATAATTATCATAACTGTTTAACAAAACAATTTAATGTTTGTTTATTCAATCAAAATTCATTGCTATGAAAATCGTGAGAAAACATTATATAAGAAATATGCGATACATTTTAACAATATTATTGGACTAATTTTTCCATCATTTTATATTAAAAACCATTTAAAATAATTGTATTTATAAATTAATATAGTAAACTAGTATAAAAAACAATGTGTGTTAATAAAGTAAAATCATAAACAATTTTTAGTATATTTATGTTTTAGGCAAATAAAATTTTAATAAAGTTTTAAAATATTCATTCATCAATAAGCATATAAAAATACAAAGTAAAAAATTATATAAAAACTAATGGGCCAAATATGTTTCAATTTTTATGTATTAGTATCTATTGTAAAATATATACAACTCTGCTTATTTGAAATTTTTTTATCTAATATACAGTAGTTTATATTAAAAAAAAACATAGGATTGGGTTCAATAAGTTGCACAAAACGGAAATATAAAAAGTTAAACAAAAAATAGCAAAATTAGGGATTGAATTGAAGTGCTACGACACGAGTGCAATGACACATGCATTTAATAGTCATACTTTTAATAGGAGTTAAGTATTAATAAAAATATAATACAAAATATTAAAGAAAAAAGTTTAAAACAATTTTTTATCTAATTTTATAAATAATATTTTAAGTAAAACTTGACTATTTTTGTTTCAAATATAATATTACGATATTTAATGTGATTTCAATACCTCCGCAGACTCCAAGTCTTTGTTGTATGACTTCGGAGGGAATCTCATAGCTTTGACGGACTGGTTGTGTATGTCTAAACAGAAAGTGATTCTCTGATGAAAAGCGGCCAACGGTTCCGAAGTGCAGTAGACATCTGTTGTTTCCTTTGATTGAACGAAACTCTTTTCGTGATCGAGAGTCGCTTCAATCACTCCATCTCTGATAGCTTTTGCTGCAATATATTCAGCGTCTTCTGCGTTATCGAGCATTAGTTTGTTGGCCACATCTTTCAAATGGATCCGAGAGTACGAAAGATTAATCATTCGAATACCAGTTTTGATGACATTGTGTCTCAAACGTATAATAAGAGTGAATGTGTGATCCGTTTGAAACTTGGGTCCAAAATTTTCCAGTACTTCATTAAATCGCTGAAGATTACCAGTTCTGACTGCTTGAGTCAATTGAAAGTATGGAATAAGACATCGACGAAGTGTTGGCTCACGAAATAAAGCTCTATCGGGAATGTCACCCAACAAGAGTTCCACAGTTATGGCCAACTTCTGCACAATCTGTTTAAATCCAAGTGCTTTCAGTTGCGGCGCTTTACGAATGGCTTGGAGTAGGTTTTTACGGGACTCTGAGTACTCCAATTGAATTGCTTTAATTCTACCCAAATAGTAGAGAAAACGAGCGAATTCGTTGTTTGGGGCCAACTCGGGAAACACCGATTTCGATACCAGTTTGGATGCCTGTTCGTAGAGATTGTAGTGAAGATATGTCCTTAAAAGACAATTTAAAAGTACGGCCTGTCCTTCAAAGTCATTACGAAGAGTTGCAGTTCGGAGTCTCTGATGAAAAAAACCTTTGACTTTACTCAATTGATCCGTTAGTTCGTAACATCTCATGTGATAGAAATAGCATTTGGCGGCCAATACGTCGAGTGTGCGACGGTTTTGACGCACAATCTTTGACATCAATAGATCCGAACATTTGACAGCCTTTATGGCAAACAAACAATTAAAATACAAGTTTTTGCAACAAATTGTCTTACATTAGTATATCTTTCTAAATCCAAAAGATATAAGAGAACCAATAGATGAAAATAGATGTCAATTTCGGGAAGAAGTGGTAGAGGAGCTGATTTAGTCACCTTTGCCTTTGACGGCTGTCCACTTGAATCAGTATCCATAGGTTCTTCAATAAAAGCAAGAAGTGGTTCCTTTGGATTGTTTGAATGCGTGTAAAATCCATTGATAATTCTTCGCAGAACTTTTGCATTCAACTTCTTGCGAGTTGTGGCCAAAGACCTCAACACTCTGAGGACAAATCGCGGTTCTTTAGATGAAACAGATTTGCCAATTTGTCGGGCCTGTTCATTCAACTCTTCAATCGTCACCTGATCCGTGTCTACCGCTTGTGTCGTTGTCGGCGATTCGCTGTCCACGGCCTTCATCTCCACATCTTCCGTATTCTGCTCATCATTCTTTGACTTCTTAGTGTTGGAAGTGCTACCAGTAGTAACCATTGTGTCACTTTCAATGTGATGATTGTGTTATCGATAAAAGTATGGATCAATTCAAGTGATGGCAAACTTCAAGTGTTTATCAGTGAATAAGCAATGATTTTGCAGTTTTCACAAAACAATCACTCATTCAATACATAAGTATTGCTAACACTTGTTATATAAAATATATAATATATTACGTTATATTTGGATTGCATTTACTGTACAACCAATCATATCTTTCATTCATATATAACGTTACAAACTATTTAGTAATTTATAATTTGATAAATATTTAATAAATAATTATAAATATTATACTAAATACTAAATTTCAATATTAATTAATTACTTTTATTGATATAATTAAATACTGTATAACATATATTTATTAATTTGTTTTTGTTTTAAATAATTTAGTTTAATTTACACAATTAAAAAAAAAAATTAAGACATTTTATTGAAGTTTGAATCCAATAAAATCATTTATATTTAATAAATTTAATGTTTTATTAAAACAATATTTTCATTTAATTTTAATTTCGTAAAACATATTTATTCAGTTTAATTAGCAAATATTAAATTTGATTTTTATTAAATACATTTAACTTATCTTTAATTAGATTATTTGGTTTATTTATATTTTTATTTAATTTATATTAAAAATGTCGGATTTGGTTAATAATGAATTTATGTTATTTAGTTATTAGTATTTAAATTATATAATTAATAATTAATATAAATTATGATATATTTATTATACAGTAATATAACTAATTGTGTTGTAATCAGGGTTTAAAAATGGCAGGCATAAACAATAGATGCCAATTTTGCTAAATGTCTGCCCTGCCTCTGCCATGCCCTGGGCATCTATTTTCAGGTGGTGACACCTATTATTTTATTTTTATATTATTAATTAATTTATAAAACATTGTTTTTATAATATATTTTCTTGTATTTTTGTTTTGTATACCTTTAAATTAAAAGGTAATATCATTGGAAATAAGTAAATTAATTGTAAATTTAATTAACACGTTAAAATACTAAATTACATTATTTTTATAAATACAGTTGCTTTTTAGCAATTTAAATTGGCAGGCTAATAAAATATATGCCCAAAATGCCAGGCATTTATGGCATCTATTTGGGCATTGCCAGGGCAGGCATTTATTTTCTTAAAACCCTGGTTGTAATACAGTACTATTCAATATACTATAAAAAGGGGTAAAATGGGGGAATTGCATAATACAGTAATAACAACATATATTATACAACAAAATATAGTAATTAATATGTAAACAAAAATATTTAATTAAATAATTAAATATTAGTATTAAACAATTGGTGTTATTGTTGTGATTATCACTTTAACTGATCCACACACACATAGTTTTGGGACACTAGTAATGTATGTGAAAGTGAGTCCATCTGTTGGTTAATCATATGAATGAATGGATGTATAGATTGAATGCATTGAATGTATGTATGAATGCATTGAATGTATGAATGAATGCATTAGTCTTTAGAATCAATTGAGAGCTCAAACGTTATGAGAGACGTGTCGTCAACGCTAAGAGTTAACCACTTTTTGGTCATTAATTACCCGATATTTTGGTCTGATTTTGATTTCAAGTGATTTATAAGTCAACTAATAGTTAGTAAATGTATGGATTGTCAACCAATTGGTGACCAAATGAGTGAAATGACTGCAAAGTTGATGAATAGTGTGACCACACCTAATGTCAAGGAAAGTGACGTCCAATCAATACAACAACATTTGGCGCACACTTTGAATGACAATAATATCAATGAAGTGGACATCACTTCTCAAGACATGTCACAAACAATAGTGACAAACAGTCATTTGACTGCATCTAATGCTTCAAAAGTGACGCAAAACAAACAACGAGAAGAAGCTAAACGAAGACGAACTCGACGGTCAAAGAAGAGAAAATGGCAAAAGTTGGATGGCTTTGACAATACAAGACAAAAGAGGTTACAATGGAGTGAATCAACTGAACAGGATGTGAGACGATTGCATAAGAAGGTGATAGATCACGGACAACCACTCGCACCATATAATACAACTCAATTCATTATGAATGACCACAATTGCGATAATGAGGTCGACTTGGATGCCATTCGTGGACGACTACAACGCATGAGACGAAATCATCACAACGACACTACCAATGATGGCAATGAATTCAATAATGATGAAGACTTTTATAGTTCACCTGAAGATGAGTCAGATTATCTTCAGCAACAGTTTCATGAAACCTATGACCACATTCACGCCGAGAGGTTGTCTTCTATGAATAAAAATCAATTGGTTGAAGAATATCTTCATTTGGAAGGTCGTGTTGAAGAACTCGAGAAACGACTTAAAGAGTCGACCGCACAAACCTCGACAACTGTAAGAACTACATGTGATAGTGAAGTGCAAACTGAAAGACGTGGACACGACAATCATATTGATGTTGAACACGATATCATTGATCGGACATTCAATTATCGACAGGAGATTCAAAGACTTTCGGAAGAAAATAATAGATTAAGAAATCAAAAGGAAAAATTGGAAAACATTCTTAAAGAACGTGACCACTGATGACACAAATCGATGAGTTTCTGAACAAATGCTTCATTGTTTATGAATTGGTTTCGATGTTTGGTTTTATCATTTTTATCGATAAATTATAGATTGTATTTGATTTTAGATTCATTTATCAGATTTCTAATTAAAATCTCATTTAAGTGCAAATCACAACTTTATCCATATTTGAGTCCATATATAATTCATACATCTCACTAATTATTATATAATTAATTATAACCAATTAAAACTTAATTTTAAGTATCAATATATAGTTTTAATTTAGGCATTGTATTGTTTTTTTAATTTTCATACAATATATGAAATACAAACTCAAACCATTTCCTCAATTGTTTATAATTTCAGACTTACTTGTATTCTACAGTTAATATAATTTATAAATATAACTACATATTTATTTACTGTAAAATAAATTGTATAATAATTAAGAGAAAAACATTTAGATGTTTTAATCCTGTTTTTAAGATTAGTAATTTAAAAATATATATTACCGGTAATACTGTATAAATATGAGTTATATAAAGTGTATATATTTTTAGATATATTATAATTTAACTAATAATCTTGAGTTAAGATTAATTTTTATATTATTAATTAAATAAAATAATTAGAATATTTTTAAATGGATATTAAAGATATATGAAGAATAAAATGTGAAATTGTAGGCAAATATATATATTAGAGGGAATAGTTATGAGATGTAATTTAATCGTTCAATTGAACACAAATTAAATTAACAATTAAAGCACTTAATAACTGAGAGGTATTGATATATTCTGTATTATTGCAAATAATAGTATCATTTATTTCATTTTCATATTTAACAGTAAAAACTATAATTAAATTTTTTAATTAAATTATAACATTGAAAAATAATAAAACTATTTAAAATTATTTTATTTCTATTTTACATTTATCACTATTTTCAATAAATAGAAGCAATTTAACTACCTTATTAAGTTTTAAATATATTGTTTAATTATTTATTAAGTAATATATAAATTACATTTTTATAAATTAAGTATTTGAAGTAAAGCTAGTTTTTAATATATGATTTTTTAACAAATAGTTTTTCATAATTAGTATGTTCTGTCCAATTAGTCATTTGAATACTTTTAAATTTATAACACTGTTTTATACAATAATTGTATATCAATTATAATTATAATGTCTTTATTAATTTATATTAAATAGTATCTAAAAAAAGGATTTCCTATAAAGAATAGGTATAAATAGTGATTATTATATAAAATGTATTTATATATAAAAGAGATTATAAATTACATTTTATAGTCGAAGGCTTTCTTTAGTCACACTTTTTTAAATTAATTTTTTTAAATACAAAATATACTAATATTATGCTTATTTAATGTTTAAAAATACTTAAGAAAATTATGAATTAATACAAATTTTTTACCTTTTTTGTGCCAACTTTAATGATTGTTTGAACAATACTGAGTTAGTATTAATTAATTGCTGTGATGACTACTGTATATATCACAAAATTGATATATCTATATAACTAATTGTTGGTAATTATTTTATAAGTTGTGTAAAATTTTGCATCAATGCTATAAAATCTAAAATTATAGCACATATAATGTAATATAAATATTTTTATTATTATTCAGTTAGTATTAAAATTATTAGACAAAATAATGTCTTATAAACAATTTAAGGATAATATTTTTGGAAGACAATCTATAGTCTATTTTTTAATATTCATTTTAATCATTTTATATTATTATACAGTACTGTAAATCAAATACTGTATAAACGACAATAGATGAGTATAAAAATTGTCAGAAATCAATGTTTTCTATGGTAATTATAATTCAAATGTTTGCAATGATAGCGCAAATACATTACTTTTAAGCGATTTATACAATTGGAAATATAATTTAAATGATTATTTTATAATATATTTACTAATAATATCTTAGACATGCTTAACAAATATTTCAATCACTATTACCGTAGGTTTAATGTAGGGTTTATTTGCAGTTCAATTAAAATACGCTGATGATTAAACTAAATTATATTTTCATAAATAAAACAAAAACAAAATAAAACTTCAAAACAAATGAAAATCTTTTAATTGCCATTTCTTAGAGAATTATCAGTTAATTTGATAATATATCGATTATATAAATATAACAATAAACAATTTAAATTATTTTATTAATTAAATTAATTAAGTTAGCGATGCTTAAAATTTTTGGCAATAAATAGATTAACTCTTTATAGTTGATATTTGTACAAAAAAAGTAATAATTAATTATATGTTATAATGATTTGAGGATAAATTCGTATCATTTATTGAAAGGCATTGAGAGGTGATTTTCAATATTGTTAAATAATTTAATTAATTAATTAAACCAAATATTGTGTTATATATATTTTTTATAAACATCACAAGTAAATGATTGTATAATTGAGTTATTTCGGCACTTTTATTAGGCTTCAAATTAATGATATTTTTGTGACTCATAACTGAATTGTCTAAGAAATGGCACAACAATTTATTAGTGAAATTTTTAAAATATTAATAAAATAAAATAATTAAATATTTTGCATAAAATTAAGTTAGATTTTTTTTGCACTTTTGTTCATCGATTGTAACGCTGAAACCTCTCAACCCTCCAATATTTTGACTCAAATATGTTTAGTTAATATTGCATTTAATATATACTTTAAAATTAAGTTATAATTACTATAATATAATACTATGGTCATAAAGTCATTAAACGATGTGTTTGCTTATGTACTAAATAGGACGGGTAAAGTTGGCCGGGAATAGTCCTTTATCGCCATTCAATTCTCTGATACCCATAAGCCATCCTTCCTCCTGTTCCTCGGGATCTTCATAATCAACTACATGTATGATCTCTGACATCTCGAATGATAGTTCATCCGAGTCTTCAGCAGCGTATTTGAATGTTGCCCTAACCTAATGTCAAATGATATAAACATACGGTAAATATAATTAATCTGCTATTAGTATTAATAAGACTAATATGCTTATGATAATACAGTAGTTAAATCACATCAATTAAATTACCGTAATATCAATGCAATGCAATTTAAATATAAATATTGATTATAAGATTAAAAACATAGTTAGTTTGTATCATACTCTTTGATATTTATTAATTTTTGATATCAATTGAGTGCAATAATATCAATTTAACCATATATTTATCATCTCATGTGACTAATAATTAAAAGTAATTAAATATTGATAAAATATAAATAGTAAGTTATTATAAAAAATTTAAATAAAAATCAAATCAGTGATAGTGCTATATAGCATTGTCAGAAACAAACTTTGATGGCATAAATTACTTCTTATACATAATAAAATACTCCACACATGAATAACTAACATAAAATGTGTATATTTCAGAAAGTTTGAAAATTGGTATAATATTAATTATTATATAATTATATTGATGTGCATTAAAACATTTATAATATTAATTGATTATGTGATTTAACTGATAACAAATATATGGTAAAATTCTAATAATATTTTCGATATACCAAAAAACTATAAATTCATACAAATAAATGTAACTAAACTCTTAATACTTGTATTAAATTTATAAAAATTTCAATTTAATAACAATATAATAAAATGTGAGACCTTATAGAGTACTCCTGGAGGCAAATCAGTGGTCGTGGCGCCGATCGGGATGTCATAAAGCTCTTCTGCTTTCGACTTTTCATTTAATTCATGCTTTATATCCGGTTTATGACAATCAGGTATATGAGTCGATTCATTTAATACCTAATTATTTTACAGTTATGTTATTTTGGGTTTCGATTAAAATATATTATTATTATATCTGATTATTCATATACAACATTTAAATCATTTTATTGAGATAAACAAAAATTATAGTATTGAGATATTTTGAAAATAAAATAGATTATATGCTAAAATAAAATATCAATTGACCTTTTTTAATTATTAACTAAATAAATAAAAAAATATATTATTTATTATAGTTAACCTCAATTTTTTATACCTCAATAATACTAAGTACAATAAATTTTTAGTAAATAATAAGTCTAATCATAATTTAACATTACCAATCAAAATAATAATTGATATAATAAATTATAAAAACATGAGAAAAATATAAAATAATTATTTAAAAGATTTGTTACTTACAGTATTGTCCAACTTATTGAGCGATTCTTTAGTATCATTACAAGTGTTGTCGACCCAAACTTGTTATAATAAAATTAAAATTATTAAATTGAAAATTAATAATCAAATTTATCAAATATTTAGATAATTTAAATACCCGTATCAACTGTTTTTGATGGCGTAGATAAACCATTGGTAACCGAAATCCTTTGCGATTCTTGATTGCATTTAATGTCACGATTTGCTGGTTTAAAATCAATTTCTTCATAAGGTTTAGTGCCATTTGGGTCTACTTTATTCGCTGCTTTAGGTGAGGAAGAGATGGTATGCCTACCATTGCTAATGAAAGAGCCTTTGGAAGCCTCGGCAGCCAATACATCGATTAGGTCACAGAATTGCGTCGAAACTTTGGAATATTCGCTGTGAAAGGTATTCTCAGCTGAGAATAATGTCTGAAGATTTGATACCAGAAATGGTATTCTGCTGTCATAGAGAGCCGGAAGCTCTTCATGGAGTTCCTTATTGAGCACTTCATATAGTCGTCGGGCCTCTTCCATCTGTTCTCTAGCTTTTGCTACCTTAATGTCATCCCTTTTTTTAGAGGCCGTCTCCACTGCTTCCACACTATGTCGACACCCGTCATAGTCAACCAACTTTCGGCCTCTTTTCGAGATCTTATTCTGTAATTATATATTACATTATAAAAGTAATTTCGAAATTATTTAAAAGTTTTGCTTTCTTTTCATTTTATACAACTTATTGTTTATGTATGCAATGCATAATATTACAATATATTTCTATTTAATAACTTATTTTGTTCTCAAATTGCTATTAAACATTTAAATTGTATCATTAGTCAAATAATTTCATGTATAAGAAAAAATATTAAATAAGTAATAATATAATACTTTCAATTAGTATAAATTTATTAAATATAAACCTCATTATATTTATATTGTTTTACCAAATATGTACAATGAAAGCAAGTATTCAATTAACCTAAAAGTCTTCAATATTAGTATTAGTGATGAACTAATGGAGTGAAGGCGTAATATTATATATAATGTATGACTAAAACTTAATTTAAATATAACTAATTTCAATATTAAGTAAAAACTAACGGTAATATAATTGTCAAAAATTGTGATTTATTAATTAATATGTAAATTTGAAATTAACTATTTTAGTTGTATATCCAGTTTTAACGAATCTCTTATATTTGAAGTCATGTTTTGCAATATATTTTTATATATACTGTATATATTTGAAGCAAATAATTGCAAAGTATGTTAAACTGACCCGAATTTCCGAGAATTGGCTTAAGTAAGTGCTTAATGGTATAGTGCACTGATCATTGATTTTATGGCACAGATCACCCCACAATAGTTCCAGTGTCTGTGCCTTGAGATGGATCTGGTCGTGTCCCGGCCACTCCTGTTCATATATCTCTTCAATGCAATCCATTAGTGATTTTGATGCCATTTGCATCTCTCGACAACAATTATAATAGTTCTTAAGCTCCTTCTGTAGCCGATTAGCTGTATTTTGTTGTTTATTGAAATTGTTTTGATAGACTTCAAACAACTCATCAGTAGTTTTATCTGCTTTTCCAAAGTTTTGTAATAACTGTAATATAATAGACAATATTAATCATCTCATTTGTTTGCAACAAATCTTTTATTATGTAATTATAATTTTGTTTTAAAGCCTTTAATATAATTGAATGTCAATTAAAAGAGATGATAGTATTAATATAATTTATGGTATATCAGTCTATCATCAATTTAATTACTTTAATCATAGCATTTAAATTGTGTAAAACATATCTCTTATGATATGATATTGCAAATCAAGTTTCTTTTAATATTGGCGTCAAAACATAAAATGTTTTAAATTGTAATTTGAGTGAAATATAAATATATGATATATGGGACAACACATAAACACCGATATTTTGATTAAAAGCTCAATTTATAGTTACATAAGTGGGATATCAACTAAACTGGTTGTTTACAAGGGATGCAACTCAAGGTTGTCAGATGTGGCAGTGCTTACCTCCATAATCTCATGGCTCATACCTTATATCTCAAACCAGCCCCTAATCTACATAAATATTTCAGTCCACTTCCTACTCAATATTTATCACTTAAGAGCCGTTAGCCATAAACACAAGTAACTGATTATTATTACTAACTATAGGTTCGACCTCTTCTTAAAAGAATTTATATAAATCTCGAGGAAATGACAGATATTCACGGATCAGAGGATCAGACTCTCAATAAGCCGTTTCCAACATTCAGATCATTATTTGACCTCAAAATTATCGCATAAATTATCCAAATCTAATAATTATATATTTATATATTACTGTATTTGTTTTATATATACTATAATTGACAATATATTACAAATATAGGTTCTATGGATACATTAGATATTGTAATTGTTTAATCATAACTGTAATTATTTTTCATTATACAATATATTATAAAATGTTTGACTTTGTATTGTATTGTAAATCGAGATAACAAAGTAAACAAAATTATTGATATTACGTAACCCAACAATTGCTACGAAACATAATCATAAAATGTGTCAAAAAGTATTCATCACTTTTACATTTAAACAACACTATTGTATAACTATTTTAATATTATATTATAATATATATATTTACTGTAATATCGCCCACTCCTAAAACATTACTATAAATGAAATATTTCAATGTTGTTTAACTCCATAATAAATTACTTTACAAAATAATTCAAATGTCACTTCAAATTGTTTAAATTGATGTCTAATTTATGAATTAGTTTGTCATTTAAATAAACACATTGAATGTATTCATTGAAACGTATGTCACAAACATATATTTTGTCACCAATTTTAAGGGTTAATCTTTGACAGTAATTGATGTCTCTCACAGTTAATACCTTTATAATTATATGTTAAGAAATTTAAATGATATTTAAGAAAACAATTTTTTAATTATGTTTTATATCAAATTATATATCATAATTATAAATAATAAAATTATCATTTAATTTATAAATATATGTTCATTTAAATAAAGTCAAAACAAATACAGTATATAATACTAATTTTATACTATATATACCATATATTGTATGCATTTATATTGTCAAAAATTTGATAAATATCTAAATTAAATATTGTATAACTTATTAATAATTTTATAAAACAATAACATATTAATATATTTTATTATCAATATTTTCAAAACTTAGACAACCAAATATACTGTATATTATATGTTAATTATTATTAACATATTAATTAATATATAAGTAATAATAATTAATTTTAGATCATTCAATAAAGTTATAAAGTATTTTGAGTAAATTTACAATTTTAAGTTACAATTTTTACTATTTAATTATTTAAAAAAATATATAACTTTATTGATAACATTGAATGAGTAAATGATTAGTGAAAACATAATCAAAAATACAAATTAAAAAATAAATGTAATTATAAATACATATAACTTATAATCAAATGTTTGTATTATAATGATACTAATTGTTATTTAAATAGTATTAATAACTTAAATCAAACTAATGGTAGTAAATGTCCGATAAATAAAATATTATTGTCTTAAACCATATAAAATGCATTCAAATATCATTATAGCAAAGCATTGGGCAAAAGGCCAGCCATTCATTAGATCTTTCATTAAGTGATACTATTTTTGTGACAACTCTTTAAATTGAGAATTGAGTTACAATTGAGGTCACAGACAGACAAATAGCTTTAAATATCAAACAATTGCTATTTTAATTGACAGTCACTATAATAATATTAATAATATATAATATAATCAATTAAATATAAATCAAATTATCGTATATTTATATCTATATATATATATATATATATATAGTCATCATATGGTATATCATATAAATTATATATATATTAGAGTTAAGAGAGATGTGGGAGTCATTGGAGGTGACCATCAAATGTATTGAGTGATGTATCAAATATATTAAATTAATAAATACATGATATTAGAGGACAGTATGGCAGTGGTATAGTTGTTGACAGATATAATGGTATGTAATCATTGACTTACCCTTTCTTTGGCCCTCAAAGAGTGTTTTTGGACAACTCGTGAAAAACCGGAGGCTTTAGATTCGGCCATATTTTGGTTTCGCATCTTTTCATACCATTTATTACATACACTTTGCAATACAAGTATCAAAAATGTTTTAATGCAATGATAGGCGTCGCTAACAAATATATACAACACTACAACACTGTATAATACTAACAAATCTATAGACTATACTGTAGTATAATACCAGTGCTCACAATATCATATAATATACAGTTTGCCCGATAAATAGGCAACCAATGCTAAACATGTGATTATTATTATTATTATTATTACTAATTTTTTATTTAGTTTTTTTGTTGGTTAAATTTAAACAATAATTTTGATATATTTATATAATTACTATTAATATTTAAAAACAAATATTAGAAACTTGTAAAGTATTAAATTGACCAAGCTTATTAGTTTATTAGCTTATTAGCTAATTATAAACTTATAGTACTGTACAGTATTATAGCTCATTAAATAATAATTACAAAGTATGTTATGTTATACAATGGTTGTGATCACTGATTAATATAGAAATACTTTATATGAAATTGTGAAACACATCAACGTTTATAATAGGGTTATTCAATGAAGAGAAAATATTTGGCAACTAATGAGTTCCACAATAACCAGATTGGCTGCAAAACCCAACTCTCAAACCTACCCGTCCTCTCTTACATCTCATGTTCCACATTAACCCACAGACAAAACTTTTTTATTATTAATATTAGTATTAATATTAGTATTAATATTAGTATTCTAGTCTATTATCAAATGTAAATATTAATTATAATCATAACATTAGGTATTATTTTGTTTGACACAATAGCACCTTGACACTTTTTAATTACAGTATTATTTGAATATAAAAACAGCATCATAAATTAGTGAGATAAATGTAAAATTTTAAATTCAAGAAAATAAAAATTGCAACTATTATATAATTTAAAATTATTATTTGTTTGCTCAAATATTAGCATTTTAAAAACTATTTAAATATTAGGTAAAAATTTTAGTAAATATTATATATACTGTTTTTCTATAACTGACGTTTTTAGCAAAATATTTTAGTAAAAAATACTTAAATTTTTAAGAATACTTTAGTGAATCACAAATTATATGCTTTTATGGTTAGACCTGTATTTTTCTCTTTTAATTTAAATTATAATTAAATAAATCAATGTTTTATTATATCTTAGACCTAAAATTTAGAAGTATTATTTTAATAAAAATAACAAAATATAAATCTGTTTTATATTATAATTTAGTTTATATTTAATTATAATAATTTAATTAAAAATGCATATAAAATATTTTTCAAAAAAATCTATATATTCTCTGATTTTTCTAAAATTTATTTTTATGTTATACTACTAATCAAAGTTGTAATCCATTTGATAAATATAACAATTGTTTACATTTTAATTAATAATTTGCCAAAATAATGTAAATAACTAGTTTTTAAGTTTCTTTTAGATTAATTGTTCAATTAAAACATAGAATTATAAAAATTAAAATATAAATTATCAATAAAAATGTTAACTAGTTTTTGACTAAATTAAATCATTGATACACACAATAAAATTGTTTTATGAACTTTTTGAAATGTGTAATATTTAGCATTTAAGTGAATAGTTTTTAAAATATATATTTTTATAAAGTTATAGCATTTTAAAATTTGTTAATTTAAACACTAATAATTCATATTACTGTTAATATAATAATTATTATTATATCATTTTCTACTTGTATTTTATGTGAGTTTAGCTAATTTTTAGACATTTGTTACTGTATATACAGTATATTACTATATATTTTATATAAGATTATAGTAGATATTGCATTATTGAATATTTTTATAAATATGAAAACTAAGCAACAAATTAAGTGAAAAATTAATGTAAAACTATTTTTTCATCTAATTTGTCGATAATGTTAAAATTTTACATTTCCAGTAACTTCATAAATTGAAAATTACTATTTCTAATTAGGAAAATTGCTGCAAAAATACCTATTTTTTGAAAAACTAAAAATATAAATTTATAAAAACCAATTTATCTATATATTGTTTTTATTTTTAATCTATTTAAATTATTTTTCAATATTCAGTTAAATTTTTAAAAATGTTAAATTACTAAATGTTATATTAAAATATATTACAGTCTACTGTATTTACTGTATCTAACAGTTTTATTTATTGTTCAGAAACTATAAGTAGAGTACACTATGTATTATATATTAGAAATTCATATTTTATATTAGTATTATATAAATTAGAATTAAATATATAAATATACTGTAATTGCATTCAAATATAGAATTTGTTGATTTTATTTGATGTTAATTAATGTTTTTAAAATCAATAAATTTAATAACATATTGATTTAAAGGTATTTATTGACAGTTAAAATTTAGTTATTAATAATTTGTCTAGCACATTTTTATTAATTCTAAATATAATAATACATAAATATTTGGAACTACCATCTGAATTTATAACCAATATTATCTAGGTCATGAACTTATTAATTTCAATTATCTATGACTTACTATTAATAACCAAGGTAATTAAATAGAAATTATAAAAGTAGGTTTTTGTTTTATCAAGATTTTGGACATTACTATCTCTTTGCATTAAAATATGCATTATTTGCTAAGTATATTGTTTGTAATGACTAACATAATTGGATATAACATAATTGACATTGACTTTAGTATAATTTAAATATAAGGCGTAACTAATTAATAAAAACTTTTAAATTTAAACATATTTTTACTATAATTATAATTAATTTTGTATATAACATAGGGTTTATTTTCAGGTGAAATAAAATTAATTTAAAAGTAAATGAAAACAATAACAAATAATTCATTGATTCGTAACTAAATTTTACATGAATTCTGTACTTTTAAAAAATGACTTAAAGAGTATGAGTTAAAAATTATTACAGTTTACTAATGATTATTAAAGTTATGTAATTGTGGTAATCATTAAATGATAATCAAAATTTTGATATATTGTATTTAATATTTACTCAGTTAATTAAGAGTAACTATGAGTTATTTTTAATATTTTAATAATTTATAACTTAATATAATTAATTATATAAATAATAATTAAATAATTAATGTTTATAGTTTATAGGTACATAATTTTATTTTTTTAATGTTATTTGTATATAAAAATTGACTACTAATTATTTAACTTAATTTTTGTTAAAGTTTTAGTTATAAAAATTATAAAATTGAAAATACTTTTTAATTATTTAATTTTAAAAATTATTAATAAAACTATATTATAAGTATTTATTGTTTTACTAACTTTATTTATCTTAAACTTCTATTTAAATTGTAATATGATTACTGTCTTTTGACAAATAGGTAATTATTATTTTTTTAGTTGAATATTTTAATTAAAATAATGTTATTACGAGTTTTAACGTGATTTTAACTATTTTACTTATTTTTAATTAACTATTAGATTTATATAAATTTTAAAAACAATAACATTTACTAAAATAGTATCAATTAAAATTAAAATTTTAATAAACTTCAAAAAAAAATTCGGCGCTGAAATTTTAAGGGGGGGTCATTTCTAATCGTTTTTAAGCGAAAAAATTTCCAATTTAGTCAAAAAAGTCTGGGGGGGTAAAATCACAAAATCTCGATCTTAGGGGGGTATTTTGGCTTTACCCCCTTACTTAACTCTGGTATTATACATATGTAACATGTAAGAGATCTTACCCCTACCCCCTACCCCCCCCCCCCCCCCCTTTAGCAACCCTGACTTAAATGTAATTTTTACAATTATAATATTTGTATAATGCGTTCAACTTATTTCTTTAATAAAAATTCTTTAATAAATTTCTATAGATTTTCTTTATTAACTTAATATACAAAATATGAATATATCTTAAATCATTCTCATTGACTGTCGATTTATTTGAATATCTAGTAAACAATATTTTATATCATTTATAAAAATGACAAATAATTGTAATGTTATAGACAATTGTATTATGAATATATTTGAACTTGGTCATTTTTTATTTACTTGTATGATTGACCAGATAATTGCACCTACAGTACAGTACAACAGTATATATATAACAATAATTATTATATAAATTAATGTTATAAATAAATTTAATAATAGATATTTACAGTATCTTATAAAATAAATTTGTTATAAGATCTAAAATCATCTATATAAATTAACCTTAAAAATATAATTAGTGAAAAAAAATAAAATGTGCTAAAATGTGCTATAAAATAGTCTACAGTAATAGTATATCGCAGTTAATAAAACTAACAAATAGTTACTTAAAATGTTATTTATAATAATATTATAAAAGATTATAATTTTATAATAAAAGATATTTTAAATAATTATATTTATTAGTTTTAAAATTAGTATTTATCTGAATAAATATACATTTACTCAAAGTTTTTTCATTAAAACTAATTTGTGTATCACTTTATATACTTTTATATAATAATAAAATTATTTTAGTTTCAATATATAATTTACAAGTTATCTAAACAAACATTAATACAATCAACTACAGTATTAACAATACAAATATTAATAAATCATTAAAAATTAATATTTACTAAAATAAGAAAAATCAAAATTTTTGAGTTAAAATTTTATAAATTAAAAGAATTATAGTAAGTATACTAAATTATATAGTTATTGAATAGTTAATACAGTTATTAAAGACTCAAATAGTTATTTATTGGTGATATAAAATGTGTTGAGAATAATAAAAATTTTGTGATTTGATTGAATAATATATATATTAAACTATAGTCCGATATAAACACAAATAGTTATTTACTTAGAATTCCATATATTATCGATTAAATATCAGTTAGTAATATATTGTACAGTATATAACAAAACATTTATATTTATCGACTTTGAATAATCGTTAGTAAAATAACTTTTAAATTATGATTAATTATAAAGAAAAATAATAACAAAATGAAAATCTCAAAACCTTTATATCAATTTATAAAAATCATTTATAAAAGTATTTAGTGGCAAAATTAGACATTTATTTTAAGTGTTTTAATTATAACTGAATTTTAATTAATAATTGAATTTTATATAAAGTATTTAATAATTATTATTTTATTAAGTAATCCTAAATATTGAGAACTATATGTTTTACTTACTTTGTATTAATTTCTTAATCTAAGTGATTAAGTTTGCTATTATAACGATGAAATAAAATGACAAAATGATGAGACAGACAAATGTTAACAAATAAAAGATTTTTAACATACAAACCATAGTTTTCATCAATACTTTACCGATTAATTTAAAGATAATGCCTTCAAATCATAGAAATTGTGTTAATTAATGGCTTAGAACTCAATTTCAAAATTTTTCAAATATAAAAAAATCAATAAAATAAAAATATATTTAAATCAAATAAATAATACAAATTTGTTTTAAAATACAATTTATAAATAATGTAAACATGTTTACTGTTAATTTGAAACTAAATGTACTTAAAATATTTATAAATTAAACAAATAATTTTTAACAATAAACGACTCAAAAATATAGAAAATCAAATTATTATTTGATTCAATAAAATTAGACAAACGTATATAAATTAAATTATATAATAATCAATCGGTGTTTAAGTCTGTCTTATAATCAATGATTGTTTTATAATAAGTATAAGAATTCTCAATAAATTTTGTGTGAAATAATTAACAATTTAATAACTTTATTAATAAACTGTACAAAACATTTAATTGTAATAAAATTTATTTAGTAATTTTAGATAATTAGCTAAAATAATGCTAAAAAGTAAACAATTGCTAAGTGTTTGAATAATTAGAGTGGGAATAGGAGTTTGCATTGACATTATTGACCACTACTACTGAACTCTTGTTTGTGTTATATCTATAAGACTTGTTTTTATATACAGCTTTTCCGCGTTGGTTACTATTATTTGTATATTTATCATACGTTTGTCTGGGAGTACCTGACATCGTGTTAGACACTGGAATATAGGTATGTCTTTGAGGTGTTGGGAGTAAGTATGGAGCGGGTGTTTGGGGAGCCATAAGCCGAACATCAAGTGCTTGATTGCTATTAAGTGGCATTCGTCTCATTTGATTAACTTGTGGCACAATAGTGCCTCTATTGGCATAATTGTTATGATTTATTAAACTATTCATATCAACCATTTCTGGCACTGATTGATGTATATAATGGTTTCCATTTGAAGAAATAATACGATGAGGATTGGCATGAGTTGTCATCATTGGTTGGTTTTTGAGCAAAGGAGCCGTTGGCCTATTCTGAGCTGCATTTAGAGGCAAATTCGGGTTAATCGCTATATTCGTGTTCATCGGAGGTCTGTATTGTTGCTGATATGACACCCCTACAAACGGTGCTATATTTGAAACTATTGGTGCACTCGGAGGAGTGTTTGCAGGTGGAGGACAAGCCATCATAGGTGATGTTGACTGTGGATGCATCCCATTGCCTACAATCCATAAAGTACCGACATTACCAACATTAGAGGGTACCTATAAGTTAAATAACAATCATATAAATTGCTTATTAAATATAATTAACTCAATTACCATTGGATTCCGATAGTTTGGATTAAGTGATGTGGGTATCAATGTATTATTAGGCGGTTGATTGTTTGAAAAATTAATCCCATTAGAAGTCGATTGTATTGGAAACGAAAGAGAATTCATCGGATTAGCTATAGATTGGTGTGAAATTGAATTGTTGAGTAACGGTCCAAACGATGTCAAGTTTGATGGCATTTGCGGTGCGTTTGGATTTGAATACATTACAGGTAACCGTATTGGTTGATGCTTTCAAAATATATTAACATTTAATTTTCTGTTTATTTTTATATGCAATTCTTACATTCATAAGTTGCTGCGGTTCGTTATTAACCGATTGTTGTCCATAATTAGTATTGGAAGTCATAAATAACTGCTGTCCGTGTTGTAGAAATTGTATGTCTTTGATAGCAGCGTTTGGGTCTTTAAAAAAATAATTATACAGTTTATAATTATGATAATTATTAATAGAAGTAATTGTTTTACCATTTTGTTGTTGTTGTAAAAGCATATGCGGATAATTTTGATTAACCATTTGAGACCATTGAATACCCGACGCATTACCACCAATTGATGTCATCCTATTGTTATTTCTTGAATGAGAATTTTGGTGCCAATTATTGTGTCGATTGTAATGACTAGTATTAGACGTATGGGATGTCTGTTGAGAATTGTAATATCTTTGCTCTGAATGATGAATCGTATTATTCATTTGGCGGCCATTGTCTGTCTTCGTATTATTCTTTGGTGTATTTGAACGGTTAGAAACATTAACTGAATGGTTAGCATTGTGGTGAGTGGTAATTAAAGATCCAGATTTCAACAAATGTGTTTGAGTACTGTTATAATGATTATTATCATTACTTCTTGAGATTCCACCAAAACTACTTGCTTTGGTAACGGCGGGTCTATTCTTCGAATAATTGTTTGTTTTATTTTTGTCTAACGCTTGGCTCTCAACTTCTAAATTAGATTTTCCTGAAACAGATTTTGAAGCATTAGTTGAATCAAATGAAGAGTTTTGTGTCGAATATTGATTAGGTTTTGTATCGTTGGGATTATTAGTGTCACACAATTCGGTACAATTGGTAGAGTTATTAGATTTAATAAGTGAATCGTCAACTGTTTGACTGCATTGAAGACTAGAACTCTTTTCTTCAGCTAAATGATTGTTTGAATTCAATTTGATGTTATCAGTCGCTGTACTAATGTTATCATTAGAATCGGATGAAGACGAGCCCTGATTGAAGATGCGAGCCCTGGCCTTCTCATACCGCTCTTCTCTTTCCTCAAAAGACTTATTTCTATTGTTATCATTAAGGCTTCTGTCGGGACTTTTTTCTTTGCCATCAAAACTGACATTCGAGCCGTTACTTCCATCATCGAGTGAAGCAGAATCGCGCTTAAGAATCAATTTCTTGGGTTCTGTTAGTGAATCTTCTTTGATATAATCTTTAAATTTAAATTCAGGAATTCGTGTACTTTTAGATTTATTGACGATAACAGACATTCCGAGAACATCAACGTTATGATCAAAACCAAAAAGTGCGGCCACTCTGTGGACAAGCATTCGGTTATATGAAGTCATTTGTTGAAACTTATAGCTATTTTTTGGTGAGTCCTTTACTAATGAACTTAACTCTTGTTCAATCTTAAGCAAAAAAACTCTATCCTTCTTATTCTTCTGCAATGTTTCCATCAAAAACTGTTGGACATCAGTACCGTTCAAATCAGAAAAGTTTTCAGTACTCGAATCTATAATAATTAGAGTAAATATCAAGTGAAACAATGCAATAACATTATAGTAAAAATAACAAACCTCTAGAAAGTGTTGGTGAAGTCCTATCGAGACTACCGGAAGAGTTTCCCTTAATTTTCATTTTATTCTTATTGTTTTGACTGACAGAATTCGTTTGTGACTAAACATAATTAAATCAATTTATTTATAATAACTAAAATCGAAAGTATTTAACTATAATTCAAGTAATACTTGAGAGCTTGAAGAATGACAATTCTTTTCTTCGCCATCTGAACACTGTGTTGTCGGTGGAGGGGAAGCACTGGTATCACGAAGAGCCTCAGCGCGAGCTAAATGTTTTCCTCTCTATTAATTATAATGATTATTAAATTTTTACATATAATTACACATTTTTCAATACAATATTAATACCTTTCTCTCTTTAATGCTCTCATTTGTTGAGAGATTAATCGCTTGTTTAGTATTCAATGATTGTCGTGAATCTGATTTATGCATAGTTTGAGAGCTATTGTTGTCTATATCATGATTTACTTCAGTTTCCTTCTAATAATAAAATATCATATAATAACTTCAATTATAATATTTCTAACATCAAAGACATACCAAAACCATATTATCATATTTGTCTTCAACTGTATTGACATGAATGGTTGGCGCCACAGATGGTTCACAATTATTAACACTAATGCTGTTGTCGTTGCAATTAGTTATCTCATCTTTAATATCAATGCCTTCAACAGTTAGATCAATCTCTTCTTGTTTTGAAAGTCGTCTTAAGTTCTTTTGATCACTCGATTGACTCTTCTTCGAGTTCTTATTATAGCCATTAAAACGTCTGCCGCTGCTATTCATTATAAATCAGTCAATCGTTTCTTTCGTCTTATCTTGATCTTAATCTTGCAAGAGTTGGCGTCTTTTGGAGCCGATTCTTGAATGAAATCAATTGCAAATCCAAACACTTGTGTCAAAGTGTCAAACAGTAGACCTATGATTATATGAAATCTTTTAGTGACAACATATGACTCCAATCATGAGGTATATCAATGGTATGGATCTCACGTTAATCACTAATATATCAGTCATCTATGTCTTTATCATGACATCCATTTTGTGTACATATCTATTGATATCAAAACAAAACAATTATATCATATATGATATGTAATCAAATCAATACAATTATGGCTTCAATGATAATCATATGAATGTTGTATTAAATACAATATATTTATATCATATCATATCATATATACAGTAATATTAAATATATATTAATATTTAACATCAAATCATTGATAGATTCATTGTGTGTCTCTATATATCATATATATATTAATAGTAATAGATATACACTAACAATGACCTCGTATTACATTCAAACCAATGTCTCAATAGTGTCAACACTGACACACACTTACCATAACTTAAGTTAATAATCACTAGATTTACACAATTAGTCTAATATTCATTGATTTCGGCATTTTTCACATCAATTCAATACATTTGATTCAATACTATACTATAGATAATGACTATTAATATCAGTAATACTAATATTAATACAACAATACATACAATACATACAATTGACTCAACATTGCAAACACTCATTCGAGAGGACATGACGTCCAATGGGAAGTATACATAATATAGAGGTCTACACCAATACATAGCAGTTTGAAATGTTTGATATATTAACAAATGTTGACAAATGTTGACAAATGGTCACAATTGGACACAAATTGAGTTACAATTGCAAATACAATTGAATTAATGTTATATTATTATTGATTCTCTTAACAGAACTTTATTTACAATTATTACAAATATTGACAAATATTAATCATTAATTACCGCAAAGCGAGACATGAAAGCCGTAGTGATCCCTATAATTTCAATCACGTGACTATACAGCAGTTATAAAGAGATTAATAACTTGAATAAGACTTGAAGTTATCATTAGTTAAGATAATCACCAATTGATCCAAATTTAGTGATTAATATCTTTTGATCACTGAATTCACTGAAATCACTTTAGCCATGAATTCAAGTGAATCACAATTAGTAGAGTTATGTTCATTGCTTTACCCGAAACAGTGTTGTCATGAAGTGTTGACCGACTTGTTGTTCACCAAACAATGTATTAGTGTCTTAGTGTCCAAGAGTTTAGGTTACGGTATAATTGCCGGATCAACACTCGTAAAGTTACCACAATTTTTGAAGATATGGAGTGCCAGAAGTGGTGAAGGGATCAGTTTGATTGGTGTTGTATTGGAGTTGTTGGCCATGACTTTTTCGGCCTCCTATGCCTTCGCTAATAACTTTCCATTCAGTGCTTGGGGTGAATGTCTATTCCTAATGTTGGTCACCACTGGCATCGCATATCTTGTACTTAAATACCAACAAAATCTGGTCAAAGCCTTTACATTTGTGACGATTTATATGGGTTTAACATATGTTCTTATGAGTGGATTAACTCCACTATCGATTTTATGGTCACTACAAGCGGCAAACCTCCCGCTGGCCATTTCGGGCAAAATGTTTCAGGCGTTTATCAATTATAGTAACGGAAACACTGGACAGTTGTCTGCCATATCTGCGACACTTCTATTCTTGGGTTCATTCGCTCGAATATTTACTTCAATACAAGAAACTGGCGATCAATTAGTGGTCATAACCTTTACGGTCGCATCGATTGCAAACTTTATACTATTGACACAAATAATCTATTATTGGAACAAAACAAACGAATTCATCCAAAGGAAGACTTTAGAGAAAAAGAAGATTTAGATATAATATGTAAACAAATATTTTTGTCATATTATAAGTTATTTCATAGTTATATAATTTATTACATTATATTTACCGGTAATATAATACTACAGTATATTAATTTATATATAACTTTTAAGTTTGTATTTTATATTTTTTCAAAAATAATATTCAAATAGGAATTAATTTTAACAATAAAATAAAACCAATAAATATGTGACAAAAAATCTCAAACTTTATTCTTAGACATAAAATAATAAAATCTTTTTTATGAAATCCATTTAAGAGCCACTAATTTAAGAGAAATATGTATTAATAATAAAGTAATAAAATTAATGATCAAATTTCATACACAATAATGTTATTAATGGGAATGTGGATCAACTTAACGAAGAAACCAATGAATCCCATAATAGCAAAACCAATAGCTGTGGCCATCGCTATCTTCTGAAACTCTATAATCAGTGGTAAATCAGATGATATCAATCACAACAAATGCATTCATTCTTCGTTTACCTTTTCTGTCGGGTTTTGTGCAGCGCTTAACCAAACGGATCGAGTCTTTGGCAAATTGTCTGCCGGGCTCTACAAATGACATCACTTGATCCATGTCTTTGTCGTTATAGTCAATGATATATAAGACTAAATGTGTGGTAAAGAAAAGCAAAGCAATTGATGGCAATTGAGTTGAAATGTGTTGTGTTTTACACGTAAGCACTCAAACTATATATCACGTGACACAACATTCACATACACTTAAGTCTATTATATGGTTTTGTTTCAACAAATTTATTGCTTTTATTATATTATATTTTTTTAATTATTTATTTTTTTGTTATTTATTTTGAATTTAATTTATTTTGAAATAATAATAATATATTGTCGATATGTGTTTAAAATGATATATAAAAATAATGAACATTATTAACGAGTGTTATACTGTATATATAGTTTATACTTTATTAATATTAATACCTGTATTATCGATATGATAGCAATCGATGGTCGATATGATATAATACACAAAGGGGTTAGTGTTAGACAACTACAGGGATTGCAATAGAGTTATGTATTTCATGTAATTTATGTATCGATTTAATAGCGCTAAACATATTACAGTATTAATACATATAATAACAGCTATTATACAATAAATAATAATACAATAATTGTATTGAGTATATGGTAACCAATGATGACCTGATTATTGATAAATAATTGAATACATTATTAATATTAATAAATATATGACATGTTATGTAATAGCGTTTAAATAACTTAAATGTCAAACAAATAATAAATATTTCAATTATTTTAGTTAATTATCATTTCATTTACTGATCACATGTTTACCCGTTTGTTGACAATAGTCATGAAAAATATCATTTGTTGTGACAAAACATATTGCAGTCAATTATGATTTAAATGTTTTCAACCAATAAGTGTGACAATTATACCACTGATGACTGCATTGAATGGCAATGAAGTGTGAATTATCAAAATTATGAGCACTTGTGTCCAATCCAGTGGTTCCCATGAATCGCATGCAAAGTCCATTAGTGGTGAATCCAAGACATTAAACATCAAAAGTTTCCCAAATTATGGCTCAGAAATAGCTATCACTGCTCTTCCCATAGTTGAGACAAACTGTTCAGATTTTGCTGAAGATATCTCTAATAATGACACGAAAAGTGTCAACAAATCAATTTGTGGTAACTATTCGTGTCAGATATCATCCACTTGTATGCCTTCAAGTCTTACAAGCAGTCCTTCCATTGGATCTAATCCTCAATTCGTTGAAATACCATTTGGTTGGAGACGAGAGCTAATTGATGGCCAAATTTCTTACTACAGCCCAACCAACTGTTGTTTTAAGTCATTGGATGAAGTGTCCAAATATTTGCAAAGTAACGGCACGTGTAAGTGTGGTCTTGAATGTCCTCTTCAGATATCAAAAACTTTTAATTTCGATTCAATGGTCACTTCTCGACCATATGATGTAGAAGTGGCTAAAAATAGTAATCAAAATAAGTTATGTAATCACAAGAGAAAAATCATCGCTTTTGCCACTTATAAAGAACAACAACTAATTGCTGAACAATTCAACCAAAACCATAATCAATGTCAGAATCAACAAAAACCCGATAATAATGAAGACCACAACTCTAACAAAGAATTGGTATCAACTAAGGATCCAAAACATTCAAAGTCTGAACAAAGCGCACAGCAAGACATTAACGTCCAAAAGGTGGTCAACAATGTTGTCTATCATAACCCGAATTCAAGTCAATTAAATGTCATTAAGTATACAAATGACACATCCATTGATACAGTTTCTGTCATTCAGTCCAATGATAAGTCTATTAAACTAAATAATTCAATTGATAAAAGCGAGACAATTATTGGTCGGTCATATTGTCAAATATCGCCAAATATGACCCAATTTGGTGACACATTGGAAAATGCCGATATAATTGGATGCCAGCAAACATATATTGAGCCGACAGTCGGTAACGACAATGGGAACCATTACTCGGTGCAGATGTCCGGTGATTATATACCACAAACAAGTAATTCAATTTGTCTTTATGGCCAAAATGACAACATCGATGTTTACTCGTTGTGTGACTCAACACAGATAACAGTTCAACCAAACGATAAGACATCCATTTACTTAACGCCACAAAATCCTGCAAATTATGGACAAATTATATCATATGATAATCAAAATGTAAATATCATTCAATCGCCACAATTGCAAGCATTTACTACTGAAGCATATAGCCATCCATTTCACTCCTCAGAAACTGTATGTAATTCGAACATAGCATCCATATCCTCATACATACCGATCCCTTCAGCAAATTCAACCAATTCTGGTGGTATTCCTTTTAATTCCAGTCCATTGGGTATAACAATTAACCCGACATATCACGCGGGACTACAACCACCTCTTGACAGTCCTCACTGTAATTCGCAAAATAATATATCAATTATACCCCAAAACACCTCAATATCACCTATGCCTCCGCTTTCTGTCGCCAATAATGTCACTTCTGTTACTTCTTCAGTTACTGATGTTATTCCAGCAGTTGGTATGAGTCAACAAATTATTAATTCAGGCACTAATTCAAATGCTCCACAAGTTCTTCAGTTTATTAATTCTGTGCCATTAACTCAAATAACTGCTAATACGGTGACTGTATTACAGCAAAATCAGTCATCTGAAGTGTCAGTTCCCGCTGCGACTCTTATAATACCTCAGTTAATGTCCCAACAAGAACATCAGGTTCTTATAAATCATGCGATGTCTCCACAATCTGCAGTGTTTCCACACATTGCCAACGCTACCGGTCTTACAGCTCTACCAAATGCCTTCCCAAATGTCATTAATATAACAAATGCTATTTCATTGTCTCAAAGATCTGCAATTCAAGAATTGAGTAAACCTTTAGGTCGAAGCCGAAGACGTAAAGACTACAGTCGATCAAATCGATCGCATCCACCAACTGTGGCATCTATTCTGAAACAGGCGGCCGATAATGAAAAGAAACAAAAAGAACAACAATTAAATGATAACAAACAACAACTGCTTAAACATAAAGATCAGAATTTGCAGACAAATCTAGAATCAAATGAAGCCGTTTGTGATTCAAATACTATTGAGAGCTCTTCTATTTAGTCTTATTTTATACGAAATATTAACTTTATTAGCATTATATAAAATAATAACTAATTTTGAATATTTACAGTAATTATACAATAAGTTTATTTATATTTATATTTACAATACTAATAATAAATTTAAAAAATTAGAATTTAGAATAAGGCTTATATAAATTTTAACACATTTCGTTTGAATGTGTTGTAAATAGTTGTAAATATAAATAAGTTTATATACCATTATAATTAACATTTGTTAATATTTATGAAAATCATTTTGACTATAAATCATATTATATACAATTTTTGCCTTAATGTCACACATTGTTAACTCTAGTCACCTAATAGTTATGCACTCACTTTTTCACTCGTTTCATAAATTGATTTTATGTGTATTCAAACTAATAATATATTAGAATTATAAAAATCTTTGTTAATTTAATATAATTAGTTAAATAATTTATATATAACTGTATTTATCTATTTGTTACTCATTGTTACAAAATTTCGTTGGAAAGTAAAAATTAAAATACTATACTAATTATAACTGTTTTTAATTTATTTGATAATATCGGTATATTATGGTTATTATTATATTTTATTAATACATCATAATTACCTAATAGTTTTTTGAGATATTTGATTAAATAATAAAATTAATAAATTTAAATTTGGTGCCGTACAAATGTATAAATGATACTTATTTTTTTTGTTTTAATTTATTTTAATGAGTTTGTCAGCACTTATGATAATAATATCTGTTAATTAGTTTTGAATAAACGATATTTTTAGTCATTAATAATAATAAACAGTATTTTCAATTATTGTTAACAAAAGTCAATCATAAAAATGAAATTCATTTCATATGACTGTAAAATCTAAATTAAGTTATGTGTTCGTAAAATACGGCTAAAATTTATAAGAAATTACTTCTAAAAATAGCAATTTTATTATAGATATTATTAATAAGAATTATCTTCAGATAAAATTTATTTTAGGTTGCATTGCATTTAGATTTGGCAAAAAAGAGTTATAGAAAGTTTCTAAAAGAAATTTCTATCAAAGGGATCCCATACTATTTTTTTTTACACATATTTGTTATCTTTTAAAATATATTATAATAATAAATAATACATAAATATTATTATTAATAATTTAATTAATGCTTAAGTAAAAAATAATCAATTAATTACACTAAACTAAAAATATAAATAAATTATAAATAAAATTTTACATTAGATAATTATATTAATTTTATATTATAAATTTAATATAATTATTTTATTAATTATTTATATAATATATATATATATATATATAATTAATTACATGGAAACCTGTAGAGTATAAATGTATCATTTATTATGAATGTATAAATTTATTACAAATTGTAATTTACAATAGTTATAAGTATGGGGATCGGATAGTATAATTATGTATTTATTCATGAGAAATTTTCTTAGAGAAATTTATTAGAAATTTCTATTTACCCATCTCTAGTTGTATTATTTATTTTAATTTAAATTAAAAGTGTTAATAAATATTTAAAAATTTAATTGTATTAAATAAAATCCACAGTACTTTCAAATTCTATATATTAATATACTATACATATGTGTAAATAGTATATGAATTAATGATTGAAACAAATGGGGTAATGTGTAAAATGAGCATGGTCATAACAAACATAAATCATTATAAATACCAAATAATATCATAAAATTATTAAAATTAATATAAAGATTTGAAAAATATTTATTATAATTGTCTAATTATTATGAATATTAGTTTAAATATTATATTTTATTTCAATGTTTTCATTTTTAGCTTATTATAAAATATATTAATAATATTTACATTAATTTCATTAAAACAACAGTACTTTTAAATGTTTACTAATAAATGTCAATTGATTATATAATCTAAATTATTAAATCTAAATTATTAAATCTAAATAAATTGTTTAACTTATTAATATTGATTTAATGATATATCATAATAATTGTAATTTGAAAAATATTTTTATTCAATTTCATGAAATAAATTTTATGAGTACATTAAGTATATCATATAAGATGCTATTTATATAACAATTAAATATAATTATTAATTTTTTTACTTTAAATAAAATTATTAATGATTATAAATAAAAAAATTAAATTCAGTAATATTTCTACTTAAAACTAATTAATAATAAGATAACGTATTAAAATTTGTAAAATTTAATAAATAATAATATTATAAAATGGATGATATGATTAATATTTAAAGTATTTACAATGATTTATAATATTATAATTATATTGTTGATAAATACCGTAATTACAGGTATTATGTTTTACCATTAATTTTGAAACTATATTTGGATCAATTAAATCTCCATCGGTGTCCACAAGAAATACAGAGACATAATGTAGTCATGGGTTCGTCGGCCCTATCGATCTGCACCTGATTGTAGGTACAGTTGTTTTTCTTACATTCCGGACATTTCAATAAATCACTTGTAGTGCCAAACACTTCGGGCAAAATACTGGCTGTAATTGAGTCCTTTTGCAATTGTTGTCTCAATTGTTTCATCTTATCGTTAGCCATGTCTTCCGCACTCATTGTCGATATTTCCTCCACTTTAATGATTCCGTTTAATATTTTGCGTCTGAGTTCACCGTTTTGTTCATCACTTATATTAGAGATACGACTTCTGATTCGTATTTTATATTTAGTGTCCGTATTATTAAACTCTCTGTAAATGCATTTTTCAATATCGGCTGCAAGTTTGACAACTTTAAGAAGATCTTCTTTAATCTCTTCATCACTCGTCAGAGCTTTAAATAGCATATCACGACTTTTTAATCGATTTTCATCAGTGGTTCCACTTTTGAGAATATCTTCCAACTTATCCTTAAATTTCATTCGCAATTGAGTTTCATTTCTAATATTTGAGTGATTCATAAGATTTCTGAGTATATGGTTTTCAGCGATAACCGACTTTTTCCACTTCATTAACAAATTTTTTGACAATTTTACCACATCTTCATCAGTCAATGTTTTTCTCAGATTATTAACCGTCAAAATTATTTTAGCATTTCTTATCAAAAGCGGGTCCACTTCTAATGATTTTAAGACATTCAAAATATCAATCACTTGTATAGACAAATCTTTCTCTCGATTTGTGACAATTGTCTCCAATTTACGGCTCATTTCAATTAAATATTGTTTTGTTTCTCGTTTTCTCATTGTTTTTGCATTTAAAAAATAGCTAATTGTCATCAATAAGTAAATAACTTACACAAAATTTGTTAAACAAGAGATTTAACTAAAGTATATAACTTTAAAAAGTACATATAGTGTATAAATTTTATTTATTGTAATACACTTATCATTACAATAATAATAATACATAGAAATTTCAAAACTATAGTTCAATTACTAAATCTTAAATTTGAAACTTAATATTCGTTATTCCATAGAATTTGTATAATCAGACAAATAATGTAAAATCAATTAATCATTATTAAAGTACTGCTATTAAAGTTATTGATAAAATGTTTTCAACAGTGACATTGTAAACATGACTATAAACTTAATATTCAATACAAAGTAAAGATCATTACATTTTATATACAAAATGGCTATTTGAATATATTATAGGCTATAATTAAAATCTTAATAATTTATAGCTATTAAACTATTAAGATTTTAATTATTATAAATTGGTAATATTTATATTTTATTTTAAAAGTTTAGAAAAGTTTTTATTTGACTTAGAACTAAATAATAATAAATATTTAGATAACAATAATATATTAAATAATATAATTTTATATTAGAGATTATAAATAGGTTGAATCGGGTTATTGGCTAAAGTCATCTACAAATAAGTACTAACTTATTATGTATAATACGTTCAAATATTACAAATACTGTATATATTACTAATATTATAATACTATGGTTTACTGTAAATATTTGATTAGAAGTTCTAATTTAAAACAAACAGTATTACTAATTAGTAATTATTTAAATTACTATTAAATAAATATTTTAATAAAAGTTTTAGAAATAACCACAAGAAATAAATTAAAAATAAATGAGATTTTGACAAATGTTTGGTTCAGATCATCAAAACTATTCCTTTTATATATATATTTAATATAAAATTGTTTTATGAGTTGCAATTTGCAAGTCATTTGTGATCATTTTTGTTTGCAATTATATTTTTGATTAATTAATAAACTAAAATGGAAATATTTTTATGTAAATGTGAAAAATATTAGATTTAGTATTTTAGTAATAATTTATTGCTAGTTTTAATTAATTTTTAGTCAAATATTATGATATCTCTAAATTGAATCAATACTTTTGATAGCGCCGTAAAGTCTATTAATAATGCAATAAAAAATATTTTTAACCTAATATACACTAATTTATATCTGTATTATTTCAGTAAATTTATATAAATTATAAAAGTTTTATTTAATACTATTTGCTGATTCTGTATGCTTTTGTTGAACAGTCGATAGCAAATAAAAAAAAATCAGTCAAAAGTTAAAATTACTGTATTGTACAGTACTGTATTGAAAACATGGAATAATAATCAATGAATTGATTATTATTTTTTAAAAAAATTTTATCACAGAATCTCATATTAACATTTGGTTTTATGTTGTTTACCACTTTATATTCAAGGATAAGCTGATAGATAGATAAGCGCGAGGAAAGACCAATCAAAATGATGCCAGACTTTGCAAACACTGACAGACAAGAGATTATGAAAAGTTTATAACTAAAGATTTATAAACTTTTTTAGTTATTTCTTAACAACACTTTTCTCAATTCAATTTATTTTAAATTTAAAAAAAATTTCAATGATGGCATTAAATGGAGAATTAGGTATTTAACTATTGATATTATTAATATGATATTATTTAATATATAGTGTTTTAATTGATAAATCAAAAATTATAAAATTTAATTAAATATAATTTAAATTAGATTTTACGTTATAATCAAATAATTTCTCTAACATATATTTCTTATATTAATATACAGTAACTAATCTTATTTTATAATTGTCTATTATTATCGTTATATAAAATTTTAATTTGATAATTTAAATTTTAAATATTTGTTAGTTTAGTAAATTTAAAATTCTATTAAATGCATCATTTATGTTATTAATAATAATATTACTGCATTTTATTGAATTAATAGAAATTTTGTATAATTTAACTTAAAATAGCTGTATTAAGTGTATCCAACAAAACTGGTTTACTTGATTTTGCCAAACGCTTGAATGCCATTGGTCTGAAACTTGTGGCCAGTGGTGGTACCGCTAAATTAGTTAGAGATGCAGGAATACAAGTGTCTGATGTTTCGGACATTACCGGAGCACCAGAAATGTTGGGCGGACGAGTCAAGACATTGCATCCGGCTATTCACGCGGGAATATTGGCACGAAAAACACCATCAGATGAACTGGACATGAAAAGACAAAATTACCGATACGTTAATGTTGTGGTTTGCAATTTGTATCCATTTATTGAGACCATCAGTGCTCCAAATGTTACGATTGCCGATGCAGTAGAACAGGTAGATATTGGTGGGGTTACACTATTGAGAGCAGCCGCCAAAAATCATGCCAGAGTTACAGTCATTTGTGATCCAAATGATTACGAAATTGTCGCCAAAGAATTGGAGACTAATAAAGCTGTTTCAGAAGTGACACGAAAACAATTGGCAGTTAAGGCTTTCAATCATACGGCACAATACGATGCGGCCATTTCTAATTATTTTCGGTCACAATACACTTCAAATGTATCCCAATTGACACTTAGGTATGGTATGAATCCGCACCAAAAACCGGCCCAATTGTACACATTTGATGATAAATTGCCGCTAACTGTTGTCAATGGATCGCCCGGTTTTATCAATTTATGCGATGCTCTCAATGCCTATCAATTGGTCAAAGAGCTTAAAAAAGCATTGGGATTACCGGCAGCGACATCGTTCAAACACGTGAGTCCTGCCGGTGCCGCCATTGCCGTACCATTAAGTCGAGAACAGTTGAAACTATGTATGGTTGAAGATATGGAAAAAGAGTTAACACCGATTGCTACAGCATATGCCAGAGCTCGTGGAGCAGATAGGATGTCATCATTTGGAGATTTCATAGCTCTCTCAGACAAGTGTGATGTGGTAACCGCTAAAATAATTTCTCGAGAAGTGTCTGATGGTATTATTGCACCAGAATATGATGTCGAGGCACTGAATATCTTGAAAAAGAAAAAAAGTGGTTCTTATTGTGTTCTTCAGGTAATGAAATTTATAAAATTATATGAAATTATTAGCTATTAAAAGAAAATTATTTTTTGTTTAGATTGATCCCAATTATGAATCACAAAACACAGAAATTAGAACACTATTTGGTCTAACTTTAGAACAAAAGAAGAACGACGCCGTCATCGATAAGAAATTATTTTCCGGATCTAATGTTATCACAGAATCAAAACCTGTGAGCAAATGTTTTATCGTTTGTTTAATAAGAAAATTAATTAATTTAAAATTAATAATTTATTGATAGTTAACCGATGAAGCAATTAGAGATATGATTGTAGCGACCATTGCTTTGAAATACACTCAATCCAATTCAGTTTGTTATGCAAGAGATGGACAGGTGATTGGTATCGGTGCCGGACAACAATCTCGTATTCATTGCACTCGTTTAGCAGGAGATAAAGCAGACAATTGGTGGCTCAGACAACACCCGAGGGTAACAAATGCTGTTTTTAAGAAAGGGATCAAAAGAGCGGAAATCTCTAATTATATCGATGACTACGTCAATGGAAATGTCGGTAAAGAGATGGACTTAAATCAATGGAAGAATGCATTTGAAAATCCGCCGCCACTTCTAACAGAAGTATATAATATAAATAAATTGTTAAAATATAGACTAATATTGTGTTTGTAATCACAGGAAGACCGCAGTCAATGGATTAGTCAACTGAAAGGAGTGGCTCTTAGTTCTGATGCTTTCTTCCCGTTCCGCGATAACATCGATAGAGCCCATCAGTCGGGTGTTGATTACATCGCAAGTCCCGGCGGTTCAACCAATGATGGCTCAGTCACAGAGGCCTGTAATGAACACAACATTACTTTAGTTCACACAGGACTCAGACTTTTCCATCACTAAAAAATCTGTTTATTAGTTATTATAATTTTTTAAGTATTAAAAATAAAATTTCTAATAGAATAAAATTTTTAAAAATAATTTTTGTTTTTCAATTTTAATTAATATCTACAATAAGTAACCAATTGTCAGAACAATTTAATTTAAATATTGATAAAATATTCATCACATTAACATTTATATCTATTATAATTTTTATCATAATTCCACAGATAGAATGTTTTATTATTTTAAAATAAATAACAATAAAATAGTTATATTAAAAATAATATTTTAAGTCATACAACAATTAACTATTATTATTATTAGTTATGATGTATTTGATAAATTTCATTAATTAATTGATATATAGTCTATTTGATCAATAATATACCATTAGTACAGTAAATAAATATGAAACCTATTATAATAATGTACTGTATTATCAATCTATTAGATTTCATTTAACATGAACAACAATTGACTTTAAATAATGATAATTCTGATTAAATATATTATAGATATCAACATATTATATATATATCATAAATAATAAATATAAAACATAATTATTATAATAACTAGATTTAAATAATTATTGTATTTGTTTTTCAAATTCAGTCCACGCGTCGTTCAATTCCATAAATATAAGTTTAGCCAACTCTTCGTGTTCAGTGCCGACCAACTAAACAGAAACAATAGTGTAATTCAATTATCAGTAATATATATGAATATCTACTTTATCGGGATGTACTGCCAAACAAGCCCTGCGGTAACACTTTTTCACATCATTAGTAGCAACCAATTGATGCATTCCTATTGGTTGCCAATTACATCCGTCCCAAGTAATTGTGTTGAGTGAACACAGAAGAGCTCTTATGTTTCGCGTTTTATTTTCTTTCCACTCCATTATCTTAAGTTTATTTGGATCAAAATTGCCATCTTTGAGCTAATCATATTGTTTAGAAATTGTTAAGAAAATGCAATACAAAACTAATATATAAATTTTAAATAATAAAATACCATTTCTTCTTTTCTCAATTGAGAAATTGTTTTATTTGTATCGTTTTGTAATGGTTTAAAACCTCCTAAAAGATCTTCAAATTCGTTGCCCAAAACTTTTGCATTATTATTATTATTATTGGAAGTCTTATTACCTGTAATTTCGACAAAATTATTTCTATTGTAATCGGGTTTTAAAGGAGCAGTCGATTGGAATGATGTATAGGAATTAACTCTTGGTATGGATGGTGTGTTTGGCTTAGTTAGGTTTGTGACCTTTGTTGTTACAAATGAATCTAATTGTGCCAATGGATCCAAATTCAAGTTTGGCGTCGATGTGTTCCTTTGTAATCCAGTTGTCATATTGTTTAGTGTCGGCACAGAAGTTGGAGATAATGTAACGTTTGGTTTCAATACATTGTTCGGATCAAAACATAACGGTGCCGTTGGAGGACTTGTACTCTCAGAAAAAAAATCAACATCGGGTAACAAATTAGTATTTAATTTAGTATTATAATTGTCAATCTTTATATTCTGGTCATTCAAATTTGATTTCGATGTTTTTATAGCAAACAAATCATTGGGTAAATCATTTGTATCACTAATTGGATTTAAAGAGTGAGTAGTGGTCTCATCAATACTGAGATTCAAAAGTAGATCATTCAAAGCTGGTTTGTTTGGTTTGTCATTTTCAGCAATAGAAACAATGTCTTCATTTTCTAATACTTTATCATTACTTTCTTCCCAATTAATTGTCTCAAAAAAGTTATTCTTTGGTATGTTTTGTGAGTCATTGCTTTCAATTTTATTGTCGATATCTGTTTCCCTTTCAGTTATTTCTTCAGATTTAGTTTCAACTTTAATATCCTTTGGTGGGGGAGGTCTTTGAGGTTTGACAATGGGTTTTGGACAACGATTTGTTTCCAAATCTAATTCTTGCCGCGCAATTGAACTAAATAAATATAATAAATTAGTTTACTGTATATAAAATTTATATATAAGAAAAAATATAATGTATAATAACTTATTAGTTAAATTATTAATTAATAATTATTATAAATAAATAAAAACCATTAATTACTTTTGAACGGTTTGCATCACTTTATTAGACGTGTCCTTAATATAACGTGTAAAACCCGAGAAACTAAATGAAGGCTGTGCTGATCCAGGGATTTGTGGTAAAGGTTTATTCATATCATGAGTAACATCTGATTTTATCGGTTGTGTAGGCGTTGGTTGACGAGGATTAACACACGGAGAGTTCAAATCTACACAATCTTCTTCTATTAATCCAATTATATCCGTAGCATTTGTTCTTTCGTTTGGATCAATTCTAATACACATTCTGACAAAATACAAATAATAACAAATAAAACTTTAAATACAATATAATATAAGACATACTTAATAATCCTAACAATAAGATCAGAATCAGAAGTATTGTTAGGAAAACTATATTTGCAATTAATTATTCGCAATTTTGCTGAATCTTCAAAGGGATGTCTTCCAAATTTAAGACAAAACAGTAGACAACCAAAAGCCCAAATGTCAATAGCTGTGTTAATCGGTAAATGAAGATAAGTATCTAAAATTTCTGGAGGTCTATACATTGGAGTCGTGTGACGAGACATCTGTAATATAAACCGTATATATATATATATATATATATATATATATATATATATATTATATATGCTTTTAGAATATAATATAATATTTGTTAAACAAACTTCATCTTCAAGAAGTGATCTTTGAATTGGTGTCCAATTTAGATCCGGTAAAAATGAGTCAGTTGTGGCCGAACCGAAGTCACATAACTTAATGATCCCATTGTTATCAAACAAAATATTTTCAATTTTCAAGTCCCGATGTGTTATCCCTAATGAGTGCATCCTTTCAATGGCCAGACATGTCTGGTAAGCAATTCTGTTTAATAAAGAGTGGTTACCAATTGGTAGTGTTATGTCTTTTAATGAACCGCAGCCACAATATTCACTGAAATTATAATCAAAATGAGTATTAATCAAACATAATATCAAAATCATAAAAGTCTACCATAAAAGTAGATAAATATTTTGATTAATTTTTCCCCAACTAATGAATGACATAATATGGTTGTGTGGCTGAAGACGTGTCAAGACTTGGATCTCATTTTCAATCTCTTTCTTGCTTTCGCTGTCCGATGCAATCAATCGTTTCAATGCATAAACAGCTGAACTCTTGATATCAATCACTCTAAAGACAAAACCAAATCCACCTAACAATTTGAAAATAAAGACATTAATTATTTTATAATTAAATTAAAAAAAAATAATTATTTGATACAAACCTTCGGCAATAACTCTTTCGACGCGATATTTGTTGGCATTTAAGTCAATGGTTTGGCCAACAAATGGATTGTCTGAATAACTGGAATCGCTATTGTGATCATTGGACCAGACATTAGAACTCAAGTTATTGAAGGCAGACCTCAACATATCACTCATTATGTCTAATAATAATATAGTATTACAACAAACATAACAAACATAACAATCACTACATTAGATGATAAACACTTGTAATACAAGATATCAATTGATATTTTAGGACCTGATTATAATATCTTCAATCATTTAATAATGTTATTAATAGTCAAATGATTGCAAACTAAACATAAAAGTTATAATAATATAAACAACGATTCATTTGAAGTGCTATTAAATGATTAAATCACTGGAATATAGCGTTCATTCACTTAATTTACTATATGTTACTCAACATAACATATGATCAATATATACAACACTATTGTCTGTATTAATGCCATCCATCGGACTATACAGTAATGAATGCATTGAAAGTACTGTCAATTGTCTCATATTGTTGTCATATATAAGTCATTGTGTCATCAATTGAATCAATTCTAGAATTGACTACAATTTGTGTCAAATAATTGTTTTTATAAAACACTAAATTAATGTTAAAGTAATTTAATTTGTTGTCAAACATTAATTTGTTGACTATGAATGTTAATCGTTGCTAAGCAACCCATTAACAGTGACGTACTTAATGTACGAACCATTGAAAGAAATATACTGACAATACTTAAGAAGTGCTGATTCACTGAATATTTCAATTGTCAACTGTTTTGGTCTTCACTTATCACTGAATCCAATATCATTTGAACGCAAATAATGGTAAATGAGATGAATATAAAGTGTTTGTTAATAATTAGTTGTCATTTGTCTTAAGGCTCGTCGCTATGACTCTCGTACGACAATCTTTTCACCCGAAGGTAATGTCAACTCATTTATTGTCATTTATTTGAATGTTAACCAACTTTTGTGACCAATTGATGTATAACAGGACGTCTTTATCAAGTGGAGTACGCAATGGAGGCCATCGGCCACGCGGGCACTTGTCTCGGCATACTTTCCAAAGATGGTATTGTCTTAGCGGCCGAAAAGCGGAACACAAACAAACTGTTGGACGAGATATTCAACTCGGAAAAGATCTATAAATTACATGAGTATTAATATATTAGTTGTTATATAAGTTTTCTGTCTTTATGTGGATCTGATACTAATTTTAATTGTCTAGTGATATGGCGTGTAGTGTTGCCGGCATTACATCAGATGCTAATGTGCTGACCAATGAATTGAGACAAATAGCTCAGAGATATCTTCTTCAGTACGGAGAGAGTATTCCATGTGAACGATTGGTCAGTTGGTTGTGTGACATAAAACAGGCGTACACTCAGTATGGAGGCAAACGACCATTTGGTGTATCCATACTTTATATGGGTTGGGATAAACATTACGGCTTCCAACTGTATCAGTCGGACCCGAGCGGTAATTACGGCGGATGGAAGGCCACATGCATTGGAAACAATAGCAATGCCGCCATATCTATACTGAAACAGGAATACAAAGACGGAGAAACAAGTCTTAAGGATGCCTTAGCTCTTACCGTTAAAGTATTGAGCAAAACATTGGACACAACTAAACTTACTGCTGATAAATGTATGCATTATATAGTTTAATACAATTTTGTTATTACCGGTAATAATATATTGAAATTAAATTAATAACTTTAGTGGAAATGGCGACTCTTACGCGTGAAAACAACAAAACAAAAATAAGAGTTTTACCACAAAATGAAGTGACAGTACTTATTAAAGCTTTTGAAAAGGAAGAACAGGAGAAGGCAGAGGCGGCTAAACGCGAAAAAGAGTCGGAAAAGATTACCAAAAGCTAGACATTGATTGACACAATTTTTTCTTTTTTATTATTAATAAAATACTAATTAAAATGAAAAACTATTGTTTATTTAAACTCTTGACGTGACTTAAAATGGATTCTTTCATCACTTGTAAGATTTGTTGACATCCATTGATTGCCGATTCCATTACTTGTGGAACAACTGTTGAATGCATTCTACCGCTGGACTCCATCGATAGGATTTGTTTACCTTTAGGTAGTAAAGCAATGGTAAGTATAGGACCCGAACCTATTGACTCTTCTAAGTAATTGACGTCAACTATTGGTTGGTCGGTAACCATCGATGCCGAACAGGCACAGACCACGTCTTTAATAGGAATACCGGCGTGAATGACGGCAAGAGTGGCCGCATTAACACAAGCGCTATAATTACTACCATCTGATTGTAACACTTCCACAAATATATCGATCTGTGAGTGTGGGAACAGTTCTGTCAAAATGGCGTTTTCAAACACTTCCCGCAAATTATTTGTGATTTCAAGTGATCGGTAATCTCCCCGTTGTCGGGGTTTGCGTTCAGATGTGCTAAACGTGGCCATTGAATATTGACAGTTGATTATAGCTCTGTTATGTCTAGCCTTAGACCGCGACCCACGGATATCATGCGGTCCATAGACAGCGGCCAACACTCGAGTGTTTCCCAACTCGACATATGCCGACCCATCCGATTGGTCAAACACACCGAAACTGCAGCTCATTTTGCGGACTTCAGTTGGTCGCCGACCATCACATCTCAACCCTTCATCAGATAACAACTCTAATGAAGACATTTGCTGACAATTGTAATAAAATTATGAATTTATTATTAAAAAACACTTAAAAACATCAAATGTTTGAATTAAAACACGAGGTCTTCAACATTAATACAGTGTATATGTAATAAATTATGTCAACTATTATACACATTAGAGGTCCCAACAAATAAAGTTCGGTTTGGGTATAGTTTTAAGTTTATTATTGGTTTAGTTTTGATTTTAGTTTCAGTAAATTTCGGTTTTAAAATAATTTTTATTAAAAAAAATATTTTTAAACATTAATAAGCAAAACAAAATAGTCTTATATTAGTTATATTACTTTAAAAATAATTTTGTGTAATTTAAAACACATTGTTAATTTATGACAGTTCACTGTTTTTATATTAATCATAATTAACAATTTATATTTATAAAAATTTTATTATAAATATAAAACCATTAATATCTAATTATTTGATCATTCAATTTTATTTACCGGTTTCGGTTTCTGTCAATTTCTGAATTTTGGTTAGGTTTCGGTTACAATCTCTACTATACATTGATATTGTCTACAGTATTACATTGTTATTATAATGTATTACATACTACTGTATAATTTGAATCACTTTTAAAGTTATATCAATTAATATAATATTTTAGTTTTTCTTAGAGTTTATTAAATTATTAATAACTACTATATAATTGACATTTTCTTAAATTATGTTTAAAATTACATTATAGTGTTATATTACATACTGTATATTGTTTTAGCATTACTAAGATTAAATTTTCACTATTTTTCATCTAAAAATATTAATTGATTTTTTATACCTTAAGATAAAATAAGATAAATAGGAAGAAAAAATAAAATATTGTCCACATTTCCTGAGAAAATTGGAGAAAATATATTTTAGAAAATCCCTCAATATATTTGACAAAATACAAACTCTAAGTTTAATAAACATCTATTTAATCAATTAATTTTATATTAAATTACAATTAAAACTTAGTATAGAAATACTGTATATTTTACTAAAAAATTCTGCATTAAAAATGTATAATTTAAAATTAATTAATAAAATATTAATGTTTACAATACAATTTATTATCATTATTTTAATTAATTTTAAAATGATTTTCTACTTCTAACAATAACTTTATTCAACAAATAGTTAATGTTTTACTTTTTAATTAAATATTTTTAATAAAATAATGCTTTATTTAGATAAATAATGACTATTGACGAGATGCTAATTATTTTCCTTATTTTCAATTAATATTTTTAATCATTTAATTTTTAAATTGATAATTAATTTATTTTAACTAAAATTTTAAAAATAGATAATAATTCTGGATTTAAAACGTAAAAATAATTAATATAACATAATAATATGCTGTATATACCTTTATTATTATTATCTTAAAATCATATTTTAGTTTTATATTTTAACACAATAATTTATTTTAACTATTTTACTCATTTTTATTTAATAATTTAATTTAAATAAGTTATTAAAAATTAAGGTTTGGACTCCTAATTGTGGGCTTCGTTTTTGTTTGCGCGTGCAGTACAACAGTGTATTAAATACATTGATTATATTATGCGCGCGTGAAATAACTCAAAATTATTTATTTATTTTAAGTTATAGACTAATATCTATCATATGTTTAGTTATTTCGATTATCTACTAGTCCTTCCATCCCTTGACTTATTCCTCACAAAACAACCCACACACACACACCACTTCCTAACCTCACACCCACCCCCACACACACAACACTTCCTAACCTCACACCCACCCCCCCACACACACACCAGTTTTCCTTTTTAAGACAATCTTTAATTTGATTAAAAAGTCTGGTCTGGGGGTAAAATAGCCAAAATAGGGTATATCCCTCTAAGTTATAGCCCTAAGTTATAAGGGCCGCTAACCCTTGTTTAACCCTGCTTATAATAGATATGTAAATTACATAATGTAATTAGTAGAATATATAATATTGTTACGAATAGTGACCATGATACTATTATAATTTATTAAGCTACTATAATGATTTATAAAAGTTTTATTAACTAATCATTATAATTAAATAATAATAATATATTACTAAACTTATAGCAAACAATTAGCAAAATACAGCAAATCCATTGTATTAATACTGTAGTTATAATTTAGTTAATAAATTGCAAATAAATTAATAATGTTTTTATAATGTGTGCTAATTGTATGACAATTAGGGTTCGTCCATATTCCCTCCCTAATTTTTATAAATAAAATTTCCATATTTATTTGCACCCTGGGAATTCCTGGGGAATCTGTTTTCATTAGCTATTACATATTTATCTTTTAGCCACAGATTTTATTATAATTTTCCATTTATAAAAAAGATGTTTATATCAAACTATATATTAATTAGTATTATTAAATTTTCTGAATTCATATTTATTAAAAAATATTTCAATGATTTTTTGTTTGCAAAATATTTGAGTTTTGGTTATTAATTATAATAATATAAAATATATTTTCCTTTTTAGCGATGAAGGGATAAAACATAAAATATTTGTTCTATTTTACGGGAATTTGAAAGGAATTTATTTGGGAACTTACTTACATAGGAAAGTTGCCCGAACTCTAATTGCATTAGAAAACATTGAACACTATTGACGTTTATGTACACATTGTGTTTGTAATACTACAGTATATTGTATAGAATGTATACATTAGACATCCTGTAAATGTGTGTTCACAGCATAACAGTTAGTTTGGACCACAATATGGCTGTTAATGTAGTGTTTGGAGTACAGAGTTGTTGTATATGTACTGTAATATGTGCTGACCTTCGAGTATAGCATAATGTATGTGAATGTATAGTATAGTGTAATTACAGTGTAATGTAAAGCATCACTGTTTTGGAGGGTCTATAATATGAGTGTATAATACAGTATATGTTGTGTTATATTATATGTTGTGTTATATTATATGTTGTGTTATATTATATGTTGTTTTAGATTCGATAAGTTTGTCGAAAGTTTGCTAAAATATAATGCAATCATGTCTTCAATTGTCTATTATTTACATTAATTGATATACTGTTTGACACATTGATTGTCTTCAATGATGTCAATTACTGGACACTCAAACTATTAAATGCGTTGAAATTAGTGACCAATTCATTTGTGGCCAAATCGGTAATCGTTGCGATGGACATGAATGTGGACAACAACTCGATGGACGACCCGAACCACAACAATAACAACTCTCAAGATTTCGGTTTGTTTGCTATTGATTGACATTTACTGATCACTCATTGATTTATTTGAGATATCATTTGATTTGATTTTGCATTTGTTTTCATTTTTAAATGAGTTTTATTTTGTTTATCAATTCAATTGTTTATAATAACAGTTGACTTAACGATAGGTTCGGCCGAATTGGAGATTGATTTGTTGTCCCGTCGGGCCAGCAGTCAAAGCGATGACAACTCTATCTTTGCTCACTTGGATGCAAACGACACGCTATTCGGCGAACTCACTGATGATTGTGACGACAATTTGCCGTCACTTATGCCCGACTCGACGGTATCGCGACCTCTATCTCTTGAACCCATAGTCTCTATAAATCCAATTCGTTTGCCATTTGAATCCAGTCTTTTAAGCCAATCATCAAATGCTAACTTAAATAAGACTCAAATGCAATCACAGCAGTCATCATCGTCTGGTACCAAATTACCAGTTCCTCTGATGCCATCAAAACGAGGACCAGGAAGACCTCGAAAGGATGGAAAGGTACCGATTCAAAGGAAAAATTTGTTTCCTGGTCGGCCACGAAATAGAGGACGCAAAACATTAAATGTATTAAACATTGGCTCTAATCTATCCGGTGGTGATCTACAGTCACCAAAGTCATTGAATTCTTTTAATGTTTCACCCGCTTTGCCATCAAAAGCCATCTCTGGTAATAACGGTTGTCGAACACCAGACACGAGTAGAACTGAACTTTCAATACCGTCGAGTAATTCAAATCTTATGATCACTAATTCTGATGACTCTAATAATGAAACTGAACTTAAAATTAGTTCAAAAGTTTGTATATTTTGTAATTTATCGGAAAATTCTCTACACTTTTTGGGAGAACTGATTCGTTTTGATCCAACCCCTGGGTTTAACCCAATGAAACGTTCTGTACGACGAAGATCATCACCTGATTCTGATATAACTCCTGGAAGTTCGTCAACTGAAACATCAGATTTAGCTTCTCCTGTTAGAACAGGTATGTATTTATTATAATACCTGTAATAAGATTTAAATTAATTTATGATTTATTTTAAAAACAGGTAAAGAATTATCTCAAAAGTTTATTAGACGTGGAACTGAAATACAGAAAGTAATTCCGGGGCCTTTAGATGAAATGAAAACGATTGGTTTTAATGATAAATCAATAATAATGAGCTTATTTGAGCCATCGGGTCACTGTTGGGCACATCATTGTTGCGCTGTGTGGTCAAAGAACGTACAACCGGATGAAATGCTTAATGTGGACAAAGCCGTATGTGATGGCGCACAACAGCAATGTTTTGAGTGCAATAAATATGGCGCTACCATTGTCTGTGAGGCCAAACCATCCTGTAATCGGTTTTATCATTATGCCTGTGCTATTATCAGCGGTGCTTTTCAAGATATAAAATCACTGTCACTATTATGTGGAACACATTCATCACAAGCAGTGACTCTATTTAAAAGTGAAGCCTTATGTGTAAATTGTGAAAAACCGGGAGATATTCACGATCTCTTATTCTGTACGAGTTGTGGTTATCATTATCACGGACTTTGTTTGGATCCTCCAGTGAGCGCCACTCCAAATGTAAGAGCCGGCTGGCAATGTCCCGATTGCAAGATGTGTCAGACATGTCGTAAACCTGGAGATGAAAATAAAATGTTAGTTTGCGACTCATGTGATAAAAGTTATCACAGTTTTTGTTTGCGACCAATAATGGCAACCGTCCCAAAGCATGGCTGGAAATGTAAAGATTGTCGCGTTTGTGGTGATTGTGGAGCCAGAACCCCAGGTAATGGTCCCAGTTCTCGATGGCACATGAATTATTCGGTTTGCGATAGTTGTTATCAACAGCGAAACAAAGGTAGTTCGTGTCCTATCTGTGGTAAGGCCTACCGACAGGCCTGTCAAAGTGAAATGCTTCAATGCATTACGTGTCGCAAACTAATTCATCCGACGTGTGAACCAAAACTAAGTCAATGCAATGATGATCTCATTACAGAAATTGCTAATAATTATGTTTGCAAAGTATGTGAGAATTCTAGTGTTTCCGGTGTTGAGTCAAGAGATGACATCCAAAATGACGCCACAATTCCCGACAATATATTCAATGCAAGTCGAGAATCGTTTGGGTCATTCACTGAAGATTCAATGGGAAGTATTGACAACATAGATGTCCAACCATTGGGCAATACATTAGATAATACATCTGAAGTGAAACCGTTTGCAACACAATTTTCAACGACAAACATTACATTAGGTCGACCTTCCGTTCCATTTGGCGGTAAACTATCGGGTAAAAAGAGACTGAATTTTTCCGGAAAAAGAGGCGGAAAATTTCCCGGTAGAAAAAGAGCCAAAACAGTAGAATTTAGACGAAAAAGAGGTCCGAAAGCAAAGTTTAAGCCATTTGCTGGTCAGACTGGTTCTATAGTTTTAAATAATTCTGGAATCACTTTGACATCAATTGGAGCTCAAGAAGGAGAAGTCAGAGAAAAGATTAAAGACGATGATCCGGCCAATGAAAACAAAGTACTTCTTTGTTCAATCAATGATGACTTTGTATTATCACAAGACGTGTGTGCGATGTGTGGAAGTTTTGGTCAGTCAGAAGAAGGTCGTCTTATATCATGTTCTCAATGCGCACAATGTTATCATCCATTTTGTGTAAATATTAAAGTGACAAAAGTTGTGCTCAACAAAGGTTGGCGTTGTTTAGAGTGTACTGTTTGTGAAGGTTGTGGACAACCTCATGATGAGGCACGGCTTCTTCTGTGCGATGATTGTGACATTAGTTATCACACTTACTGTTTAGACCCTCCTTTAGATGATGTACCTCAGGGCACTTGGAAGTGTCGATGGTGTGTTATTTGTGTTAAATGCAAGTCAACCGATCCGGGATTCGGTTCTTTGTGGCAAAAAAATTATACTGAATGTGGTCCCTGTGCCAGTCAGGCTACTTGTCCCGGTTGTCAGACAGAATATGTTGAAAGTGATCTTATTATTCAATGCATTCAATGCAATCGGTTTGTTATTTTTAATAAAAGTATAAAATGTTAAAAATTGAAATTATTTTAATGATTATATAATTATATTAAAGTTGGCTCCACTCTAAATGTGATGGTATGACTACTGAAGATGATTGTGAAAGTGCCGCTGATTTTGGTTATCATTGTCTTCTTTGTCGACCTAAAGATGAATTAGCGCCTCATATACAAGGTTTGTGATAATTTGTTTGTACTATTGTTATGTATTATTATTTATTTATTTATTTAATGTTTTATACTATTTGACAAATAGCTCGAAAAGCTAAAGCTTTGGCCACTAAACACCAATTAATAGATTCAGTGAAACAAATTAATGAAGAAATACAAGAGTCGACTACAAAATGTTTTAACAGAAGAGATTCAGAAGATTCTATTCTAAGCAAAATATCTAACATTTCCAATGCTATGACACCACAAGTCACTCAAACCTCGACTTCAGTTTCAGGAACAACAACTATAACTTCTAATATCAAACCTGTTGTTCCAAAATTTCAATCAAATTATCATTTAGTCGATGGAGTTATGCTTTCCGATAGAGGTTTAAGTCAAATAAAAGCACTTCAAGTGGAACAACCAAAGAGGACAAGAATGAAGAGAGGAACCAAACAATTATTAAATCAATTGTCTTTAAATTCGAATAAATCTGAAGAAATGGAAACCGATATTCCTAAAGAAGATGACACGGTATCTCTAGATGATAAGGTAGCTGAAGATGGTGTTCCTGTTAAGTCTGATGAATTGGGAGAGAAAAAGAAACGTCAAAGAAGACTACATAAGTTAGGAATCGGAGGGTTTTCTGTAAAACAAAGAGGAAGAATGAGTAAAGATAATGAAGAACTCGTATCTAATCCTGATTTAGATGTCAATGGAAGTGATATAATAGGTAACAGTGAGTCACTTAATTTAGATAAACCGCGAAGAAGACGACGGATTAGTAAAAAGAAGAGTCAACTTCAGGATAGTTTTCCATCGTATATGCAAGAAGCATTCTTCGGCAAATTACTTCTTGAAAACACTCACTTAGATTCCAACCAATCAAATGCTTCTAAAGATTTAAATCTATTAAGTAATGATGAGGAAGATTTATCTAAGAATATAGAAAATGATAAACTGATAGTTTTGACGCCAACAGAAGCTGCAGCCGTTAGATCTCAAAAACCTAAAAAAGAAATTACTTCACGACTTTTGGATGAACGTTCTGTTAGTCCACTTGAAGATGATCTTCAAGACGGAGACGACTTTAATGATTTGTTACCACCACTTCCACCTGATGATGAACTTATGGATATTTTAATCAATGAAGACGGTTTAGATCGGACTGATGAGTCACTCGATAATTTAGATGTCAGTGCTAAGGATGAAGAGAACACAAAAGATGATACAATAGATCTGTTGAGTCCTAACTTTAATTTAGATGGAATTGTTGGCGCATCAAGTCTACCACAAATGGATAGTAAAGAGGTTGAAGATCTTTTCAAAGGTGTGTTGTCTCCACAAAATACAGATGACAGCAACGACTTTAATTCATTGTTGGAGTCGTCTAACTCTGCAATAATTGCTGACATAAAGCCATCGATTCCAATCCAAATTCCTCCTCCACCTCTTACATCACCGTTAGGTCCACCGCCAACACAAAATTTAATGCCTCCTTCTTCAGTACCATTGCCACAATTGATTCATTCAAAACAGACTCCTGATATGAATTCAGTTGGATTAATGGAAAATCCATACAATCCAATGCCATCACCATATTCGATGCAAATGAATGATCCGATATCTTCTCAATTTAGTCCACAAATTACTGAACCACAGAGTCCATGGCCTGCAGAAGCAGACGAGCAAATTACATCTCAGGGACAGAAAAATATGATTAAATGGGAAAGTGATGAAGCATTGGGACAAATGGCAACTATTTCACCCGTTCTCTATGCAAATCTAAATCATCCAAATCTTAAACAAGAGTTTCCCAATTGGAACGAAAGAATTAAACAAATATCTAAATTATGGCGACAATTGCCAACAGATCAAAGACAACCATTTCTACAGAAAGCCCGCGAAAATCGTGCGGCAAATAGAATACAAAAAGCACAGTCTGAACAACAAAAAGTGTCGATTAAAGAGATACGTCAACCCATTACAGTCAATACTCCCAATATTACCGGTGTTCGGGAAAATGAAAATGAAAGACAATGGAAAAGTTTACAAGCGTCCAGACAACAGGTCATACAAGAACAAAGACAAGCAATTTTTAAGAACCAACCGATATCGGGACAAATATCGCCCGGAGCTGATGTTAACCGAATCCCAATTCATAATATTCCACATTCGCCATCCAAATTGATGCCTGAATATGGAAGTGATATGGCGTCACCTATTCATCATATTCAGGATATGCCTATGCAGTCTCCTCGTCATTCACTTCAGAATCCATTTATGATAAATAGACCTCAAGTTCATTCACCTTCAGGTCCATCACCAATGAGTCCAGTCATTCAAGTTTCACGAGTCAGACCACCAATAGATCCAAACAAATTACCCGTTGGATCCAAGTCAATGCAATATGATCCTTATTCTCATCCGCCAAACACACCCCGACCTCAACCACAAATATCGGCTTTACAACCAATTGTAAGGCCGGGGACACCTCAACAACGGTCACCATTTTCTCCATCATCTCCCGGAGCTGCAGTGGCAAACACTTCAATGTCTCAGACACCATCAGTAGAAGGTCCTCAAACTTTTCAAACACCTCCTTCAACACCTAGGCCTCAAAGCACTGATCCGCACATACAAACACAAACACCATTACCTGTTAGTCCATATGGTCAGCCACAGCCACAGACACCAATTTCAAGTCCATTCTCTCCGACTCACAATAACATTATAAATCAAAGCCAACAACAATGTGTCGATTCTTTTAGTCAGCGAAATCAGCAATCGTTTACATCGGATTCAATGGAAAATATTCAAAATAATGAATGTCTTTATCAAAATGCTGGTCAAAGAGTTGGACAGCGAACATCTGATGCATTCAATCAAAACATATCGTCTCCTAATACTGATCCATATTCAAGACCTGTAGCGACTCCACAACCACCACAGTCACCTCAAAATGAACAAATTCAGAAAATGGGATCAACTAATCTTCAACAACAAGATATGTATGCCTGTCAACCTATGACCCCTAGACCACAACAATCTATTCAAAGATCGCCTTTTGGCTCTCAAGAAGATATTTATTTAAGACAAACCCCAAACTCAAGAGTGTCGCAATCATCTGATATATATTCTCAGCCACCCGGAACACCTCATCCTAATTTTCAACAAACACTTCAACAATCACCTCAACCACCTCATTCACCGTCAACATCACAACACGATCCGTATGCTTATCAGCCAAGTACTCCAAGACCTGTTGCTTCGCGACCTTCATTGCTAAATATAAGACAACCAACAATGATGAGACCTCCTGCACCTCCATCTCAGACTCTGGTTGATCCATATGCACGACAACCCGGAACACCAATGCCTTCTCCACTTCATGATCCATATGCCAAACCTCCAGGAACTCCAATGCCAATGAGTGAAAGAATACAAGAAGGAACTGAAACACAATTATCGCGACAACATTTGAGAGACCTTTTGCAGAAACAACAGGTTAGAAGACAACAGGGAGCAGAACTACCTCCACGACTTTGGCCACGTATGTTATATTGTTGTATTATTTATGATTTGTTTGAATAATGATTTGTTTTCAATAGCAAATAATCCAGTCAGGGCTCCTTCTAGTGATGGTATGTTTCGCCAACCTATACCTCCAGGAGTGATACCACGACCAAGAGTGCCAACAAGTTTTCAATCTGATCAAGTGTTTAGACATCCGGGTAATGCGGGTGATCCGCGTCTACTTTCAAATCGTTTACCCGATTCCCGAATGCAACGCATTTTAGTATCACAACCACAACAGTTTCCAATGAGATCTCAACAACAATGGACTCGAATGCCACTACAGGTTCATCCGAATTCAGGTTTACCGTCAAGTCAACCATTATCACAATCAGGTACAGAAGGTCATTATAATCCTGTATTAGCTCCCGGGGCTCGTATGCCTCCAGGAGTCCAACAAAATCCTAATATCATTTACGGATCAACTACAATGAGACCTTCTATGAGACCGCCAATGTATGTGCGGCAGACACAACCACTACAAATGAATGTGCAGAATAATGATGCGATTCAAAACCAAACACAGATACGCATTCAGAAGCCAGTTATGAATACAAACTTAGTTAATGCTCAACAAATAAGTGACGGCCAAACCAAAGTGCAATTACAACCAACTCTTCAACCAAATGCAAAACATCCGACAACCAGTGATATCGTACAACAACTTCAAGAACAACAAACCCCAGAATTGATTGAAGAAGAATGTCCTGTTGAAGATCTCGATGACGACGAACTTTTAGGTTTAGGAAATGATTTCAATATTCTTGAATACGCCGATCCAGAACTCGATAAAACATTAAGTGGAAAAACAGGTGGAAAAAGCAATATATTTGATGAACATTTGGATGAATTGGATGACAAAGAAGATGGTGACGACAAAAATAAGAATAAAAGTGGAAATGAAAAAAATGGGAAAAATATCGAATCACACAATACTGAGAAAAACACTAATAATAAGAAAAATGATAATAATATTAATAATAATAATACTAACACTACTACTAGTACTACTACTACTACTACTACTACCAATACTATTACTACAACAACAACTACTAATACTAATATTAATATCAATATTAATGAAAAAAAACCTTCTATTAGACAACAAAATAATCCATTGGTACAAAATGTACAACAAATGCAAACACCGAATAAACCTCCAGATTATCGACTTTCATATACTCATTCATCTCAATATCGACATCAACAGCAAGAAATTCCGCAACCGCCACCTCCTCCGCCATATTCACAAACATCACCACAAATGACTCATAATGTTAAGCCAGATAGCGCTCAATCAGGATGTGCTGATCCACATCTACAAGTCAAGCCTACATTACTTCAGGAGCAACCACTGCTACTCGAAGATTTAGTGGAACAGGAAAAAAGAGACCAAAGACAGGCTGTGCCAATACAGTCACGAACATATCCAACCGATAGTTTAATGCCTCAATCAGACTCTTTGTTAAGTGATGTCGAGTTTGAACGCCTTAAAGCAGATATTTTATCAGACGAACCGATTCAATCATTAAACATTGCTTCTGTACAGACAACACATCCTCACCAGCAAATGCAATCTTATTCTCAACAAATGGTCCCGAATGCGAATCAAGGACCTCACTGGCAGAATATTGCAAATACTGCTTATCAAACACAGACACGATTACCACAAATGGGTCCCAGAATGGGTCCACCGGTTCAAAGACATCAAATGTTTCAATCAGTTCAAATCAATCAAATGGGAATAACGAGTGTCAGAATAGCATCTCCACGACAACCAATACGACCAAATGTTCCGTTAATGCCGTCAATGTCACCCATAAGACAAATGGTGAGTCTTCCTCCACCACCTGTACCACCAGCAGAACCTATGAACGATATGGAGCGTCAGCAACAACTTCAATATGAGAGTTGGCTTATTCAACAAAATAATTTATTATCACAACAACAAAAATTTTATGAAACAGAAGTGGCAAAACTTAGAAAAACTAAGAAAATGATAACAACTAAACAAAGACAATGCAAAAAGAATGGAACCGATTTGAATGAAACGGATCAAAATGAATTGACTCGTATTACACAAGAAATTAGTTCCGTTCAAAAACAATTAGAACAGATTCGAAAATCATTAAGACATCACCAAATGTTAACCAATGATTTTAATCAAAAGAGATCTAAACAGTCAATGCCTGGTGTTTCACAAACATCTATATCTTTACCACAATCTCCTGGTAGCACTTCGATAACATCAATGCAGACATCACCCCGATCAGTTCATTCTCCACTAATGGCATTGGGATCATCAGGTCCTGGGACTCCTATAGCTTTGGCAGGTCCTGCAACTCCTCAATCACCAGCTATAATGAGTCCATCACCTATGGGAGGACCGTCACCTTCTCCTTTAATGCAGAACTCTCCGATTCCAAATTTACATTCACCGGCACCTATGCCACCATCACCTATGGTTCAGTCACCAATGACTCACCCACTAACAAATGATTCAAACATTAGGCCTCAAATGTCAGCTCAATCTGTACATATAGTAGATGATAATAACCCATTTAGTGATGTCTATCAACACAAAGAAAAGATGCAAATGTCATCTATTAGACCACTACAACAAACAACACCTGCAGGTTCTTATATGATGCCTGGTCCAGATGGTCCATCTATTAGGCAAATGACTTATCATAATGAAGATAATCCATATCACCATCCAATGCAACAACAAATAAGACCAGTGCAGACAATGGGTCAGCAAATACCTTCCCAACACCCAACTAGTCATTATCAACAGTCAAATGATATGCAAATGTTTCGATATCCACACCAACAACCCGTTTATCAACAAAGACCTTATAATGAACTTGTGGGCCAACCATATCCCGCACAATTGCCACCTAACTATCAGCATTCACAAATGTCCATAAGAAGACCACCGCCTCCACCATATCCAGGCTCTTTAGGACAGCCAACACCTCAACAACAACATCAACAACCGCAACAACATATGAGAATGTATGGTTCACCACAGGTAGCTACGACTTCTCCAATGCCACGACAACCTGTACATCAAATGCATGTTTATCACCACCAAATGTCATCTAATGAATTTGATCCAAATTCATATGTTGACACTATGTCTTTGAACACATTCCAAAGTAATTGTGATGATAATCAAATGGTTCAATCATCTGCCAGAACAATACCTGTATCGGCTTCATATCCAGTATCTGAAAATAATTTATCGACGCATATGTCAGCACCTGATATGTTATCTGTTAGTTCAGAAGATTTGTTAGTTTCTAATCCAAATGATATGATGTCAGACTTACAGCACTTTAAGTCACAAACGTCTGTTGATAGTGAAACCAATGATCAGAAGCCTTCAATTGTTGGCGAAGCAAAGACTTCCATTTCTTTTAATATTGATGAACAAGGATCCGGTCACGATAATGATGCTGTCAATGACTTACATAATGATAATGATAATAAAGATGTTGATGTACAGACACAAAACAATATTACAATAAACATAAAACAAGAGTTTATCGAACCGATAGATCAGATTTCTTCACAATCACAGTCATGTCAATTAAGTGAGCAAATTGTTGCCATTAAGGATGAACAGGTATTTGTTATTTATTAGTAAAAACTTTAAACAAAATGTTTCTTAAATATAATAAATTGATTTAATAGGTAAACAATACAATATCATTACCGTCTCCATTATCACCGTCAACGATGTCAACTCCGAAACCACAAACATCACAATCGATAGAATCAACAAATGTATCGGAAATCTATCAAACATCCGATGAAACTAAGTTTTTAGTGTCAGTTAATGACAATAATAATGACGATAAAGTAGTTGAAAACAATTGTATTAATACAGCAAATGAATTAAGCAATGAATCAAATGATTTAAATGACGAGTTGGCACATAATAATCAAAATGCTTTACTCAAACAACTCTTACAAAACTGTCCCTCAGCTGACTCACAAAATAAGACAATTGTTGAAACTATTGTAAAACAAAATGATCAACAAAATGATTTAAATAATAATATTGATTTAAATGAAGAATCCAATAATAATGAGCAAAATATAGTTGAAAATGAAATCGATTCAGTACTGCCTCTAATTGAGGCGAAAACAGAAGAAGATAAAGAAATGGTACCAATTGTTGAAAGTGAAATAACTAGTGAACCAATTGCAAGCACTTCACTTACTCAACCAATGACTCCAACGACTCCAACTACTCCGGGTGTTTCACCAGAGAAAAAGTTGTCTTATTTAGACATCCGTAGGGCTCAGTTGGAACGAGAACCTACGCCTCCACCCGAAGAACTAAAACCAAAGAGAAAACGAATGGTTAAAAGAAAAGAAGCTAAAAGTCCTGATGGAGTGTCCGATAGTGTCAAACCTCCCACTAAAAAGAGATCTCGAAAGGCTTCACAAACTCGAACTGATGAAGATAGTGAACTATTTTTGACAGCTTTGATGACACAACTAAGATCTTTACCACCACTCCAAGTGCTTGAACCTGTCTTGAAACCCAATTATAATGTTTTCTTACCATTTGATGCACCAGATTTCAATTCAAAAGAGTCAACACTTCGTGGAAGTTATGGCAATGCATTTCTTTCATCGACAATTGATTACTACTCAACCTATCCTTTTGGACCAAACAAAGCACCGCCTTTGACACCATCATTGCCACCGAGTGTTGTTAATAGTGCTCAAACCGTGTCGAGTAGTTTTATTAGTTGCAATAGTTCATCGATTGGAATGCCCTCAACAAGTCGTGGCTTTTATAACGAAGAATTTTCTAAATTCTCGACTCCATTACTTCATACATCGTCTTCAAATAAAAATGATATTGAATTTACCGGTTATTACCGCGACTGTGACAGTCCAGACACTATAGTTTCTTCATCTTCACCGGAAACTGTTATATATGACTGTCCTATTGATTCATTTAAAGCACTTAAATATATTAGTGTTGATGAAGACGATGATAGTGAATACAAAGATATTAATAATAACAGATCTTCGCCAGAAATTCCAATGTTATTATCGATACCAATCCGTCCGATTCCTATTAGACCACATATTTCAACAACACCTGAAAGACGAGAACCAGAGAATGACTTAGAGAGAGACAAAGAAAATGTTTTGGATACAAATACTTCACTTAAACTAAAAACTATTCCATCGATTCCACTCAAAGACACGGGCAATGTTGGAGTTACTCTTACATTATCTTCTGCTGATGATATTCGTGGTATATTGAGTGCATTAGCCAAATATCTGGACATTCCTGCGCCCAATACTTTTGAAATAGTCGAGCGATCGATAACACCTCCGAATCAGAAGTTAGGTCTTTATAATAAAGATAATATTGACTCAGAAAATGATAATTCAAATGTCGATTCGTTAGTAAACGGCGGCAAAACACAAGTCATGAAAAATTTCTGTAAATTCTGTGATATTGTTGTTTTAAATGCTGGCATTAAAAAGAGTTGTTCAGAATTACCACTCTTAGCACAGCAACAATTGGAAGGGGAGGAAGAAGTGATATTTTGTAGTATCAATTGTTGCACTAATTTCTTAAACAGACGTCCGCCAACTCTAGAAAAGGAGGCGACAGCTGTTGTGGTTCACCGACATTCCAATGATAAGAGTGTCACTGAAATTAAGACAGAAAAACCTCTAATTGTTAAGAACTCTATGGATTTCTTGCCACCAATGAGTCCAATGATGGAAGACGATGACATCAGTGATCACGAAATATTATCTTTAAATTTGTCGCCAAAACTACCGACTCTTTCGATTGAAGAACAATTAACAGCGCCGAACAGTTTGATGGAAGTGGAAATAGAGACAGAAAACCAAATGTCTCGTCCATTGACACCCAAAGAACCGATTGTTAAGCAATGGAAAGATTCGCGATATAAGTATTGGAATTTTCAGACGTTTGATAAAATGATTAAAACAGAGAACGAAGAAGTAGATGATGAAGAAGAAGAAGAAACGGAACTTCTTTTAGATAAAATGGAAATTTGTGTCAAACCTGATCCAAATGCAGTTGAGAGAAGAAAATGTATTTTATGTCATGAATTAGGAGATGGAGAAGCAGATGGACCATCACGTCTACTCAATATGGATGTCGACAAATGGGTTCACTTGAATTGTGCGCTTTGGTCTTCAGAGGTCTATGAGATGATGAGTGGAGGCCTTATGAATGTAGACCAGGCGTGTAAACGAGCGCTAAGTTTGCAGTGTATTAAATGCAAGAAAACGGGTGCTTCACTCAAATGTTATAAACCTCGTTGTGTTAACTCTTACCACTTTCCCTGTGCTCTCAGTGATCAGTGTATGTTCTTTAAAGATAAGACATTATTATGTTCACAACACTCACCAAAAATACCAAATCCTGAAGAGATGACAACATTTGTCGTTTATCGACGAGTTTATGTCAATCGAGACGAACAGAAACAGATCGCATCAATGATTCATATGGGAGACAATCATTTGCTTAGAATTGGAAATCTTATATTTGTAAACATCGGACAACTACTTCCACACCAATTGCATGCCTTTCATAATGCAAACTATATCTATCCCATCGGATATAAGATAATTAGATTTTATTGGAGTTTTAGGAGATTTGGTAAAAGATGTCAATATATTTGTTCGATCGGTGATGTGTCCAATAGACCTGAATTTGTAGTTGAAGTCAAAGAGGAAGGCTTTAAAAATGTTGTTTTCAGAGATACATCACCTAAAAATGTTTGGCTACCGATACTTGAATTAATTGTTAAAATGAGATTAGAGGCCAAATTAATTAAAGTATTTACTGAATATATTACCGGAGAAGACTTGTTTGGTCTATCAGAACCAGCAATTGTCAGAATATTAGAATCATTGCCCGGAATCGACACATTAAATGACTATAACTTTCGTTACGGTCGATCACCACTTCTAGAATTACCACTCGCTATAAACCCGACGGGTTGTGCACGAACTGAGCCAAAACTTCGGACTCACTTCAAGCGACCGCATAGATTGCATGTATCGACCACTGGATCTTCTCGTTCCTCAATACAGTCATCATTGAGTCGAATGGAAGAAAGTTCTCCATATGTCAAACAATTTGTGCACTCGAAGTCATCTCAATATCGGAAAATGAAGATGGAGTGGAGGAATAACGTCTATTTGGCCAGAAGTGGTATACAAGGACTCGGTCTTTACGCTGTCAGAGATATCGAAAAGCACACAATGGTTATCGAGTACATCGGTCTTCTCATACGTAATGAAATTGCTGAACGAAATGAACGTATATTTGAGGCACAGGTATTGATTTAACACAATAATTATCAACTGATATATTTGTCTTCAATAATTGTATTGTTTTTTACAGAATCGCGGAGTATATATGTTTCGTTTAGATGACAATCGTGTAATCGATGCCACTTTGTCTGGAGGTTTGGCCCGTTATGTAAATCACTCGTGTAATCCCAATTGTGTGGCCGAATCCGTGCAAATCGATAGAGAAAATAAAATATTAATTATTGCTAACCGAAAGATCCTAAGGGGTGAAGAGGTATTTATCATTATTATTGTTGTTATGTTTGCATTATTTTTATTAATATTTATTATATATTTTTAGTTAACATACGATTATAAGTTTGATGTTGAAGACGATCAACACAAGATCCCATGTCTTTGCGAAGCTCCTAATTGTCGCAAATGGATGAACTAATTGACACATTCAACTCATAACACATTAAATTAATTACTAAATTAAAATCATTGCTTTGGAAATCATTATCAACATATAGTATATAATTTACATATAATTATTATTAAATAATGTTTTTATTTTTTTTTGTTTTAAACAATAATTTTATTTTGCATTTTATTGTAATTAATAATTCAATTAATAATCAAAAGACAAATGATATTCATTGACCCGATTATTGTTTAAAAATATTTTGTACAGAATTTTAACAATTGATATCATGTATAGGGTTTGTGTGCAATAACAACAAAACCTGTAATTTATTATGCATTATATTATTAAAAAAAATTGTAATAAAATTATACAGGTATATATATATATATATATATATATATATATATATATATATATATATAAATATATATATAAATAATAATATTAATTTTGTATTTATTTCATATTTTATTAAAATTGAATTATTGACTCATTTATTCATTGATTTATTATATTAATAGATATTTTTTGATAAAAAACATATTTTAGTTGATTATAGAATCGATGGTTAATATGAATGTCAATTAAATTGAGTTCAGTATTCATGTTATATAATATATATTGTATAGTAATATATGGAAAATAGTTATTCAATATATGAATAGTCATATGATATATGAGTAATACTGTAATCAATATTATAACAAGTTTTTCCAATCAAATGTAATAATGATTGAAACGATTAAACAATTAATGTATTGTTGTGTTTGTTTGTATTAATATATTCAAAGTGTGCGCCAATCAGTCAATGATTGAATGAATCACTGAATGTATAGTTTGATAGTCTATGTTATAGACCTATACTGTACTACTGTATAGTCTATAGAGTCTATAGTACTGTATATATGATTGAATTGATGACATCCGCCGGTGAGTGCCTTCACTTGACTTCCGTTTGACTCATTTGATGCCATTTTGTTTGCTTTGTTTGACTACAAACAGCCAAAAGTCAATCGTTTTAATACCATTTAAGTCGTTATCAAGACATCACATTTGATCCAATAATGACCGGAACTCCAGTTAAACAAGAGGTAAGTGTTGTTTGAATTGAATGTCAATTATGTCTGTCTTTTTTGAAGACAATTTTGACCAAAAATGACAAAATGACGTCTTATTGTATAATTAAATATAAAGAGTGATCAAAACAATGGACACGAAGATAATGATAATCAATATGAAGAACAAAATGATGTCAATATGAATGACAATCAAAACAATATCGTTAAGAATGAGACAAATGATGAGACAAACGGCACAAATGATAACAAAAACGATGAAACAAAAAACAGTGACGAAGACAATGAAGAACCCGAACAGTTTAGGAAGTTATTCATCGGTGGTCTCGATTACAAAACAACTGAAGATACTCTTCGACAACATTTCGCTCAATGGGGAGAAATTGTAGACTGCGTTGTGATGAGAGATCCGACTACTAAAAGGTCGCGAGGATTTGGATTTATTACTTATAGTAAAGCATCGATGGTTGACTCAGCACAGGCTTCAAGACCTCACAAAGTCGACGGAAGGGAAGTGGAACCCAAGCGAGCCGTTCCCAGAGAGGTTGACTTCTTAATAATTCTTAATTTATAACAATTATAACGTTTTGTTTAATTAGGATTCAGGCAAACCTGAAGCTCAGGCGACTGTTAAGAAAGTGTTTTTAGGCGGTCTTAAAGAGGATATCGAAGAAAATGATTTAAAAGATTATTTTGTAGAGTTCGGTACAGTTGTTAACGTGAATATAGTGACCGAAAAGGACACCGGAAAGAAACGAGGCTTTGCTTTCGTTGAGTTCGATGATTACGATCCGGTCGACAAAATTGTCCGTAAGTGACATTTGATTGACATTTTAATAGCATTTGATTAATTGATTGCTTTTTATGATAGTTAAGAGACATCATGTTATTAAAGGCAAGAGAACCGAAGTGAAGAAAGCTCTCTCAAAGCAAGAGATGGACACAATGAAGAGGAAAACTGAACAAAGAGGAAGTAATCCAAGAGGTGGACAGGGAGGCAGAAATGCACCCGTTTGGGAATCAGGTCCCGGCAATTATGGAGGTGGATATGGCGGTGGTTATGGCGGTGGACAGGGAGGATGTATGTGATTGTTTAATACATCTTATTATTTTGAATTATTTATTAAATTATATTTTTATTAGACGGTGGATATGGTGGAGGATATGGACAAAATAATTATGGAAATCAAGGAGGCGGTTGGAATCAAGGAGGTGGTTATGGAATGAGTAAGTTTAAGCAATTAGTGTGGAATTAATTAAATATTATTTTAATTATTTATTAGGAGGAGGCGGCGGCGGCGGAGGTGGTGGTGGAGGAGGCTGGAGCAGTGATTACAGTTCAAATTATGGTAACAGTTATGGCGGCGGTCCCGTAAGAGGAGGCGGTAATTACTCGCAGAGAGGGAGTGGACCATATGGTGGTAAGTGTTATCTATTTGTTTTCATTTGTTAACTAACAGTACATTATGTTAAGATATTAATTAATAGTTAAGAAAGCATTAAATATTTAACTTTATTGGATATACAGGAGGTTATGGCAGTGGCAGCGGAGGCAACTATGGAGGTGGAGGAGGAGGTGGAAACTATGGCAGGAGATAAACAATAATATTAATTCTTGGGGTAGGATTCAGTTTATATCAACAGTTATTTACTTTCAGGAATGGGATTATTGTGTGAATTATGTGATTGTTGTATAAAACTAATTATATAACTTTAATTAGTTTATAAATTAACGTTTAATATCTTTTATTCGTCAAAATTTTAGGATTTGTGTCAGAAATAACAGGCAATGAGTGAGAAATAAGGCTAAAGAGAGACAAAAGCATTTAAATGAGAACTTCAGATAGAGATCAGACACTGAAGTGATAGTCATTTGTGAATTGAAGTCAACCTTATCGTGACAGTGAACAGACAGACAGTGACAATGATATGAAATGAAACTATCAATAGATTGAATCAATTGCTTAATTAATCTGACAGTAATTCCCAAGAATTGATTATATTGTCGACCAGTAATTCACCAAATTTTTCATCACTTAATCGTCTTTTATTATAATTAAGTTAAATACAAACAAGACATACCCCTTAAATAATTATCATTTGATTGCATTTAATCCCATTTAAATGATTATTAATTAATTGTAAACTATTTATCATTAATCTAAACATTAATATTGCACATCATCTTAAAACACATCTTTATATCTTAATATTATAATTATTTCTATTATTATTATACTTTATAAATACTGTATATGATATGATTATTAATATTATTATAAATTAGATGAAAAACAAATAATCATAACTAAAGCGTAAATTTACGTTAATTTTGATGCGAAAAATCATTTGTATAATCGACGTCTTCTGTAAACATAAACAATTATTTAGATGTTTGAGTCTTAACTAAAAAATTTATTTACAATTTGATGTATTTTTTTTAAACAACAACAATCATTAGTTTATATTTTAAATGATTATGAAATATTGTAGACATAGTCTATAGGAATAAATATTAAAAATTACATTAAATTATTTAATAAGTTTTATTCTTTTGGATTTTTACAAGATTTACAATTATAGTTGAATATAAAGCTTATTATTGAACCAACAGGTGAGGGCTGATAGCTATTTGAGTGATCGCTCAATATATTTATATTTTTCTATAATATATTTATTTGGCTTAAAAATATTTTTTAATTAAATTATTTAATTGATTGCATGAATTCACAATTTTAGCATGATATATATTTATAATTTTATTTTATTTCTTTTATTTTATTTTAGGCAATCATTGGTATATTTGATAAATTTATCGGATAATCTGTAAGCAAATTCAATGAAATTTCAAATTCATTTAAATTTACGATAAAATAATAAGCTTTGTATTACAGACAACAATCGCTTATCGCTATACTGGCTGTTGGTTTTTGCAAATGACAGGTAATTTTACGGTAAAAATATCGGTTTATTTTATTTTCAGTCAAATGATATCTTATGGTATATTTACTATGGCATCAAATTAGTAATTTTCAATCAAATATACTAAATAGTTAAACTATTAAGCGATTATGAAATTTAGTATCGTTATCGATGTCCATTATAAATGAAATCTTCAAATATTAGTCAAACCTTTATGATAGGTAAGTCATAAGCAACACATTTGAATAATAATTTTAGCATAAATGTTACAACTAATCATTTATTAAAACTCGATTTGACATAATTTAATAAATCAATAAAATAATTAATTTAGAAATGTCTTAATTTATATAAAATTAAAGATACAAAATAATGTCAACAATAGTGACATAAAATCAATGCGTTTATCCAAACATGCCTTCATTAGAACGGATGTCATCGATCTTCAGAATCATTTTAACTAATTGTGTCGCGAGACTGATCTGCTGTTTCTTACTGTTGAGTGTTTCGATGACATGTTGTGTCTTCATATCTATAAACAAGTTATACAAATATTAGTATTAAATTGATTGATAGTAATTATTCTCAATACCATTGGTTCCTTTATTAAGACAATCAATACCAAGCCATGGATTCTTTTCTTTAATTTGTCGCGACTTTATTTCGGAAAGCGTTTCAATGGATGGGAGGCCACTGTTTTCAGCCAAAGCCATTGGTATAGAGTCGAGTGCGTCAGCAAATGCTCTGAAGGCGTACTGTTCTAGTGATGAAATCTTGTCTGCTTCTTGAGCCACAACAAGAGAACAGGCTATCTCTGCAGCGCCGCCGCCATAAACAACTCTGTTATCTCTAACAAGATTTCTGACGACACAGAGAGCGTCGTGAAGACTGCGTTTTGCCTCTTCGACAATCATTTTATTGCCGCCGCGAATAAATACAGTAACTGCTCGGGTATTCTTACACTCCTCTATGACAAGCATTTTATCTTTTGTCGTACCAAATGTCAGTTCCCGTACAATACCAGCTTTTCCTAACTTTTCAGTTGTAATCTCTTCAAATCGGGGAACAATACGACCACCGGTTGCGATGGCAATCAGTTCTATCTCAGGACCGCCGACCCAACGAACTGCTGGCAAATCTTTCTGCAGAAGTAAATGGTTAGCCTCGTCATCAAAACCCCACTGACATATGACAAGTGAAGCTCCGGTTTCTTTAACTTTATCAACCATTTGTTCAAACTTTTGCTGTTCATATTTTCTCAAATTTCTATAGTCTTCAACTGACTGAACGTCTAACTTATGTTTGGTCTTAGGTTTTGGTGGTTCAAAAGGACACGTAAGGATTGCCAACTTTACATCTTTAAGTTGTTTAGGCATTTGCGGATGACTGAAATCTTTATCCACAATAACTCCTTTAACAAGAAGCGAGTCCTCAAGTCTTCCGCCAGCTTTTCCTTCGACTTTAATTAGCTCAAAGCAGACATCTTTTCGATCTAAATCTGCCACAGAAATCACAGCATTGACAGCTATTTCGGCAAATTGTCTCAAACATCGGTTCACTATTTTCGAGTTAAGTGTTGTCATTGCTGTCTGTATTAAAGGTTCCAAATTATTTTTATCGAAAGGAAATCCATCACTAATGCTATCCAAATGGTTTATGGCGTGTCGGGCGGCCATCTCAAAGCCATCAGCAATACGAATGGGATGTATACCTCTGTCTAGAAGTAACTCTGCCTGTTCTAGGAGAGCACCGGCGAGTACTGGCAAATAAATTGACAATTAATTAGCGGTAATTACTTAATAAATAATCTGTAAGTCCTTCATCAGTGAATAGAGCCATTAAACGACTTATACGACGGTTCGAAGGCTTATCATTACTATAGCGTGTCGTCTGATCAGCAAAAATGACAAAAAACTACTCTTTGCTGAAATTCGTCACGCATTACACCATTTGTTAACAATCATCAAAATACATACCAACGACACCAGTAGTTCCATCACCGATCTCGTCATCCTGTGATTGAGACAATTGAACCATCAATTTAGCGATTTGGTGCTCAACATCCATCATCTTAAGTATAGTTGCGCCATCATTAGTGACTGTAACATCACCATCAGGTGATACCATCATTTTGTCCAAACCTTTTGGTCCCAACGAACTACTCAATGTGTTGGCCACTGAACGGGCGGCCATTATATGTGACTAACAATTCAAACAAAGTAATCAAATTTATATCAAATAATTGAAATCAAGAAATTATATACTTTGATGGCTTCACTGCCGACAAGACGTCTTTGTTTGTCCTGATCTTTCAATATAAAGAAAGGACGACCAAACTCGTCAAAGGCCAGAGTGCCGACCGAAGACATTGTCGACAACAAACCAAATGGTAATATCAATCAAAACTACAATTCAATCAAAACTACAATTCAAAGCACATGTGCTGTCAGTGCAGTCAATGCTAACAATGCTTTATATCTTAATATTATTACAGTATATAACTCTATACTATAGAGTCTATAGTATATAACACTATACTGTATAACAATATAAGCACTACTTTTATATGCCTTTTAAGGACTCAACTATAGGTTATATACTCTGACACTCCTCAGTAATGTTTTAACATTTAATCGTTATTTCAATACTTTTTATCAATTTGTTAGCTATTAGTGTGACTACATTTAAAAGTACCAAAAAGACTAAACACAATAAATTATGTCAATTATTATTATTAATATTAATAATTAAAAATAATAATTAAAAATTTATTTATATATAGTTTTATTAATTATATTAATTATTAAAATTAATGAATTGTAATAAAAACAATATAATTAATAAAATAAAATAATAATATTTGATAATTTAGTAAAATTGTTGAAATGTATAATATTTGACGTTTAGTATTGACAGTATTGGCGCTAATATTGTTGTGTTTTTATTAAAGTAAAACTTGAATACAATATTGAAATGTTTGAAGCATTGAAAGCAATGAGTCTATAGTTTAATGTTATTATTATAATAGACTGTATTAGCGGTTAAGTTCGCCATTGCTTTCATTGAACGTCCAAACAGTCTAACAATCAATCAATTGATTAACTCTTGATTTTATATTAAATCATATTATATATCATTAATTGGTAAACAATTTATTAATATTATTGATTAATAGTATCAATGCATTGATTGTCATTAACTAACATTTTTATCAATAGATTTTCAAATACATGTTTAGTCTGACAATTGATTTAACCAAAACTTGCATTTCTTTATATTTAATAAATAGTGGTTTTTAATTGTTTTAATTTATTTGATTTTATAGTTTTAATTAAAGCAAATCATGGGAAAGACAAATAGTAACGAAGAGACCGGTCCGGAACCGATGGAAGAGGAGGAGGAAGAGTATGTGGTCGAGAAAATACTTGACAAAAGGACACGAGGAGGAAGAGTAGAGTATTACTTGAAATGGAAGGGATATTCTGAAGAAGATAACACATGGGAACCGGTAGAGAATCTGGACTGTCCGGACCTAATCGCTGAATATGAAGAACAAAGAAAGAAAAAGAAAGCCGAAAATAAAGCTAAAGAAGATCAGAAGAGTACTACCAGTAATAAGGATCCAAAAAGCGTTAAAAAACCCGTCACTGAAAGCGAAAGGAAAAAGAAGAAATCTGAAGACGAATCCAAACCCAGAGGTTTCGATCGCGGATTGGATCCCGAAAAGATTATTGGAGCCACTGATGCCTCGGGAGAACTCATGTTTTTGATTAAGTGGTTTGTGTTTAATTACATTTAAATTTTAGCAATTGTTTAGTAATTTTTTATTAATTATAGGAAAGATTCGGAAGAAGCGGACTTAGTTCCGGCAAAACTCGCAAATGTAATAAATTTTTTACTTTAAATTAACTTTTTATTTCTTATTAAAACTAATGTCTTGATTAACAGGTGAAGTGTCCTCAAGTTGTGATAAAGTTTTATGAGGAAAGACTTACGTGGCATTCAAGTGGTAACGAGGAGGACAAAGATAAGGCCGATTAAGTGCACCGTTTGTTTGATGTCTTATTTTACTTTCATTTATTTTGACCATTTTTTTTATTCATGCCATTAAATAAATATTTCTTTATGAATCCAAATATTTAGACAAAAATATTTCATTGTTTATCCAATTATATTATTTTGACATTTATTAAATAAAGTGGATTTTTTAAGAGTAAAAATATTTATAAATAATTATTGCTTTAAATATGTTACTAAATTAAAAGTGCATTTTTTGATAACTATATTTTAGATCAAGTCAGTAATACATAATAAGCAATTTGTAGTTTCATTCAATATGTATACAAATTTCTAGTATAAAACAACAAATTTAATTTATTAATATATTACAAATTTACAAATATATACATAACGTTAGATAAATATTTTAAATTGCAATTTCTGCAAATTTTGTATTTGTGACAAAATATTAATTTTAAATGTTTTTACGATAAAATCTCAATTTGAATTATTAGTTGACGTAAAGCAGTCTAAATATGTAAAAATATTTTGTAATTCTATTATAAAATATATAGAGTAGAATAATATCTAGTAATAAACTAGAATAAATAAATGCACCCCCCCCCCCCCCCCCAATACAATACTATTTTTTATCAATTTCAATAGATATGAATAAATATTTGATTTTTTGTCTATCGATAAAAACGTGATTGTTTCCTATACAACCGATATTTAAAGCTATTATATAACTCATATTAATATTTTAGTATACAATTGATATTTGGGATAAAAAAATTAATATAAAAATTTAGATTATCATAATTTGATAATTATTTTTCAGTATTTTGAATTGAGAAAACATATATTTTGTATCATATTTTTGTTCGTAAATTTATTAATTAAATTAAAGATTGAATAAAAATAATAAATTATCGAAATTTCTATTGTTTAGTCATATAATATACAGTAAAAATTAATACTGTAGAGCACATAATATATAATATTTTTTATGTTTAAGTTTTACGATGATTTTTAATTAAATATATATATTTTTTGGTAGTTATTGTATAGCATTACAGTAATTGCATTGAATTTCAATTCTTACGGTATGTGTTTTTAACGCAATTTACTAAAAAACAAATATTAATAGAGGAAACTGTTGTCAAGCAATAAAAATGCTTTAAATAAGTTAATTGTTAAACATTTTATTTTAACTATACATTCAATTATATGACAATTAAGTAATTCAAAGTAAATGTAAAACAATTTTTGTACAATATTTCATAAAAAGTTATAAATACATAGTCTGTAAAAGTATTCAAACTGATTGAATTGCTGTGAAACTTAAATTCATTTATTATTTGTTATTTTAATAATAGTTAACATCAATATCTTATATATTAGTGATGACAAGTGTTTGATTGCGATAACATTGGGTTATTATTAACTTACATATTGTTTTAACTCTTATGTATAAATGCTAAACAATTATCTGTTATATACAGGTATTATGTCATACAATAGTTAAAAGTTATATTAAAATAGTCTATTGAGTAATACATTGAATGAATCATAACATAGACATAAAATATTATTAACTATCTATTTCTCATGAGTTTTATGTTTATATATAATTGATTATATAAAATATGTAAAAATGTAATAATATTTATAAATTGTAAGATTCAGCGAAAATAACTTATAACTAATATTATTGTCATTTTTTAATAGTTTAAAATTATAACTGTATTTGTTATACAATTTATTGTATATACAGTATGTGTTGTAAGTGTTGTATGTATTGAGTGTATGAATGATGTGATTGTGTGTAACGTTTGGCGCATTCGTTGAACATCTGCTCCATTGAAGAGACATTCAGTGATTGAGTTCATCCATGTTTTGAATATCATTTGATTCCTCAGTGATAGTCTTGTTGTCCATCATATCGTAGTCAATATGGATGTCAATAATCATCATAATATTGAAGGTCTGTTACTAAATACTAATTTAATATTATTTATAAATAAATATTAATAATACCGTTATATTCAAAGACAAGATTGTGATGAGTCCTATAAAGAAGGAAAAAGACTATACATTGCTTCGTATGGAAAGAGTTAACTCTCAAGACATCGACCAAACAGATCCTTCAAATAAACACATTGCCGGAGGAACTCATACCGGACTTGTCATTAATAAAAGCATAGATGATTCAAGTAATTAAATGATTTAATTAATTAATTGATTGACTAATTGATTACCAAATTTGAATCCAATGAAGAATTTAATGATAACACACCACCAGAACTGTGTCTATCGTTTAAAGTGTTTCTTATAAATAGCGAAACACAGACTCATAACCAGGAGAGCCGTCAATTGAAGTTTTGGTTCACCACTGATGTCAGCGATTCCGATAAAATGGTTTTCGCACAACAATTCTTCAGGGATTTGATTAATCCGACAAATTTTCCCAAAGACTACATTGGATTTATAATGAAGATAATGAAATTAATGCAAATTAAACACAAAAATATTAGACAAATAGATGTGGAGCTCAAACTAGTCAACGAGTTATCCGAACCGCCTTCCAGACCAAGTATGTCCACATTTATTGAATTATAGTAATATTTATAATAATAATAATAAGTGTATTACTATTGTATACTACAGTATGTATTGTCGGGTCTAAAGATATTTTCGCAAATTTTATTATTATTTTTAAAAGTGTTATCAAAAAATGCTATTTAAAGTTATTGTGAATAGAAATCTATTTATAGTAAATATACTTAATTTAGAAGAGTGTAGGCATTGCTTAACTTAAACCAATAGATAATACAGTACTACTGTAATGTATTTCATAACAGTGCCATACATTTAAAACATTGACTTTTTAAATGTATTAATACTTTAAGCAATAAATATTTAAAAACGAAAAACGTTAGCAAATATATTAAAATATCAGTTCCGTACCATTTATTCCGGCAAATATTGTATATACCGTTATATACTGTATTTGTTACATTCAATTACACACTTCAATACTTACATAATCATCTAATTACAGTATTATCATTAAGTATAGATAATATAAAATGTATAATAATGTTAATTTGAATATTTCAAGCATTGTGTAATTTAAAGGTGTCAGTAAAGTTAACATTTAAATGATTTTATGCTATGAAACAAAGTTTATTTTTTAATTATTCTCACTTAAATCAAACATTGTATTTTAACATTATAATATTTTCAATTACAGTCAAGTATTTAAGTATACCGGTATATAAAAATTTATAATTTATAAAGTTACTATACATACAAATTGAGTGCATTTTTTTATAAAATTAATATTTTAATTATAATGTACTGTAACTAGTATTAATTGAAATAGATATCTATTAATTATCGATAATTAATCCAACAAAATAACAATATATATTGATGCTGAAGCTTACTTTATTTAAATCTTATATATTATTTTAATTCAATTGAATGTTTGTTAAAAATATAAAGTTTGATCTAAAATGTTAGAGTTAGTAATACTTTTAGTAAATTATTTATATAAATGATATTATATTATACAGTATTTTATAGTATCATACCGACTGTTATACCGATTTATATTTAATAAATTTTTTAAAATCATTGACAATACAAAATACAAATGCTTTTTATTTTGGAAACAATTAAAAGCGTCAAAAAACGGTGTATTAATAAGCGTTGGAAATGAGAAAAGTGATGATAAATATTACTACTTGAGAGACATAGAGCCAAACCAACGGTGCAGACCATTGGCCTCAAAGCCATTACTCTCTTCAGGTGTTGTTTTATCCATTATTACATATTTGTGTTATTTAATTCACATTAATTTGAATTACATTTAACTCATCTAATATTTGTCACAACATTTATCAAATTTAATAATTTAAATGGAAATTCTCTGTTTTAAATAATTATTGCATTAATATTTGCATTTGATTTGAAAAATAATTAATAATAAATGTTAAATAATAACTAAAATTGAAAACTATTGTTTGAAATAACTTTTTAAAAATATTAATATGAAATTAATATGCAATTATTTAATCTATTGACAATTTGATGCATTGTTTATCTTATTAAGCATCTAATTATTAAACTATGTTTAAATGATTGCTTACTAATAAACTAATCATAACTAATGATTTATTTATTTATTGTATATTAGTGTCGATCGACGAAAGTTTTTTAGGTTCAATATCGGAGTTAAGTGAAGATAAAATACTGGGAATTATTGAATCCTCGTATCCAAACCCCATCTCATTGTCCGATATTGCAAAGTAAGTCTACATTTAATTATTATTTTTTAGTTTCTAGAGATTCAAACTTAATTAAAATGTTGTTATATTATAACACGTGTGTTACAAATATCTGAAAACACAAATATTACTAAACAATTGAAATGTCATAAATTCCCAATTTTTTATTCATTTGTTAAATTTCCGGTATTATAAGCAAAATACAATGAAATATTTTAGATAAATAATAGTATTTGTTTTACATATTTTAACGATTAATGAATTTTATAAAAAAAATCCTGAAAATACCGAAACAATATCTAATTAATCTTAATTTTTCAAAATTATATTTTAAAAATCTGAAAATTGAAACTGAAATAAAACTAATATAAATTTATTTATATATATTATTACACAAATTGTAAACATTTTATTGATTTGTCATTAATATGATGATACAGTTCAACGCAATCTACCGAAGAAGACGTATATTTTTTTATTCAAGAATTATTGTCCAAAAATTTGATCAAAACATTATCTGAAGGATTATATACTCGGGTCACACAAAATGATACAGAAGTTAAGTTAGTCCGACAAATGCCGAAAGTGGTTCGTTCAGAGCAACCAACCATTGCTATCATTACTGCACAATACTGTGAAAAATTAGCCGTCGATGCTATGATTGATAATAAAGACACTTATGTTAGATATAAAACTGAAGGTATTATTCATTACTTTAGTTATACTATTACTGTAATCATTCTGTATTACTGTAATAATGTGTTTATTTACACAAATGCTATAATAGGAGAATCAAATGTTTATACTTTGGGTAATATTGGAAACCATAGGGTAGTATCAACTAAACTGCCAGCTGTTGGTCATTCAAGAGCTGCTATGATTGCCGCCGGAAATACAACAACAAGACTTCTCGGTTTGTTTAGTAATTTTCAAATTACTTATTATTTTTTAATTATTAATTTACCGTAACTGAAATATTATGATATTATGTACATTAAATCATTTATTGAATAACATTACTTATCACATACTTATCTAATAACATACATTAATAAATACAAACACAAACGTCTGATAAAATAAACATTTAAAGATATTTTACAAATTATACTGTATTTATTGCAACATTACAACAGTTTTTTAAAAAAGTAAATAAAATATCATAGTTTATAAAGTTAATTTAAAATTTTGACAAAAAATAAATGTCCCGTAATTTAAAATTTATAAAACATACGAATAGAGGAATTATTATAGAAATATATATTATTTATACTGTACTTTTAGGAACTTTTCAATGCGTTGAATATGTATTTTTGGTTGGTATCGGGGGTGGAGTTCCTCATTATACAGATTATCACCGACACGTCAGATTAGGGGATGTTGTTGTGTCAGTTCCACCAAAAAATTTTAATGAAAATTTAAAGAAATTTGTTTACATTCATTGCGAAAGATTAAAGAACTCACCCGAAGATCCAATAAATTCATCGAATTTACTTCAAAATATAAATTCAATCGATAATTTCAATTTCCGTTTCTGGTGTCCACCTAATCTTGAGTTACAAACTATTGCTGAAGATATCTATGAAAAAGGAAATATATCCGAGAGTAAAGATTGGGAACAATATTTGGTGGAAGGAATTAATTTATTACAAGAGTCTTATCCCGAATTTTCAAGACCTCATTCTCAAACTGATAAGCTTTATATGTCTATTGGACCTAAAGATGTTATAGAGATGGCACATCCTATTGCACCCAATGATGAATATGATCCGCGAGCTAATGGTTTTCCACAAATTCATTTCGGCGCTATTGGTTCGGGACGTATGGCTGTCAAAGACGAACAGATCAGACAAGACATTGCATCCAAATATGGTGTTATGGCCTTTGATTCTGAATTTGATTCAGTTGTTGAATCAGTTTTTGGAAATAGAAAAGACAAATATATATTCATTCGGGGAATCGCTGACTATAAGGACGGAACCCGAAGGAAGGAATGGCAGTCATATGCCGCTCTTTCGGCCGCCGCTTATATGAAAGCAATTCTTTTTTCATTGAATCCTTTTGATGACAACTAAAACTTTTTAAAATCTTATCAATTTTACTCAATATTTTATATTATTAATATATCACACGGTTTTGATAATTTTGTTACTCTATTTGAGACAAATATGATTTAGTAATTTTTAATTTATTTAATTTTAATTCAGCATTTATTATAGTTATTATTTCGAGTGTATTGGTATTTGTCACAAATTTTTATAAATATAGATTACTTACATTTTGATATTTTAATTTACTAGTAATTTAAATGAAAAGAGAGCTAAATTAGATACTTGAGTCAATTGCTTACAATGTTATCATAAATTAAGTCATTATTAATTATTAAGTGAGTATAAAACTAAACCAAATAATTTATATTATTGAATATAAATAATGCCAAAAATTACAGATTTATTCAGATGTATAAGGAATGGTCACATTAAGTCATAAACTCTGTGATTAATAACAGTTTTAAAATTTTATATTCATATATTTAATTTAATGTTAATTTATAAATATTTATGATTAAAATTAATATATAAAAATTTATTAATAATCTAATAAATATATAACTAATTAATGTAAATTTGATGAATGATATAGATTTAAAAATCCATGTTATTTATATTATTATTTATAAAGAATTATTGTAATAATATAATTTGCTTCAAGTCAAACAGATTTTTATGATATAAACTATTTTAATGATATACATGTAGTTTATTATAAAATGTATCAAATATATAATCATTTAACGTTATTTTAAGTTTTATTATTTTTTTGTTTACTTATGATTACTCTTAACAAAAAAACTACTTAACAAATTTATATTAAAGTAAAATTAAATACAGTTTATTATATTTAATGATTTATTGAATTAAAGCTCAACATTTATATATATACAAAATTTTTAAAAATTATAATACAGATTATTATTATATTATTAATGTATTTTAAATTAAGAAATATTGTTTAATATGTTATATTAATCGAAATAGAGTTTAATGTAAACAAAAAAAAGTTGTATTTGAAATTAATGATAAAATTGAATAAAATTTTATTAATTTATGAATTATTGTTTGAATTGGTATCACCAATGAATGCTGAGTTGTTATAACTCATGGAGTCTTTATTATTGTCAGAAATAATACTTTTAAGCGATGAGACAGCAGATGAAGATGAAGAGGGAGACGATTGTGTTTGAGATAATATGTCGTTCTTCTGCAGATCTGATTCATCTGTTTTGTTGGACAACTCATTCAATTCATTTTGACTCAAATGTTCGACTATTGCTGATCCGTAAGCGTCGCCCAAAACATTGACTGCTGTCCGAAAACGATCTAAAAGCCAATCAATTATATAAACCAGAGCCACATCCTATCAATTAAAATGTTTTGTTTTTTTAGTTAAAGTTAGTTTAGTAATTAAAAATGATATATATATATATATATATACTTCAGCGGGAAGACCAAGTGCATTAAGTACAATAACCATTGTTATTAAACCAGCCTATTATTGGTGATAATAATACAGATTAAATCAATATATAAAATAAATTAATTGTAATACCTGTGGTATTCCTGCGGCGCCCACTGAAGCAGCTGTTGCTGTGATACTAACGATAATAACTTTTGCTAAATCCATGGGCAAACCACGTGATTGTGCGATAAAAAGTGTGGCCACTGCTTCATATAATGCTGTGCCGTCCATATTAATAGTGGCTCCAATCGGAATACAGAATCGGACAACATTTCGGTTAATTTTATTTTTTTCTTCGAGACATGAGATGGTCACCGGAAGCGTTGCCGATGAAGAAGCCGTCCCAAAGGCTGTCATCAATGCTTCTGTCATTTTTCCCAAAAATATATAAGGATTCTTACGGGTAAAGAAATAGTATATTGCGGGCAACACTAATAAGCCATGAATTAATAGACCAATTATAACTGTTATAGTGAAGAGACCAACACTACTAAGCAATGTTTTTACGTCATCTACGGATACAATTCGTGGTAAAACTAAAAACATTACTCCAATTGGTGTCAATTTAATGACAATATTTGTTATCCTTAAAGTAGCTTCACTTAAACTATTGAAGAAGTTAAGCAATGGTTTGCCATCATCTTTCATGCGACCAATAATAGAGCCAAACACTATGGAAAAGACAACTAAACCCAATATATTGGTTCCGCCGCCGACTGTTGGCTTGATTTTCCACTTATAAATGTCAGTCTCGTTAGCGTTGATTATCAGAGTTGTAGTGTATTGTGCAAAACATGCCTCAACTAAGTTTGTGGGAAACAGATTTCTATGGATAGTATAATATGTTATTAATTTAATTAAAGTCAATGAAAAATCAATTACCGGATTAGATCTAAGATAGTGTCCGGTGTTGTCGTAACTCTAGGTTTTGGTCCGTCAGTACTGCGCTCGACATTTCTTCCACTGCCGGGTCTTATAATAAGTACCAAAACTATTCCTACAATTTGTTGAAATTTTATATTTATATATTGAAAATATGATATATTATTTTAGAGACAAACCTAAAAATATGGCCAAAATAGTTGTAATTAAATAATAGAGAACTGCTCTTTTGCCGATATGACCCGATAGTTTGGTATCCAGATTACCGAGAGATGAGATCAGACTCGATATAATAAGTGGTAATATTAAACACTTAAGCATTCGTAAGAAGATATCGCCCGGAAATTCCAAATACATTAAAGATCTTTCACTCCATTTGTTTGTTGTGTTTCTCACGATTATCCCGATTACGACCGCAAGGATTACTGCCGACAGTGTGGCCACAGCTAAGACATTATGTCTCAAAAATTTTGTAACTCTTTTTCCTCCACTTTTTGTATTGTATTCAACGGTTCCATATTTTGTCTCAGAAATAGTATTGTTTTTTGGATCAGTTATTTGTATAACGTTTTGAGTCATTTTAGTTAATGGGTATATAATTATTTATTTTTTAAATAAAATACTTTATTATTTAAAGTTAAGTATTTTTTAATACTTTAATTCTGTTATTTTAAATTATTTTTAACAAAAAAAATACATAAAACTTTAATGATGTTTATTATTATTATTATTTAAACGGGAAATCATAATAATATGTGATTAGAAATTAATTGATATTAAATTATTATCTTATGATAAAAAGTTCTTATATTTAATATTATAGAGTATAACAGTGTAACTGTAATAATGTATAATAAGTATCAATACAATAATTCATAGACTTTATTGATAAAAATATGTTACGAAAATGTTATAGATATGATATATGAAACTTTTACATTTGAAAAGTTCACAGTATTCAAACATTAATATCAATTAGACATTTATGACATGTTTAATAATATATTAAATAATATGAAATGTTTAAACAGAGAGTCAATATTTGTTTAAACATTGAAAAGCAAAGAATAAATGAAACAAACAATTAAATGATGACTGACTTCAATGGATTCAATGGATTCACATAAAAAATCAACTAAACTAATGATTAGACTTTTACTGACTTTTAACGACATGTTTTAGTTATTTTGCGCCCAAAAACAAAACAACTTTTAAAGAGATCCTTGAATTGAGAGAATGAGTGCTTATTATCCAATGGTTTCGTTATTTTAACATAAAAGCAAATCCTGAAAATCTAGTTTTTTCTATAATATATTTCAAGTTTACTCAATCAATACAAACAATAATAATAATAGTACTATAAATCTAATTCAAACACAAATATTTTCAATAATTTACAGTACTTTTAATTTCAGCTGATTTCAAATGTCAGTGATTATAGGAAAATACATTTTTTAATAAGTTGTTAAAAACTGTTGAATACTTTGTACACAAAATCATGATTGAAATAATTTACAATAATATTAGTTATTTGACGCCCCGATAAAAACTATTTGTTACAGAAAAATCATTTAAAACATGCAATAATTTTTTAATAAAACATTAAATTTAAGTTTACTAATTAATTATTATCTTATTATTATTTTTATGTTAAGATTTTTTTGTTTAGATCAAGGATTTTTGAGGTGTTTATTATTATTATTATTATTATTACTGTATTATAGTATATATAATGAATCTAACAAAAGACTTAAGTATACAGTATACACAAAATTTATATATAAAACAATTATAAATAATAATAATATAAATTTGCATATAAAATTTTCTCAATTATATGAAATTTTAATATTTTTGTTGTGTAAAATAATTAGCTATTAAATAAACATTAAGTTTATATTTTTGTTTTAAGTACAGTACTATCTATTATGCTATTGTCTTACTTGTGGTTAATTTATCTGCAAATTTGGTTAAAATATTATTAGTTTACAAAATAATAATACACTGATATAATAAAATATATAATAATTAAGGATTATTTATTATCAAATATAAATAGATAGCATTTATCATAAAATTAGGTCATTGGCTCCGATATCCCTCTAAAACTTAGTTTAGAAAGCATTTCACTTATTATTACACAAATAAAAACTAATGAAAAGTCCGATAGATATTATCTCATGTTTTCAAACATTACTGAGAAAACTTGCTTTTAGTATAAATACAAAATTGCTGATCATATGATTTGTAAATACTATTATACTGTATATACTATATAATATATTATATATACAGTATAATATATTACAACAACAACAGTGCAAAACATAAATAAAAATTAATTTTTACATATTATTCAATTAATTATATGTTTGCTCTCGGGTTTGCTTCAAATTGATATTAAGACATACCTTAAAAATTATAAATTTTTATATTTAATTCATATTTTTGTTTTAAATTTTGTTATATTATATACCATGTATTTATAAATTAACAAAAATATTATATATTAATAAAACAATATATACATTATAGTTATAATTTTTTATTTAATTATATTTAACAATTTATTTTATTATATTTGTAAAAATAATAATATTATAAATTATTATTATTACTGTATAAATATCTTTAGACAATCGCAAAAATATTTAATTTGAATTAATTTAGTAAAAAACAATTATTAAAGTATTAAGAAACATAAAAATTATATATTGTTTATAACATTTGTATATAAGATTTATTGTTTAAAATACTGTAATTTATATTAAAAATTAGACAAAGGCTAGGATGTGGTGATGGCATATAATACAGTATTTCATACAATTCATAAAATATATTATAATATCTAATTTAAATTTTTAACTAAATTGCTAACGAGATATTTTTAATGCTTTTTTGCTTATTTTTTAGTAGCAAACCATGTCTATAATTTTTTTTAAATGTTTGTTAGATATAAAACATGTATAACCCTGAATTCATACATAATTAACCCTATTTTGTGGTTCTTGTGTTTTAAATTTAATTTTACTTTTTTAATATTCAACAATTTATGTAAAAATGCATTTTTCTTAATAGTCACATATTATAGCTTTATTATAGTTAAATATTAGAATATATTTTATACAGATATTAAATATAATATACTTATTAATAATTTTAATAAATTTTAATTTTATGTTAAAAAATATTTATTTATTTATTTTCAATATTTATATAGGCCTATAAAAATCCAGCTTAATCTGAATAAAAATATTTTTTAATAAAAATAATAAATATTTTTTTAAATTAATAAAATAATTAAGTATATTTTAACATTTAATTTTTTGATTTATTTTTTATATATTTTATTTATTTATGTAATTTTAATATTTTTGTTGTCAAGTAAAAGGTATTCAAATTACATAATTTGTAATTTAATGCAATGCATAGCATATGCAATGTGTTTAATATTGTTTTGATTGATTACTGCAATATTAATACGACCGTCAAGTGTGGCATAAATAGCAAACTGTTGTTTGAGTTGAAAAACTTGTGTTTGAGAAAAGCCAGTGAAACCATACATTCCTCTTTGATTTGCCATAAAATCCCAGTTAGTCTTCCCATCAGACAATCGATTCAATTCATTAATCAATTGATTCCTTATATCTTGAATTCTTGTATACATATTGTTGACATCAATAAACCATTGGCTCCTCAAATGATGATCACTAAGTAGATGATGGACGACAAGAGCGCCCCAATTGGGTGGATGTGAATAAATGGGACGAATGATTGCCTTGAGTTGAGTCAACACATTATGTGCCTCTTGTTTGGTCTGACAGACAATACTTAAGGCACCGATTCTGTCGCCATAGAGTCCCATATTCTTAGCAAATGTCATCGCAATTGCCATTTGATTAACCCGTTTAGCAAATAAAGTGTTAACGACTCCATCCCTTTGCAAATCTCCCGAAGCAAATCCCTGATAAGCGCAGTCTAAAAATGGGAATAACTTTTTCCTTTGGATGACATCAATAATTTGGTTCCACTGGTCTAGTGTTGGGTCAATACCTGTCGGGTTGTGGGCTATTGAGTGCAAAACTACTACAGAGTAGTCAATCATGTTTTCAAAGTCATTGATTAGACCCTCAAAGTCGAGGTTCAAAGTTCTTTGATTCCAATATCTGTAATGTTTTATTTGAAAGCCTGAGTTAGAGAATACCTGATTGTGTGGACTCCATGTCTGGTACGGTATGTAAACAGTTTTATTGACTGACACCAACTCATAGAGAAATATGGCTCCGATTCTCAAAGATCCGGTTCCTCCGAGTCCTTGAACTGTGGCGTGTCTTTCATTAATGATAACATCTGAGTCTTCGCCATAAATAAATTTGGCGACACTTTGGCGAAAGTCTTTGAAGCCCTCAATCGGTGCATATTCTTTGCTGCAATTCTTTGTGAATAACATTTGCTCGCAATTGATAACACTTTGCGGAACAAATGACTGTCCATTTTGATCCCTAAAGACACCAATACTTAAATTTATTTTATTATCTCTTTTGTCGTTAACGTATTCTTCTTGAACGCCATATATTTTGTCGGATTCAGCCCTCACTACACAACTAAACCAATTCATATCAATACTTTGTTATCACAATATTAATATTGCTTTCAATTAATTTGATAATTAAAAATAATAATAAATATAATAAACAAAATAAACTAAAAATTGTTTAAAATTATATAAAAATAATATAATAAATTCAAGGTCTAACTTCTAAAGTGTTCATAAAAACTGGTTTATATAAAATATTTTATCATTAAAGAAAATTAATATTTCTATAAGAAATAATATACATATATAAATAAATGTAATATTGTATATCTTTTATTATTTTTATTTAAAATATTGATTATTTTGGTAAAAATTCGGTATATGTAACCCATTTGTTGTTGAAATTTCACGCGCGCTGTTAAAACTATTAAGTTTATGACAAATGCAGTACTATTTTATTACTTTATGTTAGGTTAGGTTGGGGTGGGTGTAGAGGGTTAGGAAGTTGTGTCTGGGGAGGGAAGGAACAGGAGGTGAGGGCTGGTATCTAAAACTTGTTAAATTGTCATTTTAAAAGCGTTTAAAACTTCAACAACAAATGGGTTACATATACCGAAGCTGTTATTTTAATATAATATTTAAATATTGATTATAAATAATTGATAAACATTTTGAATATTATTGAAAATGTCAAACATTCTTAACAATACTTAATATGTATTACATATACTTTAGTATATTTGTATATTCATTGCATTTTAACAATTAAAAAGTATTTAATTATATATAGTTTTTAAGATTTTATAGCTCTCTTGTACTTAAATACGATTTAAAAAAGATATTTTAAAAAATAAAATAAATAAGTAATCTTATTATAAACGTATAGAAAAAACTATAATTACAACTATATTGTTATGTTAATAATGCAATATTAATTATTCAATAATATCTAACTACTATTATGTTTACTATGGAGATATTTAAAAATTTAAAAGCTGAATAAAATTAAAACTTAAAATTATGTCGACATCGACATTTAGATACTCTAAAATTAATAATTTAAAAAATAATAATCTTGATATTTATAAAAAATATAATTTAGTAAACATATAGCTGTACTATGTAAATTTTTATATTGAAACATTAACAAAACTATTGTTTAATCAATTATATAATATTGTAATTAATTTTTCAATATTAAACTTAAATATAAATTTTTTAAAACTAATTACTGAAGAAAAAAATTAAAATAAAATTATTTCATCGAATAACAAACATTTATTGAATAAAATTTATTTAATAATACAATACTTAATATAATATGAAAATAAAATAAATTAAAATAATAAAAATTAAAATATTTAAATAGAATTTAACTAAAAATAACAAATGTTAATAAATTAATAATAAGCGTCTAATTGAAGCAAACGGGTCCTAATTGTAAACCAAATTGTTGATCATTTCGTCCAATATCTCTAATAGCTATATCCAAAATTGGTAGTCTTTGTGGTTTATCTGATAAAAATTAAATTAATAATTTTATTATAGTATAATTAAAAAAAACAATTATTAATAAATGTGTAAAACCAACCTGTCTTATATTGTAGTATTGTGTTATCCAATTTATTATTATGTTTCTTATAAAATACATCAATAAAATTTATTAATTATATTAAAAAACAAATCAATTTTTAATGGCATACCTGACAGCCATCACTTATAGATTGATAGGTAAACCTGTTGTCGGAATCGGCGGTCAATTCGATGTCATTATAAGTCATTAATTTAACGGCTTTTCTAAGCGATTGTTTTGTTGAATCGTAATAAGTGATTGAATTTTTGCATAAAACTGTTATATTTTGTACGGCCTGTTGACTCAATAATTGTAATGAATTTAATTGTGTTTTATCGGCTTTATATGCAAACTATAAGACATAAAAATAAATTATATAAATTGTTTTGTATTATAAATATTTAAAAAAATTAAAATCTTACACTAAATCCATTATCCATTTCACTAAACCAAATGTGACCGAACTTATTATGTTTAGTATAAGTACGCACAGGTATGTCATCGACTGCCGGCAAAACACACGTAGACTTAGTGGTCACATCACAGTAGGCATCGATAGCGTCATTGATATCACCTTCATTTGGATCGATGTAATATATGCCTAAATATTGTCAAATATATTATAATAAATTACAAACAAAATAATTAGTAATTAATACCGCTTTTAAACTGTGGATTGACATCAAACAGATGTTTGCAAGACTTGGCGGGCGCCTCCCTCTTACCCGTCGGTTGTCTTAACTTTTCGTATTCTTTCACTAATTTATTGTAAAAATCGAGAATTAATCGTTTCTTGTGTTCGTCCGAGAGATCAGTTGAAAGAAGATTTGGCTCATTTGGTTGGTCACCGAGCAATGGGTCCGGTCCCTAATCACAACAATTTATTGTATTAATTAGTTTAAAATATTAGATATTATATAAATTATTTACTTTAGTTTGACCAGGTTGATTTAGTATAAGTGCCAGTGTTGCTGCATCATAAGTAATTGGTTCACAGGGTGGGCCTATGATTATTGAAAATTAACTTTAATAATAACTCAATTGTTATCAAATAAATGATGAATTACCCGGAGGTCCCGGTAAGCCTCGTTCACCAGAAGTACCTTTCAATTAATAAGTTCAGTTCAGTTCAATTAAATATACAAATATCTAATACAATAAGTAATATATCTTAGATTATACCCGGTTTGCCATCTTCTCCACGTTCGCCTCTGGCTCCGGGATGACCTGAAGGACCTGTGGAGCCTATTAGAAAACAATCATAATTTCATAGATTTAAATATAACATATAGTTTTGGATGAACTATAACCTGGTAAACCATCCCTTCCTGGAGGTCCTTTAATACCAGCCGGACCAGCAAGTCCTTGAAAACCTGGTGCTCCCATTGAGCCCTTTTCTCCGGGATGTCCAGCAGATCCCGGTAATCCTTGCAATCCTAAATTAAAGATATTAAATCTTTAATAAAAATACTAGAATATAATTACAACCAATAAGTCCTCGATGTCCTTTTTGTCCCTTTTCACCTGTAATTTAATTAACAAGTTTAGACATATCAATAGCACTAATTATGGTTATAATTACCAGATAATCCAGTTTCTCCTTTTAGCCCCTGTGGTCCTGGAAATCCTCGTGAGCCTTGTGGTCCTTGTGATCCTCGAGGTCCTTGTTCACCAGTTTGGCCCTTATCACCTGTTTGTCCAGTTGGACCAGTTGGGCCGACTGAACCGATAGGTCCTGGAGAACCTTGTGATCCGGGAGGTCCAGAATTTCCAATTGGACCTTTCATATATTGTTGTTTAATATAATTAAGAAACTTTAAGTGTCAATAGTATTTTTTCATATATTATAGATATTTAGATATTGTACATAGTTTTTGTATATATAATATATTAATACTCAAATAATGTAAAATTTATTAATAATGTAATAATAAATTGAATGAGTATTACTAGAATAAATTATTACAAAACTAAAATAACAAATATTAGATATTATAATAATTAATTAAAAAAAAATAATTATTATACCTTTATCTCCATGTCTACCAGGAATACCAGGTGATCCATCTTTACCGGAGTTTCCTTGAGGACCTGGTTCACCGACTGGACCCATTTGTCCCTGAGGTCCTTGAGGACCACTAGGACCAGGTTGACCGTCTTGGCCTGGTTTTCCATCATTACCTCTCTCTCCCTAATATTATTATAAGAAGTTAAGTAAAGAATATAAAAATTTAAGTTTTCTATACCTGTATTCCTCTATGTCCTTGAGGTCCCTTTTAAGTTAATGTAAATAGTTTTATAATTTTATTAACATCTAGTTATTTAAAATATTTTTAAAAATTAATTTGCAGATATTTAACCTGTTTTCCTGTAATGCCTGGTAATCCAGTAAGGCCTGAGAAAATGCAAATTATAATTACAGTATTTTTAATTTTATTCAATACAAACCTCTTTCACCAATTGGTCCAGAAGAACCTGGAGGACCAGTTAATCCAATTGGACCCTATATTAGCATATATTTTAGACAATATACTTATTGTTATTTAAATTTGTCATGTAAAACTACCTGTTCCCCATTATCTCCTTTAGGACCAATTATTCCTTGTAGACCTTGTGGGCCAGGATTTCCTGGACTACCGGGTCGACCCAGATCTCCAGTTGCACCCTTCAAACATCCATTTAAATTACTATATTTGACTTACTATTACACAATTATTTACAATACAAACCTTCAATCCTGGAGTACCAGGAATTCCTGGTGATCCAGGAGAGCCGGGTGGTCCCTGTGTTCCAGGTTCTCCAAGTCTTCCTAGTTATTGACATTAAATTTGACTTTAAATTTAATTCTAAATAATATATTACTAATTAGTAAACCTGGTAATCCTGGAAAGCCACTATCGCCTAATAAAATTATAAATTTAAAAGAAATCAAATTTTGTAAAAATACTTTTACTAAATTAAAACTAACCTTTTTTGCCTTCAATTCCTTGCGGACCTTTTGGTCCTAAGAATGATAATATATAAAAAATTATTAGTAATTTACTTAGAATTAGAAAATAAAGAGTATATATATTAATTGCAATCAATACCAATTTGTCCAATTAGACCGGGGGGTCCTATCTCTCCAATTGGTCCTTGAGGTCCTAATGATCCTTGATCACCTTTGATCATAAGTAGTAATAGTAATAATAATAATAATAATAATAATAATAATAATAATAATAATAATAATAATAATAATAATAATAATAATAATAATAATAATAATAATAATAAATTTTATATACCTTTCTGTCCCTGAAAACCCATCGCCCCTTTAGAACCAGTCGGTCCTATCGGACCGGGAGGTCCGGCAAATCCCTGTATTCCTTGTGAACAAATAATATTACAGTTTTGTATTGTAAATATGTTATTATAATACCAGGTGTTCCCTGTAGTCCTCTGTCTCCAGCTATACCCTGTGGTCCTCTTTCTCCTGGTACTCCCTGTGCTCCGGCGTCTCCTTTAGATCCAGGTTCACCTTAAGATTATAATTTATAAATTACGGTATATTTATTATACAAACAAAACTTTTATTGGTTGACATATTAAACAATTCAAAATTTATTACTGTAATTAATAAAAATGTTTTTAAAATTATTGAATTTATAAAATAAATAATAATTTATTAAAAAAATTAATATTAGATCTTAATTTAGAATTTTTGTCATTTATAAAATACATGTTTAAACTATTATTTTATAAATTAAGAATATATAGAGTATTTAAATAATAAGTAATGAATAATTTTATGTAAATAAAACCTGATATGCCTTGTACTCCAGGTTCTCCTTGAGGACCCGGTTCACCATGTTTACCGGTGAACCCCATTGGACCAGGAGGACCATGATCACCACGAGAACCTATTTGTATATAATATTATTTCGTACCTTTAATTTGTCTGATTATTATAAAACATACCTTTTTCTCCTGGAAGGCCTGATTCACCTCTCATACCGGGTAAGCCCTAATTTATGCATTATATAAATTATAATTTAAAACAAATAGCATTTTGATAGATTATTTTAATATATAAAAACATAATAAATTTATTAGATTATATAATTAAATCAATTATGGTTTTGTAAAGCAATACTTACAATGAGTCCCGGGGACCCGGCATGACCTTTATTACCCTTTTCACCTGCCAATCCTATCAATAAATTATACAATTAAGTTAAAGGATTTCATATCATTCATATTCTACTATTTCATATACAAACACATATACATAGTATTACATACAAACATAACCTCATGTCTCACGTTTTAGCAAAAAATAAATATTTTCGTTAGCGTTAATTACACCTAATTATTGCATATTTACATTATATTACACTGTATTATATTTAGTTGAATTTTTGCTTACTTTATATCATTTTACAGTACGTGTATGTGAATTGAATTTTTTAGTTTATAAATACCATACTTTAGCTATTGAATATTAATTGCTTAAAGCTATATTTATAATACTGTATAAATATTATTGAATTAAAATTGATTATATTGCATATAATATACATTTTTGATAGATACAAACAAACTTATAATTGAGAAAATTAATGTGTCTAATCATAATACTAAAAGTTAATTGAAATTTATTGATTTAATTTTTATAATAATAAAATGTCTTTGTTTTACCACATTTAACAAATTAAAGATAAATTATAAAACCTGTTCTCTAACTTATATTAGATTATTTAAATACTTAAATTAAATAACTATTCGAAACTTAAAAATACTGTTCAAAGTAGTCTATCTAAGGGAGACTCGAAATCTCAACCCTTTGGTTGAGAGGACGACTCCGCAGATACATAAGCTATTTGAGGTTACTTTAGTTAATTTAAAGTGTTTTGACTTTTATTAAAATATATAAAGCTATTAAATGCATATTATATACTAAAATTTACTATAGTATACCTATAATTAGTGTCAAACTTGGTGTCATGACTTATGTGAATTCATAAATCGGTAACAATTATAGTATTATATAATTCATATAATTTACTCAAATTAATTATATACAATTTATATACAATGATGATTCTGTATATTTTAGTAACTAATTGAATTATTATGGCATTCTATAATTGATTAAAAAATTATTGTATGAATATATTAAATATTTTGTATAGTTATCATATTTAATAAAATATTAATTTTAATTATATACTAAACAGATTTAATTAGAAAATCAAAATTTATACGTATTTTTAAATACTATTAATACGTTTTTGCAATTATTTCAAATAGAAAATACAATACATATATACTGTAATCGATATTTCGAGTAATATGATTATAATGGATAGCATTTTTGTATAAACATAAAATAAAATCTACCTCTAAGTCCGTCACTTCCCGGTAAACCACTGTCCCCTTTAAGTCCTTGAGGACCCGGTTCTCCAAGTGATCCTTTATCTCCAGAAAATCCTCGTTCACCTCTGGGTCCAACAGGTCCAGGTGCTCCGGGAACTCCCGCAACACCTGGCTCTCCATCTTTGCCATTTATGCCGGGAGGACCCACTATTCCTGGTAATCCCTATTATATTTTAAAAATATTTATCAATAATTTATATATATATATATAATAACTTTTAATTAAAAATAATACCTGAAACCCTCTCAATCCTTGAGGACCGACAGCTCCGCGTTCACCAATAGGACCTTGTGATCCTTGTTTTTATAAAATTAAATTTAATAAACACACTATGATATGAAAAATAATACACGCTTACCTGGACTACCCGGGGGACCAACCAAACCTGGTGGACCAGTATCACCTCTGGGTCCCGGTGTACCTGGTATTCCTATTTTCCCTTCATGTCCTTCCGGTCCCTTTAATATAATATAAATTTAATAATTTAATCTAACAAACATTTATTTATACTAATTTAATTCATACTTGTGCTCCTTTTGGACCTTCAGGACCCATAAGTCCGGGTGGCCCCTGTTGACCTGGTGATCCAGGAACTCCTGACTTTCCTTGTTCACCTGGTATCCCCTATTTATATATTAAGTTTTAGCTATTTTGAAATTAAATATTATTTAATAAAATTAAAAAATGATTACTCTTTCCCCTGTCTGTCCATCTTTTCCCGGTTCTCCCGGTCGGCCCATAATTCCCTTAAAATAAATTTTTATTAATTAAATATTTTTATATTAACGTTATTTATCTTACTCTTAATCCTTGAAGACCTTGAGGTCCAATTCTGCCGGTCTCTCCTTGATTTCCTTTAGCTCCGGGCGGACCTTCGTGTCCTTTATCTCCTTGAGATCCTTTTATTCCTGTAATCAATTACAATGCAAATTATAAATATCTTGTATTTCATAAATAATTAATATATTATAATAATAATCAATTGTTTTAATAAAATAAACCTGGATTTCCATCAGTTCCTGGTAAACCTTGTTGTCCGGGTGGTCCCTAAATAAAAAAATTATAAATGTTAAAACTAGATTTTTAAATATAATAATAATAAAATACCCTTTCTCCTTGAAGTCCAGGTGATCCTATAAATAGAATAAAATTTTTATTAACATTAAATAATTATTAATTATATCAATAATATTTTATATTTATAAATTTACCTGGAGTACCAATAGTTCCACTTTTACCCCTTTTACCCTGTTGTCCCTGAGGACCGGGTAATCCTTGTTGACCAGATTCACCTGTAATACAAATATAAAACTTAGACAAAACTAATATTAAGTAGTCATCAGTGACGTCACACCTACCAGTTTCACCCTTTTTTCCTGCTTCTCCTTTAAGTCCCAATTCTCCGGGTAATCCCTTATTAAAAACATTTTTATATATAGTCATTATCTTTATTATATTATTGATATTTTCATAATAATTAATATATTTATATACCTGTTCACCCTTTACGCCGATCGGCCCGGGATTTCCAGGAAAACCTAAAATTAGTTATTATAATTGTATGGATAAAAAATTTTTATAATTTATTTTTAACTAAATACCCGGTGGTCCACGTGCTCCTGGAAATCCTGGACTACCAACAGGTCCAACATCGCCTTTAAATATTTGATTTAATAGTTTAAATCAATATTTAATTCAATTGAATTAAATTATATGAGTATTATTGACACTTAACTTATATTTATACCTTAACAAAACACTTTATAAAACAATTATGTCTTTATAATAAATAATATTTTAAATAAGTATATTTTGTATAGTAAACGATATATTATAATAATATAAATCAAACCAACCGGGTATTCCTTTTGGGCCCTGAGTTCCATCTTTTCCGAGCAATCCTTGTGGGCCCTGTTCTCCCGGTTGACCCGGTTTACCAGTTTCACCTCTGATATAATAAAAAACATTAAATCAACATATATTGTATATTAATATAGTACCTTGGTCCTATTGGACCTTGATCTCCTTTAATTCCCGTTGATCCTTGATCTCCTTTAACGCCTTTTTAATAAAATAAAATACATATTATATATTAATAATATAAATAACATCTTAAATATAAATACCAGGTGTTCCTGTTAATCCAGGTGGTCCTGATTGTCCTATAATTTAACAAAAATTTAAGAAACATTTATAATAAATTATATAACTTAATACCTTGTGGTCCTACAGCTCCTGGTGATCCCTGTGAACCATCTAATCCTCTTTTGCCTATAATTTTGTATTTAAAGGTAAACTACTTTATGCAACAATTAAAATATTATTACAAACCCGGGGGTCCAGAGGGTCCTTCTCTACCTCGTTCTCCACGTTGGCCTTAAATTTTAAAATTATTTATACAATTGAGTTTGTATTGTTACAAATTAATGCAAATTATTTACCGGATGGACCTATTAAGCCTTGTGGACCTTTAAAAATAAACATTTATTACATAAAACAGTTAATTTATTAATAACAACATCAACTAACCTGGTTTTCCAGTTTCACCTACTGGTCCTTTTTCACCACTTTCACCCTATATAAGCATAATTTTAATTTTAATAAATATAAAAACAAAAATTTATGAAAAATAAATTTACTCTTTCTCCTTTTGATCCTTCATGTCCTGTTAAACCTCTATGTCCTTTAGCACCGGGCAATCCAGGCATTCCTAATAATTTATATTTATAATAAAATTATAATTTTATATAATTTATATAAATTTTAATTATACCCGGTATTCCTCTTGGGCCAGTTTGTCCGGGTTGTCCAGAAGGTCCCTAATTATTATTTTAAAATAATTTTCTATAATTATTTTACACATTTTAATATTGTAATTGTATTGTAATATACATTAAATAATGTATTTAGAAAAGTAATATTTTTAACTTTATAAAATAAAAACTTACAGGTCTGCCATCTTCTCCATTATCTCCATCCTTTCCGGGTAGACCTTGTAATCCCCTATAATTAGATGTTAAACAAAATTTTTAAATATAACAAATTCAAAACCTTTCTCCTGTAGGTCCCGGAGGTCCTGGTGGTCCAAATTCGCCTATTAATAATCAAAGTGATTAAATTTATTATATAAATAAACATTAAAAATGTTAACTTTATATAATTTATTCACAGACTATAACAAATATATTTATTTTGAGTAAACTATCTAGATGATATAAACATTGCTTACTAAGAGTAAACTACAATTACTTATTTTAATGTAAGCTTATTATTAAAATTACTATTAAATATAAAAATATTTTTAGTAATTTAGTTAAGTTGACAATACTTTTTCATAGCCTATAAATAAAGTTTACATAAACTCTAAGATTTTTGTTGATGTAACATAAATTTAAAAATATATTAATTTAAAAATTTGATTTATAATTTATGTCTAAAATAATTGTTGTTAATTTTAACGTTATTATTTATTATAAATTAATTTGAATAATTAGTTTACCAGGTGGTCCAGTTGCACCATGATGTCCTTGTGGACCAGGAGGTCCGGAAGGACCTGGTATTCCTCTAGGACCTGGAGGTCCCTGAAATATTATAATATAGATTTTATAAAGTGTCAATATCTTAATTATTAGATAATACAATTTGTTGTGGCAAATAATGAAACGAGTCGACCGGTCCTTTATCACCCGATGCTGCCTGTGCTACAGCTAGAGTATGAAACCAGGAAGACATGTCACTTGTAGGAGCTGGGGGTCCGGCATTTGCCGGCCTATAGTTTTGTTATATATTATAATTAATATACATTTTAAATTAACATACAATAACTTAACGCCAAATCTTACGTTATATGAATTGGTGTAAGTTTTGGTGGTTCTGGAGATTCACGTTCTGACTATATTTTGTCAATTTATTTATTATCATATTTTAATTATAAAATTTTAAATAAATATTTTAAAAAGTAACGAATAATTACTTTTATAGTAGAATTAGTAGCGACTATAGTGTCTAATGTTGTCGACTCTGATTTGGTTGTAGTTATCGGTGGTATTGTTGTTGTCTCTGACTCTGGCTGTGATTTTGTCTGCTTTTAAAATAATATTTAATATATTAGATATGGTTTCTTAATTAAATGAATTATTTTTTTATTATAAATTTAAAAAATTAATCAAAAATTACTTCTTCACAAACGGGACAACATTTTCCCAAAGGAATATATGTTTGTGTATTGCAGTCAATGGGATGACATTCATCTGTATCACAGACTGTGTTTCCGGTAAGACATCGACAGGTCGTACACGAGTCGGGACTCCATTCCTCTCCGTCTTCGTAAACGATTCCTTCAAACACACACTCAGAAGCGTCTAAAAAATTTATCAAATTTATTGTTAATTTTCAGTATATTTTCATATTTCTATTTTCCATTTGTTATAATTTGAAGTAATATTTAATTATATAAAAAAAATACTTACCGACGGATTCATCAACACTTAAGTCATCCTTAGAATCGCTTTCGTCGACAACTAATTCTGTGGTAACTGTTTTGCAAAATATTTTATTAATAACAATAAATAAAATAATTGCTACTAAATGGGACTTCAGTTTAAAACTTTTCATTGCATTAATCTTTTGAAATATTTACAACATTATTATAATTTTACATATAATATATATTTATAATTTTAACCAACATATCTAAGATATTTACACTTTTTAAATGAATTAAAATTTTGAAAATGCATTACTTTATGTATGATATAATTGTGATATTATTACACAAAATAAATAAAATTCCTATTTATTGTAATCAATTAAACATATGTGACTGTCGTTCAAATAAAATAATTAATAGTGTATTAAAGCTAATTTGTTTGTTAAAATGTTATATTTAAATCTTTTATTTGTCTAAAATATAAAAGAGAACAAATAGTGTCATATTTTAAATGGGTTTCAAAATATATGTATTTATCGGTTAAACTATTTTTAAGACAAATACCTGTAAATGTTTTTATACAAATTATTAAAAATAGGTTTTATTTATTATTGTTAATATGCTAATAAGTTATTTTACATATTTCTAAGTTAACCAACAAATGTTAAATTATTTTTTTTCTATATTTAAAATTTGATTTATAACTTAAATAAAAATATTTTTTATTGTAATTTCTAATTTATATTTTTATTGTAATTTCTAATTTATATTTTTAATGTACTACTGTATGTTAGCAATATAATTGAAATTTGGATGTTTATATGTATAATATTTACCTGTATTTTGCATTTGTTTTGCCGAAATATTTATTCATATCTGTATATTATTGTATATATTGTATTATAAAAGATAACTGCAGATAAAAACATGAAACAATGTTTTCAAGTTTAAGGTAGCGGCCGATCCCATAAAATAAATAATAGTATTATTACTTATTATATAATAATTGTGTAATTCAGTTATTATTGACAAAGTAATGCTTCGGGCGATATGGCATTACATCTGTTATGACAACACATGAAAATAAGTAAAAGCTTTGAGCGATAACTACATAAAAATTGCTTCCCTTAAGTCACTTAAGTTTATTTCAATAACAGTTTATTATGAAAAAACTGGTTTTTAACTAATGTTTTAACTAATATAGTGAAAGATGAGATGAGATGACCACAAGTGATTCAATTAGATGATAAACATTTAATAGGAGGTTCCTTATAAAACTCCAGTCTCTTTTTATCTCTGTCCTCTTAATGCTAGTTTTCTATAAAAAAATTGCAACTCATCCCAACCGTTATGATAGACCACTACTACATGTATTGATGTGATGACGGCTTATATTGTCATAACAGACAAGTTTGACCACAAACTTGACATCTAATACAGCATTCATTACCAGTAATGACACACCGTTTTTGTTTAATTATTTAAATTATTGGTTAGTGAATACTTAAAAAATATATGAAATGTCATTTTAGACTAAATTAACTACAATTTTGTTGTTCTCTTTACTATTTATGGGTTAGTCCTACCTGTGCTCTACAAATACATTACTATTATTACAACTACTGTACATCCATTCAATTTAAACTATTCAGTAATTCCCAAATTTAAATAACAATTTACAAAACATGAAATGTTTTTTGTGTTTACTGTTTTGTAATAAAATATTAAATTTTTATAAATAATATAAATGTTGTGTTAAATAGATAACATATAAAAATTTATTTTAAATATTAACAAATATTAATAATATTAAATTGTAATGATTTCAGCGTTTGCTTTAAAATATATTTTGTGTATTAGGCTATAACAACGCTTCAAATTATTAATTGTAAGTAATAAATATTTTAATAAAATTATTAAATTGTAAAATTATTTCAAATATTTAATTTATAAAATTTATTTTTAAAATATTATTAATCTAAATGAATAAATAAATAATTAATTAAGAATAATTTTAATAAAAATTAATAATTACAATAAAAAATAATTTATATGTATAAACTTTACATTATTTTTCAGTAAGTTATCGAATGTACTGTATTTCACATTTATTATATTTATTTTATAACAATAAGTATTTTTGTAATTTTGAAAATTCATTGCATTCAATGAGAAATAAATGCAGTATAAATGTGTGACAAACTATTGTGCAATTTTAAATTTTAAACATTTTAAAACATATTTTGCTTTTCAATAAAAATTTATATATTTTGTGACATTCAATAAACTACAATAAATTTATACAGAATAATCAAATATTTTACTAAATAATATCTAAATAAAATTAGTTATAAATTTTAATTAAAAAATACTATGTATAAGATTATTTAGTTGAAATTTATTTATAAATCTAGTATTATATTGTCATTTATTATTATTATTATTATGTATTTTCTATTATTTACATATAAAAGAGTGAGAAATCTAGTCAATGGAAACAATTTAACAATAATTTATGAGAATATTTAATTAAAGATGAAAATAAATATTGTGACAAAAAATAATATATTTATTTTTTCTAAAAGAAATCTATTTTAAATTAAAAAAAACTTTTATTATAATTTCAACCAAAAAACATTTTAAAAATAGTAAAGCACTTTATAATAAATTTAGAAAAATAGTTTATAATTTGTTATAAAATTTATAAAAAAAAGTTCGTATTTTTTGTGAATTTCTGATTATTAATTGTTAAATTGTCGAAAATATAATTTTAATAAAAATATACATTTATATTGTTAAATATAACATTATTATTATTAGTAAAGATTTTTTTGTTTTGTTTTCTTAATTGTGAGTGTTTTTTAAATCACGAAAAAAGTATAAAAATTAGAAAATAATACTTAAGTTAATAAGTTTGATTCGTATGTAAAAGCAATTTATTATAAATTATAGGAAATTTATACAATCAAATATTTTGTCTGAAAAGTACGCTCACTAACAAACAATGTTAACTTAACGGTACAATCATAGCCTGCTCTGAAAATTGACTGATAATAAAACATTGAAAAATGCAATTATTGATAATATCAATATCAATATTAATATCAATTTGATATATTAATTATATCTTTAAATCATATTATATTATTTTATTATATGATATGATAGACAAACTGTGTGGGGTTTGACTAGAATCAGACACACCTTTTGTAAAAATTATCAATGAATTCATAGAATATTTATCTGATTAAACAATTCACAATTAATATTATAAGTTATGTTAATTAAAACAAATTATTAATTATTAACATCTAATAAAAATTTATAGAATTAATCATTCCGTTAAAAAAATATTTAAAAAATATTAATTAGATATTATATTTTATTGATAAAACATTAAAAATAATCTACATAAACATAAATTATTGTTATGTTTATAAAAATTAAATAATTTTAATATGATTCACATTTTATTTATTTTAATTTTTTTTTATAAATCTAGTATTAATTGTTTATTACTTTCAGGAAATCAATTACTAAAAAATATAATATTATACTAATTATTATTTCTAGCATTAGTTATGACAAATATACTGTATATATAATATATTATAAGTAAAACTTATATAATTATATTATATTAATGATTGTGTATGTCTATCATAATACGATTACTTGTCCAGTGTATGAATAACTATTTTTTTAGTTTTTATAATACATTTTAATTTTTTATGCCTACAATATACTCTATATATTGTAAATATATATGTAAATATACATAATAAATGCATAATATTTAAAAAAAAATCCTTTCATAATAAGTTTATATTATATTTATTGAAATTGATATATTGTATAATGATTAAAAAGAATAATATTTATAAATTCATATAATTATCTGTTATGATAATAATGATATAAAATGTCAAATCAGGTCAAACATGTTATTATTTCTGTCACTTTTTAATAAATTTGTTTGTTTTTATTGAAATGTTATTTAATTTAAATAAATCAAATTATTTAAAACTAGCGGATGTCTTGTAAAACACGCTGAAAACAAACCTGAAATAAACAATTTGATTGTTTGATTAAACGCTTGTCTAAAATCTGAAAATAACTTAACTTTGCTGATGGCTATTGACTTCAAGCAAACTATTGGCTAAATTATCGTAACTTGTTTTGTGATAAACTGTTAAACTCATCAAAAATTAGATATATCTACTGTACTGTATATATATATATATATATATATATATATATATATTATATTATATTATATTTTCTTTTCAGTTTTTCATTTACTGGGAAAATATATAATTTCATTAAAATGAAATCAAATGTTTGTTAAAAAGTTCAGAGACGGTCATCAATGGGAACGGTAGTGATTACTGCAACCATACAATATTAAAACAATGTGTTTAAAGTTAATTAATTAGTTATTTTTGAGTTAAATGTGTGTTTATTTAGTATTTTGAATAATTCTGCTAATTATAAGCGCAAATAGATTTTGATAAGTTAGACAAATGTTGACATAAGATTTATTTATGTAATATTTATATAATTTGTTATAAATAATTTCACTATAATTTATTATATATTTTATAACAAAAATGTTAAAAATATAGATATTAATGCCTATTAATAGGTAATTAATAATTTTTATTTTCATAAAAAAATTTAATTTTAATATTTTATTAAATTAATATTTACATTATACTATTTAAATACTATGTATATGATATGTTTACTAGCTAGTTAAATAATTATCAGTTAAAAAATAAATATAATTACTTAGTATTATTTATATTTAAATTTATAATATAATTATTATTTTTTAAATAAACATTATTATGTGATGTATGTAATGTATTTTTTAGTTTGAAATATTTATACATTATGATTATCTATATAATATATTAATTATTATAAATATATAGTGTTTTTAATATTTAATGAATAAATATTTTTTACAACTATAGGTTTATCAAGTAAAGTGAGAAATATAAAATAAATCTAACAAAATTTATTTGATTAATCTAGTTAAATTATTATATTTAAATATTTTATATTATATTTTATACCTAAACACATTATAATTATGTTGTGTATTATAATTGACATATTATTATATTATAACAAAATAATTATTATTTAAACTAAGAATTTAAAAAAAAAATACATTTATATATTTCATTATTTTATTTCACTATTTTTTCTAAATACAAATTATATAAAAACATTTTATTAAATGTCATTTTTATTAATATTAAATTGAACATAAAATACAAAACATATTATTTAATATTAAATTACAAACAATACATATTATTTTACTCAAGTACTGTAAAACCTAATAATAGTAATTAGTAACAAATCATTTAGAAATACTGTATTTTAAGTTAAATTTTTAACATAATATTATAGTCAGTTAACTTAAATTATGATTTTGTAATATAAGATGAGTTATGTCCTGTCCTACCCTTCCCACTGTCCTATTTGTCACCATATGTTCACAATTTATTTTATTTTTAAAATTTTTGATTAAATCTTAGAAAATTATAAAAAACTATACGGAAACTTAACAAACAAAATATGAAACGTATTTTTATAAATCTTATAACAAATATTTATATCAATATGATATATGACTTTATAAATATATTTTTGTTATTGATTTGTATTTGATTATTACGTTGTTAAAAAATAATAAATTTGATTCATGTAAAAAAATTTTATAATTTATTATTAATTTTTTAGAGTCAATGTCTGTTCAAATAAAAAAGTTAATAAACGGATATAATGTGGAAAACAGTGGAAATATTAGTATTGATTCTAATAATAAAATTTAACATATCATTGATAAACATGAGAGCATCAAAGCGACCCTTTTATAACATCGCTCATATGGTAAACTCGATTCGTGAGGTCGACCATTACATGGGACAGGGAGCCAATGCCATCGAAACTGATATCACATTTTCAAACAATGGTTCGGCTCTGTATGCATATCATGGCTATCCATGTGATTGTTTGAGACATTGCACTGAAAGAGAAGATTTTGGAAGATTTTTAGGCTATATTCGCGATATAACGACTCCCGGTATGTCATCCGTCAACTCGTATACCATATAATTATAATAAATCTTTAAAAACTTATACTTATATTCAAATTTGTTTTGCAAAAACTAAAGTTATATGCTTTAAGTGCTGATATAATAACCCGTATTATACAGTAATGCTTAAAGAATGAATAAATTGTTTTAAAACTAAATGCTATAATTTATGACATCCTTAACCTATAATGTATTTATCAATAGTTTTTAATTTAAATTACATTCTAATAATTAGTCAAATTTGATGGTTAACTATAAATCATCAATTTTGGCATTTACTCAACAATTTTTATTATGAGACAAAATGTGATAAAATTAATAGTTTGATATCACGTTGATTAGATGCTTCAAAAACTTATTATCAAATAATTATTTATAAAAATCTAATATTTCAGGTAATCCAAGATACAGGAAAAATTTAGCCCTACTATTCCTCGACCTAAAAATATCTCAATTGCCTCCCAGTGCTAAAGCAGTGTCTGGTCAAGAGTTAGCCGCATACATATCAACGCATCTCTTTAATGACACTTTTGGATCATCTAAAGTGAAATTGTTATTATCTGTGGGACATGTCTTTGACTATGACTTTATATTAGGCTTTGAAAATGAATTAGAAAATAGAAAATTAAATCATTTGAATAAAATAATTGGATGGGATGTTGGACTCAACGATCCTCTCTTTATAATTGGTATTAACCACAACATACATATAATTTTCTTATTTATAGACTAGTGATGTATTTATTGATATGTAAACAAACAGAAAGAATGTGGAAAAGAGTGGGTCGAGTGAGGAACATATGGCAGGGCGACGGACGCACCAACTGTTTGAGCCCTTTCTATAATTTAGGTCGACTTACAGCTGCCATCAAAAGGAGAGATGAAACAAATATGATGAGACCCGACCCTTATATTGATAAAGTGTATCATTGGACTGTCGACCTGACTGTCAACTTAAGATCATCGCTAAGGTATTTCACACGACCTCTCTATCTATTTATCTAACTTTTTTAATATTTCACTTTTAAACTACTAATTAACTCTCTATCAGTCATTCAATCATAAATTGGGTGCCAAAAGGTTAATAAACTCTTGTTTGTAATGAATTAGTTGTTGCTTAATGTGTTGACTACGTTATGATTAATTAAACCCAATATCTTAATACTAGAACATCAGTGGATGGTATCATAACAAACCATCCGGAAAGAGTGGTTAATGTACTCAAAGAGAATGAGTTCGTCAAGAAGTTCCGTTTGGCCACTCAAGAGGACGACCCGTTCAAGAGATTTGTTGACGAAAGATATGACAATAAAAAGGAGTCGACTAATGATGCCATCAATCAACCAATTGGTATACGTATAGCACATGGAATGGGAGATATGTTTTCATCATTTGGCAAATATGTGGGAGACTTAGTATACCTCAAAACACCTGCTCTTTTCGGATTTAAATCCAGAAATATTCAACAAAATACTATTCAAACTATACTTAAATTAATACAATTGAATCAAAATAATCAAATCAATACTTAATTATCACTTTTAATATTTTTGTTGTTGATTTAAAATCACATTTTAATTATTATAGTAGATTGTTTAAAGTGATTATCACATTTAATGATTTTAATCTAATAATATTAAATAATTATATATTAAATCAACTATACTATAGTACAGTATTGACATCACATTGAATATTAAACACTATTTGTAAATATCTTGAATATTGTAGTTTAGAAATCTTTAAAATTAACAATTATTGTATTTGAATTTAAAAATTAAAATTAATAATTTATTAATAATATTAAATTATACGGTATGAATATCAATAGATAATTAATCTCAATATTAAAATTTAAGTCACAAAAATATAGTATTTTTAAAAATATCTAATATAATATCGTATAAATTATAAACTTTATAAAATATAAAACTTTATACATTTTAAAAAATAATGTTTCTTAACATACAAAATATACAATAAACAAGATTTTACAATTATTTATGTACTGTACAAATGTTATATTTCTAAATAGTTGTCATAAAACAATATTATATCATAAAAATTTATTTAAATTTAGTTTTCATATATTACACGATAAATTTTATTATATATTTTATATTTTATGATATGTATTGTTAATTATTGAAAAACTTGTTTACTTAAAGCACAACAAAAATGTCTTTTAAATTCCTTCACAAACAAAGACCATATCTGAACAAAGCTATTGTTTGTAAAGTTTAGTAGATTTGTGTAAAATTCAAAATCAAATATTTATTTATATGATTTATTTATTTATTTATTTTCACACATAAAATTAATTTATTGTTGTTTGTTAAAAAAACACATCCATTTAAATGTTTTACTTATCAAATATTTATTTTTAAATGTTTTCAGTAAAAATTTTATGTTATAAAGTGAATAACAATATAATAATTTAGTTTAAAATATGGACAGTTGCATAACATGAACGTAATTTAACAGTTATTTATATTTTTTAATAACAAATAAAATGCAATATAATTTAATATTTAAGCTAACTTTTAAAAAGTCTCACAAAATATTTATCGTTTAAATCAAATGTCATTAAACTGCAAAAATTTAATATTTTGATTCTAGATATTGACGGCACTATTATTGTCATTAGAAGCACTTGTATGTATGGGAACTGTATGTCTAGTGGCGGTGACCCCAGTGTTTGTATCTTTAGTTTGTATGTTGTGTTCAATAACTTGTAGTTCTTCATCATTTTGGTCTTCATCGTCACTTATTTCACTTAATTTTTCTTTGAGCCGTTTGTCGACATCCATGTCATGTTGACAATTGTCATCAATACTGCAGGGCTCGTACACACCACCGGTGGTACTAATGGGACGGACACTGACAGGTCTGTGTCCTTCATTTTTGTTAAGCCAATAGCCTTTGCTTAACATTCCTTTAAACTGAAACTTAGTTCCGTCTTCATTGAAACGTCTTCTTAAATATATTAATATAAAGACTACAATAGCTATGAAAACCAAGAGTCCAACGACGGCGCCCACAATGACGCCCACATGTGACGAGTCGTCCACCGATTCATCGTTTGTTTCTTTAGTTTCTTCAAAACTCTCTTCAAATTCTTCATTGTTATTGTCTTCAAGTACTGCCGAGTATTGAATATTGCCATTCAATATACCTTTTAAAGATTTGACGATATTTTCCAAACCCTAAAATATTATATTATTTTTTAAAATTTGATATTATTTTATGTAAATAATAATAAATAGAAATTTGTTTAATAATTTCTAGAAATTTCCCAAGCAAATTTCTATTCCAAAACTTATTACTATTAGTCACATTATAATATACTCTCATCTAACCATTAAATCACTCTTTTGTGAAATACTATTAAAATATATAATAATATAATTGTGTAAATTTATGTATTTTCTCATTAGAATCTATAAAATTTCATTAATATGACCTAAAAATATATGTATTACATATCTGTTGTAATTCTAAATATTATTATTAATTTTTCGAATAGATATCTCTTCGAACTATATAATAGGGGATTCTTTTGTAAAAATATAATTTTATATAATATATTAATAGATATTAATATTAATAGATATTATGAAAATACATTTATTTCTACAGAATTTTATATTTTTCATAAAAAATTAGTAATTATTATATTAAATTATATTAAATTATATTAAATTATATTAAATTATATTAAATTATATTAAATTATATTAAATTATATTAAATTATATTAAATTATATTAAATTATATTAAATTATATTAAATTATATTAAATTATATTAAAGTATATTAAATTATATTAAATTATATTAAATTATATTAAATTATATTAAATTATATTAAATTATATTAAATTATATTAAATTATATTAATATTACATTAAAATATTATTGATACTTAATATAAATATTTTTATAAACAGTACTAAAATATCATCGTAATTGTACACTATAGTGATTAATCATTACTTTTTTAAAATGTTTAAAAAACAATGACTTGAGGTTAAATTGAAACATTGATTTTGATATTAAATTAAGTGTTGAAACAGATCAAATATATAGATAATATTTCACTTAATGACCATTGGCATTATACAGTAGGAATAATTGATTATTTTGACAGATTTTTTAGACTAATTGAATTTTAGATATAATTCAAATTTATGTTGCTTAATTATCTAACATAATGATGATCATGAATTTATTTTAATTTAAATATTTCAAGATTATATCAAGAAATATCTAAAAATTTACATTACTTATTATAAATAACTATAACTATAAATACAATAGTTGTGATAAATAAAATTAATAAATTGAAACTAACTTTGTAATAATTTTCTTGAATAAAATGAATTTCACTATTTTTAATGGTGTCATCCAAAAGAAACTTTGGAAACACTTTAGATGTTGTCGTGCCCTCAGAATATACAATCTGTTTAACAAATTTTAAATTAAATTAAAATATAACAAAATTTATATATTTTGAAATAATTTGATTTTTAAAAATTAATTACTTGATTGTCGTCAGCAATGACTAAAATAACGATATTATTGTCACAAATACCAAAATTCCATTTCTTTCTGATATATTCAGCAAATGTTTCGGCATTTTGTAATTGACGTACACTTTAATAATAATTATTATTATTAATAACTAATAAATGAATACAGTATTTACAATATATCGATATATAAATATTAAATATTGATTTATACTTATATTCCTTATAAATATTTCTGGTGAGCGCAACACTAATGGTGAGACCCCTTTCATTTGGTGGACAATAGGAACAGAAACAAATTGAACCGTTTTTTATATCATTAATCAAATTATCTATAATATTAGCTATAGTAAATCAAATGCAAAATAAATAAATTAAAATATTAAATATATAATTATAAATTTACATAAGTATAACAAATTATAATTAGAATTTTTAAAAATTAATCTTAACATTACTATCTATAAAACTACAAACAAGTAATTAAACTTTTAAATACAGTACTAATTAATATTAAATCGACTTTGATTTATCCATATTTAAAAATGTATTTTTGTTAGTTTATATGAAGTTTTTTAGTTAAATAAATAAAATAAAAAATATCTAATATAAAACTTTTGTGTTATTATATCAAACATATAAGTTAATATTACTATTAATATTACTAATTTAAATGTTTAATACTTTAAATTAATTGTTCAGTAATGCAAATGGCTTATTAACTGTCATAATTGCTTGACATTCACTCAACATTATCAAAATTTACTAAATAAATATATAATGGGTGTTCCCATGATAATTTTTATAATACTAATATATTTAAATATTACAGTAACTATATGTATAATAAATACTTGTATTATATTGCGTGTCTAATTAATATATAATTTAAATGACATAACTAATAAAATGAACAATTTAGTCTTAAGTATATATATTTTTATTTTATAATAATATACTGAATATCATAAAAATTAAAAGTGTTTGAAAAAATATTATAGAAATTTATAATAAACTAATTTTTCAACTAATAGGATCACATTTTTATGTAAAGTTACTAATATAATCTGTTATAACTTATAATGTTAAAAATAGACATCACAATGAAATAAATATATTAGTATCAAAGTGAAAATAACAAATAATTAAAATTTATTAAATTGCTAGATCACAAAAATTTTAAACTAATTATATAGATTTATGACTGATTTATGTCAACTAATTGGCAAAACAATGAAAATTACTGAATACCCTGACGTTTGCTAATGAGATGATCCGGATCACAGATATACGATGGTTTAGTTCTTCGACAATATGGCGGCAGTTCGTATGGATTGGGATATTCCTCTTTATTCCAAAACCATTTGTCATAATCATAATCAATGTCCGACTCGTTATTTGCCAATAAATTTTGTATTGAGTTTGCATTAATCAAAACGCCTTTTAAAATAAATTGAATTACTATCAAAATAAAAAATTCATTTATTTTAAGCATGATATTTTCAATGTTATAAATTATAATCCACAATAATATGATATTAATTATTTAAGGTTAATTTATTATCCCAATATTATACATTAGATATATCCTAGTAATTGTTAGTTATAAAAATGTGTATATTTCACATCCGATGAAATATTATTTACTGTAATAGTTGTATAATATTTATTATTTATTATGTATTCATTTTATTAAAATATAAACACTTTCTTAGTATTAATTTACTTACAAAATATATTGAAACTAACAATTGTTAGCTTATGTTATCACATTAAACCACTTATACGTGTATTATTAGAAAACATGAAAAATAGTTGCAAAGCGACCTTATCTTTAATTTGATAAAATCTTTCAACACAATTGTTATTATAGTATTTTGAAATTATTATTAACATTTATTAATATAAATAAATAAATATTATATTTGTAAAATATATTTTTGTTTTGTGTAATAATTTTATTAATTTTTTATATTTACTATATATTTACAACACAATACATAGAAATGCATTATAATACAACTAATTTTTCACATATATAAATAATACACTATACAATCAAAAATAACATACAATTAATACATTTTATTTTACTTAAACTTAATCTAATTTAAGACACATTTAACTCAGTATTCAGTGATATAGAGAGTAACTTTCAAAACATACAAAACAACTATTCTGTGACAAACCAACACACGTGGAGTCCATTCCATATCATCTCAAGTGATCTCAACTCACATAACAGGCAGTGTTGTCGTCAACTGTTATCACAGAATAATCATTAGTCCCCTCATCACTGTCTCATCAATACAACTATTATACAATACATCTAGAGATGGGAAAATAGAAAGCTTCTAATAAATTTCCGTGAGAAAGTTTCTAGAAAATTTCTCATGAATAAATTTCTATAGAAATTTAACTTTATTTATACTATGGGATCCCCATATCTATAGTTATTGGAAATACTATAAATATATTAATGAGACATAATATTGTACATATAATATTATACAAATGGGATACCTATATAAATAAGTATAATTATACAATAATAATCAGTTTTGTAAAATTTTATTCATCATTTTATTATATTATAGTTAAATATAATTAAATAAATTAATTTTTACTTTAATTAATAATTAAAATACTAGTAATAACAATGTTACAAGATAAAAAATATTGAAATAACAAAATTAAAATGGGGATCCCATAGATAGAAATTTCTTTTAGAAACTTTCTAGAAATTTCTCTATTATTTTATAAATTTCTCTTTTTTGCCAACACTAAATACATCTAAAGTCCAATCATTCAACAAATATAAACTTTTTTTTATACAATTTGTGTAAACTATACTTTTAAACAGTTTTCATATTTTTATATTAATTAAATAAATATTTTTAAAATCTATAATACGATTGCAACCTATCATTCATTTTACATATTATATTATATTCTAGTAATTAACACATAATTTATTTAAAATAAAATTTTAAAAACGAATTCTTAGGAAATAGTTTTTGTTATACTAAAAATGCATTAAATATAAAATAAGTATTAATAAAAACAAATGATTTATTTTATTAAATTTTCAGTATTACTTATTTTTATTTTCATAATTATAACCAGTTGAGAATGCTAGAAAGCATCGCCCAGAAACAAATTTTAATGTAAATAACTTATTATATATTCATATTGTAACAAAAATATTCATTGTTTATAATCATTAGTCTGCATGAGTAATATTATTCCCAAAATAATGATAAAATAAATGATAAAATTTGGGTTATTATAGTAAATATAATTATTTCTATTTTTACTTCTTTCAAAATTTGGTCCAAAAATCCCATCGCACAGTGAAAACGCGCTCAATTGCGTGACAAATTAGATACGATCCGAGTTGGGATTTGAACCCACACACTCATCTCTGCCGTCAGCTATGCTAACCACTGTCACTACATTTAATTAAAATAAAATGTTATATAATTTATATTAATCGATATATTGAGATCCCTTTTTGTATTACAATTGCTCTACAGTACTGAATTTGAAGATTCTATAGAGTCTATAGTATAATAATAATAAAATAAAATTATTTTGAAGAAATTTTTAAAAAATTTCTATGAAATATATTTACTTATCTCTACATTCAATACATAATAATCATTCGTATAATCAAAAGCAAAACAATGAATACGATTACTAAATATTGTATGTATGGAGTGATCAGTCATGCATTACAGCTAAATAAAGTCGGTTACAAATTACTTGAACTAGTTTTTTAAGAATATCTTTTAATAAAAAGATATACTGTAGATACTAATATATATTCGTAAATATTTATTTTTATAACTTATAAATAATAAAAACTATAATATTAATTATAAAACACTGTCTTATGCTAACAGACTTTATAATAAATTATAAACGATAACTAATATTTAAAATCTTTAAAATTCGATATATTTTATTTCATTGAAATTCGTGAGATTTTTAAAATTATAATTAGATAGTAGTAAATAATTTTAAAAAAATTATATTAAAAATGTATTATAATTAAATTAATTTAAACTATTATATTACTGTATATATTATATTTACAATATTATTTTATAGCATTCATCTTAGAGTTAACATAAATATTTAATTTTTAAAAGATTTTTCTCGAAAAACCTGTTTATTGTTAAAGTCTTATATATTAGTAATATATCTAATGATATGTTATAAATAAAGACATGATATTATCGTTGGGAATAACTTGAAGAAGTGATGACAACTCTAATAGTAAAAGTATTTTCACGACATTTGATAAGTCAGAGACTAACTGACAATTTCAATGAATATGTGTCTAATATATGGCTCATTGATTGCAATGCTTTATCGTTGTTTGACATACAAATTGCTTGACTTCCACTTTACACAACTTTTTAATGCAATATATAATATCAATGTTGATAAATGGGGGGTAAGGGGTAAGTCATCTTACTCCTCTTGAGATTATGATTTTTAGGATCTTACCCCCTTGACTAAAGCTAAAAAAGTTAGGGGCCCTCCACCATTTTTCAGTTATATAATATTTAATATTAAACAAAAAATAATGCTAAGAAAGTTTTAATATAAATAATAGTTTAGTTTATGTACATAATGTATACAAAATACATAAACTAAAACTAAATAAATACTGAAGAAAAAAATTGTAAAAGTTTTCGTTTAATAATGCAATTAAGATTTTACACCCAACCTATATCTCTAGATTTTTGCCATTTTACCCCCTCTATGCCCCCTGACATGGAAAAACTATAGCAACTCATGTATAATATGTATATATTTATTCATTTTTATTGCCCACAAACATAACATAAGCTATAAATCAGCGTTTATTTCCTTATTCCTTATCATTACTATTAATATAAATATTGTTAATTTGTTTCAATAAAGTAAATCATCTTTTGTTATGAATAATCTTATGATTAATAATAACATAACTGTAGTTCTAAACACATTAAATACTTTGAAAATTGTTGCTTTTATTTTATTTTATTAGTACTTTATTTTCAATATATAAATAATACATAAAATTTAAGAAAAATTAATTTACATATTTTAAAGTTACAAAACATATAAGTAATTTGATGGGAATTTATAATATTAGTTATAATTAGTGTCTTGATTTCCAACTAAAAACTATTTTGTCTGTTTAACGCTTATACCTGAAACTTAGTGTCACTGACATAATCAGTGGATACTACGCCTGAAATTTTATTATTATAACTATAAATAAATATTTGATGTCTGCGTTCACACCAATACTTGTCTGAGTAGACTTGACTTAAACTCAAGTCAGATTTCAAGTAAATTATGTTTACACTGCTATACTTGAGTTTATCAAATGTTATAAAAAATTAATAAATGATTGAAATTATTTTATTAATTCAAATGTTAATTAGATATATAAATTTAATTGTTTTATATTATAGTTTGAAGATAAGAAATAAAATTAATAATAATATCCATATGTAATTCAAAAATAATTAAAATATTCATTAAAAATCTTAAAAGTACTATTTTTGTTAGACAGAGAAGCAGACATTTAAAACGTTAAAATATTTATATGTAATACTTAACAGCGATTGACTTAATTCATAAGTCTTGTCTTCACATTTAACTTAATGAAGTAAACTTACTTAAGAAGGGGTCACTACTATACTTGAGTTAAGTATAGGCAACTCAAGTAAGTTTATGTGTAAACACCAAAACTTAAGTCAATTCTACTTAGATTTTGTCCGCGTGAACGCAGCTATAAAAACATAAATTATTATTTCAATGATTTTGAAAAATATAAGCATTAAACTGTATAATAATAAATAAATAGATGTAAAAATACAAAATATATTTTAAAAATTATATAAAACTGTTAAATGTTTTTAATTGATATTATTTTTTTGTTAACAATGGAAATAATTAATATATTTGTGTATATTATTCTTATAAATATACTAAAACCAAGTGAATAATACAGTATATCATTAAAAATATTTAAAAAATAAATAACTATATTAAAACTATTTGGCTTTTTAGGCAACTATTATATAACTATTGAAAACTTTTTCTAAATTAAAAAATATTTAAAGTGATAAAAACTTTTGGAGAAAAAATTTAAAATATAATTTTATCATTCAATCTAATTAAAATTAATGTAATTATTTACAAAAAATTAAAAAATAACTATTTCAATCACTATAATCTATAATAATAACTTATTAACTCATATTCAATTAACTTATTATCATAATTAATCTATTATTAAGTATTAAAAATTGATTAATTAGCTAATCGTAGATACATTCAAAATCTAAAACCATTTTTTTAAATTAGACAAAAATATATCAATATTTCTAATGATTGGCTAACTTGTGCTGAATTTTATAGCACAACAAGAAATGGTATTAAATGTAGAAAAATTATCAATTGTTTAAAAATAAATGATAAAAATTTTATTGATTTTAATATTTTATTATTAAATAATTTGTCTCAACATATAAGAGATGAAAAAATTAAGTAAATTCTTAAATCTAATTGATTGTTGTTTTAATTAAATGTATTTTATAAATCCATAAATTTGTATTTTCATGCCAAGTTAGTGAATAAAATTTATTATTATTATTATTATATAATTTAATAAAAATTTTGCAAATAGTTAACAACAAAAAATGATTATTAA